ACTAACATTGGCTTTAAAGCCTAAGCCTACCAACTTCTTTTTGCTGTTTCGCACTCTTGAGTGCACTACTGTACACCTGCAGTCTATTATTTCTCTTTGTACAGCTTTGCTTCAGTATTCACTTCGTCAAAGCTGGGGGGGTGTGTCGCACGTGTCTCACGCGATATCATACCCATGTACTGCACTATTCACTCATTAGGCATAGCTCCTATCTCGTACAGTATATAGTCAGCTTAGAGCTCTATCGAGCTCCTCAGACCTTACAATACACTCATTCCACCTTGTTTGGATCTCGATCCCTTGTCGAGTCGTTTGCCATATGTCCCCTCCTCAGCTCATGCAAGACATTCAGAGACTCCAAGGCCTCGCCCAGGATCTTGCTAATCAATGCAGCACTCTACATTGCAGAAACTAGCAGGGGGTTCCATGTCGCTGCATCCCACGGCACCGTTTATTTTGACGTCTGAGTTCGGCAGTCCATCACTGTAGTCCTGTATCGCAATGCCGAAGGTGCTGATCAAAATAATGATGTTCCACAAGTTGGGCTCTTACGGGACATGAACACACTAATATTCATTCTTACTGCGGCCTCTAATGCATGTAAAGGGTACATGTACCTTGGCGCGCATTCGTACAATCTGCCGCGACGAAAGTCCACTCCGAGTACCAACGATCTTCAAGAACGTTCAGTTCATCCAACCCTAGAAGCTAGAAACTTGGCCAGCGCGCTTCTCTTTCCTAGCTAGGATGTCTAACAAAGCTTTTGCTTCGTGGCCCAGTCGCACATTTGTTTGCCAACACAGCTGCAGCACTTGCAAGCCTACACAAGCTAGTTAGCAGGTCCTGTCTCGAGAGGCATCGCTTGTGTGGAAATTATGCCTTCTTAGCCCTATCCGCATTGTCTTTCCCATCAATACACTGCAGCGTCTGCGCGTTATTGAATCGGTTTTGGTTATAACATGCGTTGGCATCGATTACAGCAGCACAATCGTCGGTTCTTGCGAGTTCTCGAGTGCATTCGGCCGCATTTTGGCCATGGGCAATGGCGAACCAGAGGGCGATGATCCCGAGTGAAAGCTTCATTGTGAGCGCGGTGGAGGCCGTGTAACCGTGTTTCACCAAGGCGATTTCAGGCGTGGAAGAAAACCAAAGTAAAGATGTCTGCCCAACAGATTCATGACTGGCGGTACGTAGGTATTTCAGGAGCGAGTTAGACGACGTCAGATCAGAAATGCTAATTTGGTTCATTGATGATATGCCACACCTTCGGTGTGCATTAATGCTAGGCAAGAACGTGGCAATAATCAGATGCATCCTTCTTGATTAAATAAGAATCGATGGAATATCTTCATTCGATAAGAGCCACCTTTCCTGCCGAACAGATAGTGCGGGGGCCTGCAAATAGAAAATCTAGGACCAATTATTGCGAGCTCGTAGGCGTCGATACAAGCTTAAGCTTGATTGCTTGGATGCGAGACGCGCGTTGGCTGTCGTCGATATTAACCGTAATTAACATCAGCTCGTTGAGTCCTCGAAATATCCTACTGCATTAATGAGTGATATGTCTCGAGACTTAATTTAATTCCTGTTTTGTTATCAGTATGTTGCAGAAACGGCAGCTGTTCACGGTGTATGTTCACCCTAGCCAGGGTCATAACTACCACCTTTCCCCCCTACTTCCAGTTTTCCTCCATCGTTGTCACCATCCCCAAACTAACAACTTGTCGTCAAGATGAAGTGGAATACATTTGTCGCTGCCTTAGGGCTGTTTGCACCTACTAGCGCACTACTTCGATTCGGCTGCGCCCGTCTGACCGTCCAGCGTCTGGACCCCTTGGTCAACCCTGGGATGAACCCATCACCTCATCTTCATCAGATCATCGGAGGCGTATATATTCCATCTCCTTGGAATTCTGGCTCATGACCATAGCTAATAGCTCTTAGAACTCCTTCAACATTTCAATGGACCCCAAGACACATGATCTCGCAAAACTTTCCACTTGCACGAGCTGTCAATTCACCGAAGACTTCTCTAATTACTGGACCGCCGTTCTCTTCTTCCGTGCCAAAAATGGTACTTTCAAGAGGGTCCCGCAAAGAGCCCAACAAGGTATGGACGGCACTCAGGGTGGTATGGTGAGTACTTGCTGGACAACAAGCTGGCATAACAGCCGGCTAACTTAACCCTAAGGTGGTCTATTATATGACAGATGCCCTCTTCGATACCGCACAAAAATCAAAGGTTACTGCTTTCAAGCCAGGCTTTCGTATGCTTGTTGGCGATTTAAACTACCGGACCCGCGAACAAGCCAGAGATTTCCGACAACTTACTTACATATGTATGGAGAACGAGGGTACCCGCGCTCCAGAGACTCTCGAATTCCCTAAAAAGCCTTGTCCTGCCGGTATCATGGCCAACCATCGTTTCCCGACCTGTTGGGATGGTGTTAACCTGGATTCCCCTAACCATCGAGACCATGTTGCGTATCCAGAGACCGGTACCTTCGAGTCTGGCGGAAATTGTCCTTCTACACATCCGGTCAAAATCCCTCAACTCCTGCTTGAGACTGTCTGGGATACTAAAGCCTTTAATAATAAGGCAGATTGGCCTGAGGATGGCAGTCAGCCATTTGTCTGGTCTAGCGGCGACAAGACTGGCTATTCTACCCATGCTGATTACGTTTTTGGCTGGAAGGACGATTCTCTCCAAAAGGCTATGGATGGCCATACCTACGTTTCCGCTCCGATGCTCAAGACGCAGACTATCGCTCAACAGAACAAGTGTATAGTTCCCGATATGGTTAAAGAGAATATAGATGACTGTGAGTCACATTCCTTCCCTTCCTTATTTGTGTTCCAGCGCTTAACCATTCTTTCACAGGGCTCCCCGCTCTGCCTGGCAACGTTATGGTCACTTAAAAGAGGACATAACAGTAAGAGAAGAGACAGAGTAATAACGACGATTCAAATACCCTTTACGCAAATTACCCAATTGAAGTTGAGGCCCTTCTCGTCCTTCGTTGCATGTGGTAGGGTAAATGGTTCTTCGGATGTTGGTTCAGTGGCGATGATAACTGCTAAGCCGCTAACTAGCGACATATCTATCGACAATGGACTATTGTCCTCGATTTGCTCTGCCAATTGCTAAATTTATTCCTGCTTTCTCCGCGCACTCACAGACAAAGATCTCGTCGGTTGTGATTCTGAGAACATCTCTCATTAGGATATCTCTCGTGAATCTAACTTGAAATGTTTGAAATGCTAAATTCATCTACCATTTGCCCGGTGGACTTTCTTATGTCGAACGGTCAGCAGGTAAATGTTCCAACTTACAAGGCAGAAGCGCCCCATGCAGTTTCAACTCACTGTCTTGGATCTTTAACTCGTCGACGGAAAATCTGTTTCAGACGGACACGTCTATCGACTTCGCATCACGTGGCATAATTTTCTCAGCCTTTCGCGGTATGCTTCTTGTTCTGGGAAATACAGGCAAGCCTTGGCTTGAAAAATGATTCTGAAAGGGCAGAAACTATTGGCGGCTTGCTTGAGGCTGTGGGCCGGTCCTCAAATCTTGGGAAGATCGGATCCCACCCCCACGAATTAGAGCTCCTCCAATTACCCCAGCCAGCCATTCGGCTAGTAATACACCTTCGGCAAACGCAGAACACCCGAGAACTCATTGCCCGTATCCAACTGGTAACTCATGCTTCCTAACATTATCAGGCAACTCGACTCCTACCCTATTCACTATATGTGTACCCCAAGTCACTCGAGACTTGTCCTTCATAATCTTTCTCAAATACTTGATAGCAAATCCAGTGCAGATTGCTAATAGAATGAAAATGGGGATCCCAACTCCGAGACCCACCCCAAGGCCCATTTCCTTTGCCTGCCCTTGTGATTTCTCGCTTCCACCCGTTTTCTGAGTCGTGGTCGTTACGGTCGGTGTTAGAAATGCTGAAGGGCTCCATGTCTGGACACTTGTCAGTGACAGTGTGTTTGCCACTGTGGATGAAGTTGGTGATAGCGAAGATGGCGAAGTAATGTTGAAATAGCAGGATGTGAAGTTGTAAGGATTCGTGTTGTTATTCGGATCAGACAACCAGAAGTAGAATGTCTGAGAAGCTGAAAGATCCAACGAGAATGAGGAAGCATCTGTAGCATTGACTGACACAGTCCAGTCGAAATGACTGATTTCGGTATCCTTCCCAGTTTTGTCTGATCATCATTAGGCTAGGAGTCAACAAAAAGCGATCAGGAAGAGGAACTTACGATACACGATTGGGCCTGCTATTTCCGGCTTGTGTTGATTCAGCTGAATTATGTAATTCGTGAACAGATAGTTGATCCATCTGACAGTCATTACGGAACCTTGGGGAAATATTTTCACAGTTCGTATGTCGACATTTCGAGGAGATGCTGGGCAAGGAAGCTCGAAGAGCCCTTTAGTATCAACTCCAGTGGTGTATCCCACTATACTAGCAAAGGCAAAGAAAAACGACATTAATTCTCAGGTTCTTTGGAAAACGAAAGACTGATATAAAGAGATCAAAACGAAGGGAGTCTTCGCTTTATATAACCAGTTTACAAAGCTGGCTGTTAACCCGTCAAGAACACGGCAGCGAATTTGCTAAGAAGCCACTCATGCTGGCGTCCTATTGATATCGAAGAACATTACCACCAACGATGTTGTGGAAGCAAGACGCGCAGATAGTTTCGAACTCTCGGAAATTGAAGATTGGAAAGTTCCACAGCATAATCCGACGCTAATGGCTCTAATGGAAACTGCCAGAAAGAAAGCACATTTGGGGCCAACTAGGTGATTATTACGTGAAACACGCCTAGTCCGGTCCCTCTACGATTCCTCTTCCTTCTCGTCCCAAGCACAACGTGTCATCACATAACGTAGAACGTAACTAGGAGGGGTTTCTCTATTAGATCTGTTACCGGAATCAAGGAGCGCATGTACTGGCTGCGTATTTCTGTCCTATATGGACTGTCTTATGTTCCACATTCGGCAGCAAGTGGGATCCGAAAAGACATCAATGTCTAAAGAAGCCTTTGTGGACGCTTAGGTAACCGATTTATCTTAGTGTATGGATATAGTATTAGAGTATTTTGCTTTTAGCACTGAGTATTAAGAAGTAAATTCGGAGGTTCCATGGTTGCGATTGGTAGAGATGAAGAGCTTGAGTGTGAAACATAGGGGCCAAACACATTTCGAAACCACATATCCAACTCGCAAGTCCGATTTCAAGATCAGAGCTTAGCGCCACCACAACATTCTCGTATCCTTTGCATAGTCGACCCCACCTTCTATCAGACTTTGAAACTGGCATGCCTTCGAGGTGCATACACTGCCACCAGGACCCTCATCTTTAGGTAAAGCAAGTCTCCTTGGCATCTGCAGGGATGCGCCACAGCCCCTCCTTCATACAAACAGCTCCCGCCCCAAACCTTTGGAGGCCGTTCTCTTCCTCTTCCTCCAACGATTCAGAGACAAGCCACACTCTCTCTAAGTGGCTAATTCTTTCATAGCTCACTACTCCGTGGAAAGTGACGGATCCCTTCCGTTAGCATGGACCCTCTCACCTCCCTCGGACTCGCTTCAAATATTATTCAATTTTCCAGTTTGCGGGAAAGCCGATAGAGGAAAGCCAGGAGGCTTACCAATCCGTCAGTGGTATATCGGAACGTGTTGCTACAATGAACTACGATCTTATAAATCTGCATCAACAGTTGTCAAAAGATGTCTATCGACCTCCAGGTGGCTGAGAAATTGATCGCAATAGTCCAAGGGCCAAAATCCACTGAAAAGCGAAAGAGATGGAGGGGTTTCAAATATGCCCTTGCAAGTACTTGGAAGAAGAAAGATGTCTCAGCCTTGCAGATGAGGCTAGCAGAAATACGACAGCGGCAATACTAATTTGTTAATATGTCTCTGGTGAGTTTAAATATCTATAGGAGTTGGCCGACTTTTTATTATGCATATGCGGACAAAGAGTGAAGGTTTGCTGCCAGTTGACCTGGCTCGTCTTTGAAATTACTCTTGATTGCGGCCCTAACCTTCGTTTGGAAGAACTGACGCTTAGGGGTATCCGAATTTATGCTTTCGATTCGAACAAACACTTCTTAAAGCTAAAACTAAGCAACAAGACGCAAGCCTCCAGTCTCATTGAAGGAGTGTCAATAAAGCCTCTGGGGTGTTCCTTTGGGTTCACCTGGTAGGCCAGTCGCTTCTACAGGGTATGATAAATGCCGATCGGATGTCAGATCTGCAAAGACGATTAGACAGTCTGCCCACAGACCTAGAAGATCTTTTTTATAAGCTTCCGCGTAGTCTTGAGTCTTTTATTCCTCACATGCAGCTCATCTTGTTCAAATAGGGGGTTAATTCCAAGTGCACCAATCAAGGGTGTCAAAGTCTGCCATTATACTAGCATTTTTTAATACTTAAGAAGAGGAGATTTATATGAAGATGGGTAGTAGCAACAAGTGTACGACGCAGATGATCTACCTCTACCAAATTCCATGCAGCTTCTGTACTTTGAAAAGAAGGTCTTTGAAGTCTTGCACATACAAGAAGTGTATTGGTTGCCAGTGATTGGAAAACATATATCAAGTGCAGATAGCAAGCAGTTGGCTCCGTGAGAGACGGTGGGATCAACCAGACACTGGCCCGGTAAGCCTTGGGAGTTTGATCTGTCAAAGTAAAGCCGACTCACATAGTTTGAATTCTTGCGCAGGGTCCGGTCACGAGTGGGTCATTGGTTTTAGCGCGCCTAGAGACTTCATTACTCATCATTTTGCTGCAGTTCCTTGGAATGAGTAGTTGAATTGTGAAGGCACTAGTCAAGCATACAGCCGGGGGCCCGGAGAACAAGATATATCTGCAACACCTGGAATAAATAAGCCTTTGGTAGTGTGACAATATGTTGGTACATCCAGAAGCGAGTGTCATACAACCTCAGGGGCAGTTACCGAAAAAGAAAAGCGGGTAAAGCTCTAATAGTTCTCTACCCATAGCCCTTTAAAGAATGCTATGGCGGCGGAACAAATATCAACATCACAGTCTATGCATTTCAAACTTGACCAAAAGTTCCATTTTCGGTATGAAACTGCCTTCGCGGGTTCCCAGTTCACAGTCTTACTTCAAAGCCCCGGAACAAAAGTTGTATTACCCAGCCCACAGCCTGGATGGCCTTCGCAGGTGGAGATCGTATGAATGTATCTCAACTTCCCTTTCTCAACTCTAAACAAATGGCTATCGGGACCTGGTTCTTTGCTCGCTCTGTCCAGTCCGGGGAATCCGACATAAATGTCCACAGCACCTAGTTCCTCATCGATAACGTAGCGGCGATCAACGACCTTAATAGTACTTGGTAAACCCAAATTGCACGTGTTCGCGGTCAGATTTCGACTACCAGTGTAGGCGCCACCCTCGAGCCGTGCGCATGGTGTTCCCCACGGCACTGTATAGTTTGCATCTGCGAAGCGATTGAAGTATGCGTCACCGGCTGCTTTAATGACTTCGCGAGAGTCCCGCTGGTCTTCCGGAATGGGATCCCATTTCTCGAGCGAATTGTAATACGCATATCCTGTCGCATTGAACAGCCAGTCGCCCTCATCCGTCACCAACGTCTCCATTTTGGTTATCTTTTGCCCATCCAACTCCATCCTCGTTCCAATAACATATGGATGGCTCGGATCAGTGACAATGATCTCAGTAAAGGTTGTACAAAGGACTGTATCAAGGAGGCTGCGATTGTGGTCGATTTTCAAGGCCTTGGAGAGAATTCCGCTGGCAATGTTAGCCGGCTTGAATTGCTCGGTATAGGTGAAGTTCTCCGCAAAGGAAAACATAGAAGTGTAGACGCCTTTACTTTGGGCTCCGAGGTAGGCATCGGTTGCATCGTTGAGGAAGGTGCGGCTGCATTTTTCAGAAGCAGTAGCAGCAATTGTAAAGCTGAGGAAGAGAATAGGAAGCATTATAACGATGGGATTGGATTGATCGGCAATGTGGTCGAGGTATGAAGCCTTCTGCTCTTCACGTCACAAATCCTCGCCGATCATTAGCCATCTTATATTTCCTTTTCCATGTACTTGCTAAGATGCCGATCTATTTCATCAAACCCCCAAGATCTTTTCGGCCCCCGCCATCCAATGGTGGTGGTTCAAACCTCGAAACTGGCTAGGATGAACGGCCTTCGACGTCATCTCCATCAACCACAAATGGAAAACCCTATCAGGTTCAGTTTGAATTGGGGTTTCGTATACTCCAAGATTATCTATATAGATAGGGTGGGGCGTGCCGGAACTATAGAACCGCCCCTGTAATTTATACCCCACATCGTATATCGCGAAAATCCCCTGGCGGTTTACCCGGTATCCCTTGCACCGTGAAACCTAACTTCAAATTCGTAAAACGCCGGACAGGAGAAGGAAACTACCGCACAGTGTGATGACTCCAAGACGAGTAGAATAGGGCAAATTGTGAGAGCTCATTGTTCACGACTCATTGGATCGAAGAAACTCATGAAACGACAGTGAATTGGGCAACTGGAGGTATACGGGCAACTCTTAGTGCAATGGTGGAAAATTATGCAGTACATCTGAAACTAAATACACTATTCCCAAAGATGTCCTCAACGGCCGACAAATCTTGTCTTATTTCTCCAGTGACAGTCTCATGGCTCTGACAGCTTCACAAACCCTTCTACTCTTGGGTCGTTCTTCTTCAGCAGCTTATCCCCAAACCATACCATTCTCTCAATCCAACGTCCAGTATGCAACACACACATTAAAGTCCCACTTTCCTTCTCGGTCGAATACCAAACCTCTCTAATGTCTAGTGTTTTCTCTTCTCTCAGCACTTTCACCATTTCTCGTTGGTACCCTATCAGCATCTGTCTGCGCCAGAAGTTAACCTTGCTTTTCAATTTCCGAGTCCGAAAACAGGACTCACAAGGTCTTTCTAGATATTCGTTCGCTAGGAGATGATTTCGACATGCATCGCAAGGCTCAGGTTGAGAACAGTATACCACAAGAGCATTTCCACGACCTCCCTCTCGTTTGATGATGGCTACCGCCCATGCGTGTCGTCGTGTACGCTCCTCTCCTAAAGTCTTCCAATTTAGAAGGCTATACGATGTTACGAATTCGCCAATTCGGACCCTTTTTCTCGAATTACGAAGCGTGGTAATGAAATTTTCCATGGTATCATACGTGTTCCAGTCTTTAACGGAGAAGCTGCGGCGTCTTTGGGGACTCCATTCGCGCTGCTCTTTGCTGTTCATGTAGCCGATGCATCGTCGATGGACGAATGGATTTTCTGGAAATTGGGAGAATTGTTCCAAAAAAGGGTGAAATTTATCGCCAGATCCTTTGAAGTTCTTCTGGGTAGGGCCAGGTCGGTACATTATGAGGGTCGATGGCTTGGGTTGCTTTCTGAATTTCATTGTGCGTGATTTGAGACCTGCCTTCGAAAGTGGGTATTTTATTTTAGAGTTCGATCAATGCGGTGGTATGGCTGACAGATTCACGAGATGTTGCAATGAGAAGATGTGCCAGCCAAAGTGCGAAGACCGAGAAGATATTCCTAGACGACAATGGCTTTGTTGAGTGGTCATCACGAACAATTTGGTCCCGAGGCAAAGAATGAAGCTAGATGGAACAACGCTATTTATGGAAACAAAGATACTTAAATCGTCCTACACAAAGGTGTTGTCGCACACAAAGACGTTCAGCAGTCTCCCTTTGTTCTTCTAGGTACGCTATTTTCGGCCAAGACTTGGGACTTACCAAACGATATTGTTCTAGCTCTATGCTGAGCTTTGCAGGGATGATCTTTCGTTGTTGATACTAGACATATCGCCTCCACTAACTCCTTATCACATCACGGTTGCTGGAGCCTCTTCTTCAATATATGTTCAGAACCTTCTCCTGGACGAGTATCCATGTACAAAGGGGCAATGTTATAGTATTACAGAGCATGCTTATCGACACAGGACATCACGAACCATGATGTCTCGCGAGTCATCTATCATACACTCATCGTAAAATAATGAGCTAACAGGTAAAAGGCTTCAATTCGGGCGGTTCTCATCGATTACCTTTAAGAGGACTTTTGTTGAGTGGTTTATTTCAAGCACTCAAGAAGGCATGAAGTAGAGGAATCGATTCCCCGGGGTAAGTAAGGAAGGTAAACTCTAAAATTGTTTTCCAACTACTCAGACTTTCCATGACTATTCCTGACATAGAATGGCCGCCCGGCCGAATGGTGGTAGGAACAATCGTATGATTGTGGGTTGAAGCTCTGTGCGCTAGCAGACAAGAAGTGCACTAATTATGGCCTAACTAGTAAAAATTTTAAGCATGATGAAGGTCGAGACCTGAAAGGACGAGCGGAGTGCGAGAAAGGATTATGGTAGGTGAGGGGAAGTTGCCGACCGGTGCCGTATCATTGCCGATCTATTAGTTGCCGATTTCTGACCCCAAATACTGAAGCCCGATTCGTTATTCTTTCTACATAAAGATACCTGTGCACGCCATACAGTTCTTGATATATCTCAAAATATCATTTACTTTCAGCAGACTAACATGGAATCCACACCTAAGAAGTACGGAGTCGTACTCTATGAAGGGTTCCAACTGATTGATGTCTGCGGTCCAATCGATGTCCTCAATGTCCTAACAACCCACGTTGAAGGCATCAGTCTCTCCTTAATTGCCGAAACGAAATCTCCTATCTCAACCTTCCCCAAGGAATGGCCAGAGAAGATGGGCATGCCCCCATTCACGACGTCCCAGACCATGATGCCAACTGACGACTTTGACTCCGCTCCACAACTCGATGTCCTCATCATCCCCGGGGGTATGGGATGCTTTGACCCAAATCCTGCCAACGTTGGAAAACCGAATCCTGCAGTCGTAGACCCAATTGTCAAGTTCATCAACAAACAGTATCCAAAGCTTCAGTACCTCATCACGGTTTGCACTGGCTCTGGGATCGCATCACAGACTGGAATAATGGACGGGAAGAAAGCCACGACGTTTAAGGGGGCTTGGAAGGTTATTCCAGTTTGGCGACCTCAGGTTACTTGGATTCCGAAGGCAAGATGGGTGGTTGATGGGAATATCTGGAGTTCTTCGGGTGTTTGCTCCGGGACGGATCTTATGTTTGGGTTTGTGAAGGAGATGTATGGAGAAAAGGTAGCCAGGGATATTGCGGTTTGGATGGAGTATCAGAGACATGAAGATCCTACTGCGGATCCGTTTGGGATTGAGGAGGCTCTGGAATCTTGAGAGTGGAGATAGATATTGAGTTAAAGACTTTCTTCGAAATACACGTTTGCACCATGCTATAGTTGGACCTGCGTCTTATGTTTTACACTTCTATTGATATGATACCGGTGGCTACAAAGAAGACTTCGCTAGCTGGACATAACCAGCCTCTAGCCCCCACAATTCCCCAGTCAGGCGCACAATCAAGTATGTTTTTCCACCTACAAGCAGCTCGGATTTGACCCAGTCCCTCAAAGTTCACCAGCAACCTTTTAAATGCACTAACACGATAAACAACGCATGTTGCGGCCCATGATATATTTAGTATATAAATCCAGTGAGGAAGCATACCAATAACCCATATATGTCTTGGAAAGTAGTTCTAGCCTGTCGAGGGCAATCACTACTCTATCCGGTGGGTGTTTTTCTTTTTAACAAAAATTTAGAGCAAATATAGCGAAGCGTAGTATGAAAGATTCATACCCTCTATACACTATTGCACAGTGATTGTCGACTTCATTTAACCCAAGGTTTGGGCTGAGAGTTGGGGGGAGATGAGATAGTCAGGGAATGAAAGGATTTGTATACTCACCACTCCAGTAGCAAAAGTTCCATGACACTCTTGGCCCTAGATCTCAGAGCTAGGAGTCATGAACCTCAAAAGAATCACCAACAGCGAATAATGAGGCCCGCCATTCATAGGACTTACATCTCCCTCAGAAATCCCTAAGTACCCTAATTTATAGAACTCCTGCGAAATCGAACGAATCCATCATCATAAGACTCCCCTATGATTTCGGCCCGCAACAAAAGCCACAATAGTATTAGATCACCCATCATATACAGCTTTGACACCATGAATTAGCTGCTTCTAATCGTTCACTAGAATCTGTAATTTCAAGAGACTTTGGTTTTCTCACTTCCCTTTCCATGGTCTCTCGTCAGTCAGCAGGCACGGGAGACAATAACATTAAAATCCCTTGCTTGCCGTTTTTCACAGAATTGCCAAAAAGCAAGTTTGTGGGGTTTTCAAGGTCCAACTTGACTTGGTTGATTACCTACATGAGTTGGTGACTTCCTGTATTGATTCATGCGTCCTAAATAGGCATGGCGCTTTTCCCTGTCTGTAGCCTTGACTTGTTTGTTGACAAGCCTGGTTTTTCAGAGATCCCGCACATATTTGAGAAAGATCTGTATATTAATACTGAAGTACCTGAGGTTGTGAGGAATTGAGAGTGGCAAGGAGGAGACTATATGTCGGGCTCTGCAGCTACGGAGGAGGCTAAGTGGGAGATATGAATAGCTTAGTGTATGCGCAGTCAAGGATAACTCTTACTGGCTAAATGAAGATGGGAATGAAGATTGAGGTGAAATTCTCATCAACACCAACTAACCTTTGTCTTGTACGTCCCCAGACGAGACCAGAGCTCGAGGCAGGCTTCTAACGGGCACCATACATATTCTAAATGAAGAAGTTTGTCGTCTGCCTCCTTCTTCCCAAACCCACGGCATTTTTGTTGGCAGGTTCTATTCATTGCCTTCCCACTCTAAAATCAGAGCCACACACCGGTTTGTGTTCCTGTTTATTGATTCCTAGTAAGGATCCAGATCTCCAGTGCAGAGACCCATTGTTGTCATATTTCCATTGTTTTCGAGAAACTTGCTGGAGTCTGGACGAACTACGACAAGGGCGATCCCCGCCTAAGAGCCCGCCGTGGATGAAGAAGATCCGTGAGAACCGAATTCTAGACTTTAAGTAGGGGTTGTATACCCGTTAGAGAGGAATGAAAAGACACGAAGAAGGAATTTAGATCTGCGTCGGGTATGCTCCTAAGTAGCTCTTAGAGGAGAGGATTAGAAGCCTTAAATGGTGAGCACATCACCACTCTGTCCATGCATGCCCGCTAATATTGTCTCTTCTTGGGATATTACCATCTACAATTGCGGTCCCCACCCTAGCCATGTGAGCTCGTCCTGCTCTTCCAGCCCCCATACAAACTAACATCTACCAAACGTATTCGAAGGGCGCCGATTGTCCAGTCTACAATCCCATACAGAGACGCATACAAAGATTTGTAGCCATTCTGAAGGCTTCTCAGATCCAATACCATTGGATCAATGTGAGGAAAAATCTTTCTGTTTAGGCCTCAAAAAGTCACAAGTCGGGGCATGAATTCTAGAGGCGATTTTTTTTTAACAGCTATGATTGGTAGGAGAACTAGAGTTATTTATAAATACCATAGGGAGATGTCCTACCTTCTTTCTAGAGCTTAATGTGGGCGATGAGGTCTGAGGAAGCCGTTTAGCGGGGAGGGCAAGAATGAGGTAAACTCGGCGTTAATGGGCGAGATGCTCGAGAGAAAACCATCGAAATACTTAAGTAAGAGAGTAAAGCGCAAGGAAAGCAAAGAAAAATGGCCATAGCTGTTCCCAATAATAATACACCCAAACTCCCGCTCATCTGCATGTACGCTCTATCTGTTCAAGTCCCATATTTCCGAAACTAATGCAAGAGTATGTATGTTACATCTAGTCTCTGGCATCCCGCCGCTAAGAATCCCCTCCATTCACCCCTTTCCCCCTCTCTCTTCACCACTATACCCTTCCTCTAGGGCTTAAACTCCGCATCCACAGTCTCAAAATTCTCCAAGAAGCCCTGAAATGCAATAACCCCGAGCCCGGGGTCCAAGCTCCCCGTCGTCGCGCGAATACTATGCATACTCAATTGCGGAATCCCGCAATCAATCGAGCGAACCCCCATATGCGCACTCAACATTGGCCCCACTGTGCCACCACCCCGGCTATCATTCCTGATTTGAAAGACCTGTAACTTAGACCCCGTGCTTTCAGTGCACCGCGTAAGAATAGCGGCCGAGACGGAATCGGTCGTCATGTGGCCGCTCGAATCGAACGTCACAGCCGGACCGATGTTCAGACGCGGCGCGTGGTTTTCGAGGTAGGAGCCGAGAAAGTTGGGGTTTACGGCATGGCAGACGTCGGAGGAGACGAGGAAGGAGTTTGCGTATGTGCGATTGATGAGACTGGATACGCTTTTTGAGGCGAAGGAGTCGACGATGCGTTCGACGATGGTAGGAAGGAAGTTTCCGCGAGCTCCTTGTCGGAGGAGAGAGCCGATTTCCTCATCGTCAAAGAGCGCGACGATCTTGATTTGACTGGAGGCGGAGTGGGTGCGAGAGAAGGTGGAAGTGCTGTTGATGAGGGCTTGGATAGCGGCCCAGGAGCAGAGCTTATCGTCGATGCGGCCTGCGAAGATGAATTCCTTTTCTAGGCCACCGATGGTGGCAGGTTGGTAGTCAAAGAGCTCGAGTTCCCAATTTACGATGCTTGAATCTAGAGTGGCGATTAGCAACGAGTAGACTCATTGGCGATGAACAACTTACAATCTGTGACGTTTAACTCCTTGGAGATAGCTCTGACAAGTCGTGGAGGCTGAGTCGCCGTGAAAGCACCTTCTCCACCAAGTAAACTCGGCTTCCAGTTCTCGCCCTCCGAACCCGACATATCGGAATTATCAAGACCGATAATTGGAACCATCTGCGTCTCCTTATTGAAGGGTCCCTGGGCAGCAGCTCCAAAATGAGGTGCTAGTGTAGGAATCCTAGCAATCGGCCAATCGAGCTTAACCAGCTTTGTCACGATCTTTCCACCCTCTCTGATCAGCACTCGTCCTCCGACTCCAAGATCACGATCCCACCATGTATTATTTAATGCACCAGCATAGGGCGCAACCCCTAACTGCACGTATCCAGCCTTGGTCCTCAGCTTTGGGATAGGCTTGAGCTTTGCAGTCAAGGCGTCGATATGGCCGGCCATGATGGATGCCCCATTACCTGCCTCATACCCTTCTCCAATAGCGAAAGCAACCAAAGAACTGCCGTTCCGCTCAACATAGTACTTCCCTCCCCTCTTGAGATCCCAGCTATCACGCTCAGACAGCTTCTTATACCCATTCTTCTCAAGGTCTTTGCCTACAGCATCAACCGTATGAAACACGGTCGGATTCTCGGTCAAGAAGTCGCAAAATGGCTTCGTATACTTCTCAGGCCCATCCCTCTTCACCTCCCTCGGCGGCCTCTCTTCCTTCCGTGGTGCAAAAGTCGGTATCTCAGGCGCCGGGGCTATCTTGACTTTCGGCGGTACGGGAGGCGGAGTTGGCGATCGTTGTTGTCTGTGCGGTTGGCCAAAGTCATCGTCGAAATCGATGAGGTTGTCGAACGGTGCAGCGATGCTGTGACGGACTGACGGTGCCTGCTGGGCTATTTGAGAGTGGATGAAGGGGTTCAGACGGGGTCGCTGGACGGTAGTGAAGGCGCGGGAGAGGTTGGCTTGCCTTGGGGGGGGAGACGGATCGGAGTAGAGGTCGGCGGTCGAAGCGACCTTTCGGAGACCGTGTTGATTCCTCGTCATGTTGGATGGTGTTATCGCGGGTAGTAGACAGTAGTTAGAGGTTTGAGGGTGGAAGAGGGGGAGGGAGAGATGTCTCCAGGCGGACAGCTGTCGTCGTGGTGATACGCAAGCTCCGTCCCGCCATGGGGCGCAGCTCTGTGGCTTCGTGACCTAGACCCAAAGTCTACCCAATCATAGGACTGCGGCCAGTGGGCTTCAATTCTCGGGCGAAAATGTTCTCAAGAATGATGACAATGGAGTACCGAGCTCCTGCAATTTGCAATCTATCTAATTCTACGCGTGCTGCTATCCCTCTGGTTGCTGACGCTTCCTCGTAGGAGAGCTTCCCAAAGCACAGCGCATCAACGTCGCCACCGGAATATCAAGCTCAATTCACTAATCATACTAGGGGCGCGAAAGCGAAATTCAGTGCAATGCATACAACGCTGAGAACATAGGTCGAGAACAGTAGGAGGGAAGCGATGGATATCGATGCAAATGATGGCAAGCGCGGATCCAAATGTATGTTGATCCAGCTCCGGGGTATCGCGTGCAGCAAAGGCAATCAATACTGCAAGGCAAAGAGGGAATCAGAGAACCATAGGAAAGCAAGCCTAGCCACGACTCAAGCCAAAGCAAAGTTGGTAATGCTGGAAATAACACCAGAATGAAAATTATTGGGCAGAGTATCGTTGACACAACTCCCCAGATATGTAGTGGTCAGCTACCGCAGAAGGGCAAGTGAATAGAGGGGCTCGGAGACGATTGACTCTAGAGGGGAAGCATATTGTGACCACATAGCTACTGGCCGTTCGGAGCATTGGATGGTGGTGGAGGAACTGGGGGCTGTCCATCATCCTCGTCCTCGTCAAGATCCTCTGGATGGCTGCACATATAGTTAGCACTCACTCTTCTCTCGACTTGGAACCAATACTCAACATACCCAAGCAAGTTCTTGACGTTCTTCATCTCGTAATGTCTCTTTCGCATCTCCTCGAACTTGCGGTGCTTCTCCCTCTCCTCGGGAGTCATATGTGGGAACTCCTCACCATGCCTCCCCTCCTCGCCCTCCGCATCAGGTTCAACAACAACCCTCTTCTCGCTATCGGGTGTGTGTGCATGTTCGGCCTCCAGCTCGGGTTCGCCAAGATCGAAGTCCGGAATGTCGTCGACCCTTGGCTTGCGAGATTTTGGCTTATCGTCCAATTCGTCTACATTTAGTTCTTCCGCATTGAGCATCTCGATCTCATCCTCGTCTTCGACAGGGTCATATTGCTTGGCATATGGGGTTTTCGGCTCAGTAATCTTCATCGTGCTGTCCCGTTGCTGCTCTGTAAGATACAGGTTTGCCTCGTCCCATTTCAGCCTCGGGCTGTTTTCATCGGCGTGCGCACTGGTGCCTGACTGGCGACGGGACCCGGGCCCACGAGGATTGGAGGACGAGCGGCGGTGGGCTGGCCCGGCATTGATCAGCGTATTTTCCAAGACGATCTCCTTCTCTGACAGCTCCCGACCCAGCTCTGGCCGCTCCGGTGAGCGAATTTGCGTAATCGGGGCACCTTCTCCAGTGGGTGACGTCTGTGAGTTCGAGCGGTAGGAACTTGAGTTCTTAAGAATCCCTGGGGTATTTGTTAATGGGACACGCTCCACGCAAGGGACTCGAAACTTGCCCTTTGGCCGTTCTGAGCGGTGAGACGGTGAGTGAAGCTGAGGTGAGTGTTGAGTCATGTCTGTGGTGGTGCTGTTGTGGGAGCTGAGTGTGGGTGAGGTGTTCTGAAGCGGCGGAATCGCAACGCTTGCAAGGCACGTGAATGCTCCAACAGTGGGGTGATACAGAGAACCGTTAACTCCACTCGGGCTGCAGACCTTGGCAATGGGGGACACGAAGGAGAGAGTGGTTGTGAGTGGGGGCTCTTTGAGTTTGCATTCGAGTTTGTTCGAGTTGTGGGAGGGGAGTCGCAATGGAGGGGCTTGGTTGTCAGGGTGAAGTGTCTGAAGGGATATGACGTAGCCAATCGGCACCTCAGGCTGAAGCCATGCGCCACAATAGTCACGCAGAGGCAGCTTCACATTCACAAATGATCATTATTGCTGGGGAAACCGGGTGGACGTTTAAAATATCGATGCCTTGCGATACCAGCCTTAAGATTTACGATGCTTGAGATCATCCGAAGAACAGGCCGACGGCAGATAATTGTAGAACAAGACTCAGTTCCTCCAGCCTCGCAGGGGAATACAAACGAAATGATTCTCTCTTGAAATGCATCTTTGACACTCTTGGAGGCCTCGGATCGCCAGGCAGGAGGCCATGGGGTCACTTCTTAGACGTCGTTAGCTGGGGGACGGAGGCGGCTATTGAGAAGGGCGGATACTCGGCACAAAAGGGAAGGGGGATCAGACTTTGCCTTAGAACCTCATGCTCAACCAAGGAATTGCAGTGTTGCAACAGTGTAGCTCCTGGCTGCGCCTTCGGACTACCAGAAGTAGTTCAATTGAACATGGTCATCCTGGGGAAGGTGTGAGAGAGGGCTAGAAGGGAGGTACCTACGATAGTTGAGAGAGGAGTCACCAAATTCAGACAAGGAGGCCTCGTGACAGTGGACATGTCCCTGCTTTCAGGTCATCACCGCATCATGGAAGCCGCAGGGCGGCCCTCGTGATGATGGTTTTAGAAGAGGGATGGCTTCTTCTGGGCCATATTCGGAGTCGCCAGCTGAGTGAGGGTGAAGTCGAGCTGACGATGATTTGAGTAGACGGCCGGTGTTGGAGAAGAAGAGAGAAAGAACTTTCAACAGCGGAAAAGAGGCGTGCGGGAGCCAAGCGCCAAGCCCGCCTCAGACGCGCGCTTGCTCAAACGAGGCGAGGCTTTTCCCTCCACTTGAAGACAAACCACCAAGCAACACCGCTCTGCACCACCACGCTCCCGCACGCTCCTCCAATCCCTGCATTTACTCGCCGAGAATCGATAATACAGTACTCACATCTTCCCAGCATACGCCTCGAGCCTCACACCGAAGTAGCCGCCTCCCAACGCAGGCTCGTCGCACTCCCGTGTGAAGCACCGGCCGTTGGCCCGCCAGCTGTTGCTCTGCTGCTTGTTCGCTCTTTTATCCCACCAAGCTTCCAGCAGAGTCGCTCTTCCCGTGATATCTTTCTTTACCTTTGCCTAATTGCCAATGGATAGCAGAGACAATCTATGGACCCGTCGCTCCAAGTAAGGACACATAATCCCCACGCCTTTCGAGATTTAAAGCTCCCGGAGACTGACAGAATCGCGCACAGCACCAGCAAGCTCTCCCTGTCCATGTCCAATGCGGACCACCATAGCGACAAGCACGACCCTCCAGCCCGCACATTTTCTGCCACAAAGCGCTTCGGTGGCGACACTTCGTCGCATGGGGGAAGGAATCCTTTCAATGCCATCTCGCCTCTGACAAGCACTGGGATGGCTTCCCCTACCACCGTGGGCTCCTCAGCTTTTGGTCTGGGATCTGGAGCGTTCGCCTCTTTCGGATCAGCGACTAAGACGCCGAAGACGCCAGGAACGGCATTCGATTTCAAGCCAATCACTCCAGCGACTCCCGGCGAAAAGAAGGAAAAGCCGAGTAGCAAGGCTGCAAACAGCGCTCGTAAAGAGTCGCTGTCCACGACTGCCTCGGAAGAAGCAACGAGTTCCTCGGGCGCTCTTGACTTGAGCACTCCGTGGCCGTTGAAGTACACCTGGGTTATCTGGTACCGCCCTCCAACCCCCAAGAATTCCGACTACGAGAAATCTACCAAACCGCTATGTCGTATGAGTACGGCGCAAGACTTCTGGAAAATCTTCGTCCACCTCAACCGACCCTCGACTCTTCCAACGGTTTCGGATTATCATTTCTTCAAGGAAGGGATACGCCCTGTGTGGGAGGATGACGAGAACAAACGGGGTGGCAAGTGGATCATGCGCCTGAAAAAGGGCGTGGCGGACCGCTACTGGGAGGAGCTCCTCATGGCTCTGATTGGCGACCAATTTGTCGAGGCTGCGGACGAAGTATGCGGCTTCGTTCTTAGTGTTAGGAGTGGTGAAGACGTCTTCAGCATCTGGACCAAGAACGATGGGGGACGGAACATTAAGATTCGGTAAGCATATGTGCCAAGGTCGAAGGGTGCTTGCTAAAATGATGACAGTGAAACCGTCAAGCGGGTCCTCAACTTGCCTGAAGGCACAATCATAACCTGGCGCAGCCACGACGAAAGTATCGCTCAAAGATCTGCCATCGACCAAGCTCGTCAAGAGAAAGCTGGTCACCACGGCCAAGAAAAGCGGCGAGTCGTCTCCTCCGCCGACGAGTCCCACCGCGACAAAGCTATGGCTGGTTCCTAGAGGCCGGATTCCTTTTACTCTTCTTTCTTTCGTTACCCTAGCATGCATTGTACGGCTTAAATGAGTTTCCCGGGTTTCAGCTTTAGCGTGTGTATGGCTTAACGGCATCGAGTTCACGGATGGGCTTCTTCTTTGGACAGTCTTCAGTCGACGCGGCGGAGACTAGTCGTCTATTTCCTGATTTCAATTACCCATGTATATTACACAGCCGTGGCTAGGACTTGGTTAGCATGCGGTGCTCCAACGATTGGCTAAGGGGCAGTAAACGCAGAGCAGATTTATGCAGAACGTGAAGAGAGAAAATGGGAATGGGGAATCGGCCAAATACTGCCTAATGTGAAGTTTACGTTCGCTCATTCGAAGGAATGCGACTGTTTTTGGGATTAATCTACCCTGGTCCACGAGGTACCTAGACTCTTCGAGTGCGCACCGGAAGACGTCAATGTGCACGGACCATTGCCGCACTTCAACATGGGACTCGCACGACTTTCACTGTCACCTTCACCTGGACGCGCCCCGCCTTTCTAAACATGAGTATTTGTGACCGTCTTGACCCTCTTCTATCCTGTTTGCTACTGCAAACTCTCTCTTACCTAAACCAGCGTCTCCGCTAGCGGCCCAATGCCAAATCTCGGCAGCATCTTGAACGCCTTCAATCCCTTCAGCTCCCAGTCGGAGGAGGCGAGCGACTCCAAGATCGGGGGCCCACAGGTCTGTCTCACTTCTCCTACGCGACTAGGCCATTCCCCTACCTTCTTGGTGCTTTAGCGACTCACACTGTATCACACAGACAAACGATGCTGCTCCAACCCGAACGAGCCGCAAGACCGACCACCGCTCTTCCTCACCGACTGACGTCGAACGCCCGCACCGTGGCCGAAACCCCAGCCCCGAGGTGGCACCGGTGAAAAGCACCCCAACGAAGCGTACCGGACCTGCTGCCGCCAACCACGGGCGGAAGAGGGGCAGAGAAATCAGCAACGACGAGCGGCGGCTGTTGCCAGACTACACGTAAGAGCCTCAATTTCCCCGCTTTGAGATAGGTTATGGGTGAAGGCTAGATACTGACATGGCCTCAGCATTCCTGCAGATGCAGTTATCGTCCCTTCGCCCCCCTCATACTTTCCTCCCTCGCCGCGAATGCAGTCCTCCAGACCTAGCAAGGTACATGCGGCATGCCTTCCCCTACCCTTCGAGGACAATGCGTAGCTGACTGCAGTACAGCCGGGGGCGAACAAAAGCTTCAAGCCTGTTGATACGTTCGACGTGAATCCCTTTCAGGCCAGGCGGTCGCGGCAGACGTATGGATCCAGCCGTCATTCAGCCGCGAGCCAGGGACACTTTGAATACGTGGGATTTCTCAATAGCCAGACGATCCGGGGTCCATACTCTTCAAGACATCACGTACACGCTGGGGAGGATTGTGCGTCACCAGCCAAGCGCCAGAAAACGGCATATTCCTCGCATTCTAGCCAGCCAGTCGTTGTTCTCGATGGCGATGACGACGATGTAGTGCAAATTCAACCACCACCACAGCCCAGGACTTCGTTCTCTTCTCCTCGCATGCAGCCATCCGCTTCGTCACGGTCACAGCGAAGCACTGACAGCACCCAAAGCACGAAGCATCAGCAACCCCGCAGTGGGTTCCAGGATGTCAACATCATCACTAACGCTCATCGAAAGAAGCGTAGAAGTGGAAATGACTTCGCGCCCACATCTCAATCATTAAACTCGACGACCCAGCTGCACAGTCAGAGAGGTACATTAGCCTCATCTCCAATTCGAGTGGATGATGACCATCCACTTTCTCGGTCCAAATCTGCAACACGTGACCTGTTGAGAAGCTTCCAGAAAAGGACATCCCAAGATGAGGATGAATTGCAAATCCAAGATCCTGCTACAAAGTCACGAATTTTAGGCACAGAGCCAAATGGATCCTCGCGCATCAATCCCTCAACGGCCCATCGCCCACGATCCAGGAGCGATTCGCGAATCACAGTCCAGGATAAACGTCTCCGTGATACCTTCAAACGAAATCAGCCCGTCGAATGTATTAGTGACGACGAATTGCAGATGAGCGAAATACAGCCCAATGTTCGTATCAGCAAGACTCGAGGCAACCCACATTCAAAGTCTTCGCCTACCATCAACACTAGCGTCCGGAAATCCAGTGCCGAGACTGCCGAACGGCAGTGGCCGCTTAAACATGCCAGGAGCTATCATGGCGAATTCCATGGCCATGACTTGGGCGTGAGATATCTTCTGGGGAAGAGGTACTTCGCCATTATCCAGTTCCATCAATACGAAGAGGTGATGGCAGAAATCGGCCGCATCTTACCTCTGAAAATTGGTCAGTGCTACGCCGACGATGAATCCCGAATTCACATTGGCGGCAACACAGATAAGGATGGAAATACCCATTCGTGGGACTTGGAATTCGCAGACAGGATGGGCTTTAAGGCCTTTCGGGATTCTTACATAGCCGGTCAAATAGGGCCAGAAAAGATCATCAATAGCACAAGGTAATTCTCTCCACTTCTCAAGATCTTGACGTGCACTGAACACTTTACAGCGAGGAAATGTTAGCAATGTTTAACAAGCCGTGGCCTTACTACGATAGGAGTAATGTGGCAGCCGCAGATGAAGGCACCGAGATTAACTTACTGAGAAAACGTACACAGAATGGAGCGAAAATGAGGGAACAACGCCCAAAACGCAAGCTTTTACTGACAGAAGGACCACACGGCAAACTGCAGACAGCCAATCCCGCTCATCAGTCGAGACGCAGCCGAGGAATGGATAGTGCAAAAATGGAAAAAGATCCTATCGGCCCTGCGTCCAGCCAATTGAGAGAGATGAGAGCAAGTCGCCGTAATCGCGCTGAGGTCGTTGAGAATGAATTGGTCGACGGGGTTGAAGTCGAGCAGCCGCTGAAGTTCTCTGAAGTACATGGACTAGGGAAGCAATGGGACAAGTATGCTCTACCCACCATCTACGATTCCCTTTCTAACGCTGCATCCAGACCAGTGCAATACGGAACTGGCCGTCGCCGCGCTCTCGTGGAATTTGAAGACCTTCTCCGTCTCGACGAAACCCAGTTCTTGAACGACAGCCTTATCGACTTCTACATGATGTTAGTCCACCGCATTCCGCCAAGAGGCTGGTTTCTGACCTTTCTAGATACCTTTTCGATCAAGCGAAAGTACCCCCAAACAAGGTTTACTTCTTCAACACACATTTCTATACAGCTCTCACCCGTCCCGTGAAAGGTCAAAAGGGGGTAATCAACTATGAGGCAGTGGCGCGTTGGACTGCAAAAGAGGACATCTTCAACTACGACTACATTGCGGTTCCCATCAATGAAGAGTAAGTTGTGTTGCCAATAATCTGTTCAGTACTCATGCAATCTCTAGTACCCATTGGTATCTTGCAATCATATGCAACATACCCAACATATCCCGCACCCCAATTCTGAATGATTCTCCCCAAGACTCACCTAAGCCGCCGAAACAAGGTCTAAGACAGAAAGTCGAACAGCGCAACACAACAGAGAGTGGACCAGTCAACGATCCTGAGGACGTGAACTTGTTCGATGAAGAGCGAGAGACCCTCAATCTTGTTGATGAAGATGTCGAAGAGACAGATCCTGGTGAGAATCAACAACCCGCTTCGACAAATCGAAAGACAGCGGGGCAATCACCTGTCGAAGAGACTGCTCGCTTGGACAAACTATCAATTACTGACTCTATACCAAAAGGGATTATTGGCGACCCAGGCGCATCACCCAAATCAGCAAGAAAGAAACAAAGAAGAAAATCGGGCCCACCCCAGAAAAAGTTCGACCCCGATCTGTAAGTTTGCCGACCACTTCTAACTCCTGAGTCCCATTCACTTATGATTGTGTAGGCCGATCATCCTAGTGTTAGATTCCCTTGGCCACACGCATCCCAGGGCGGTGCGACACCTCAAAGATTACATCCAGCAAGAAGGCAAGGCAAAGCGTAACATGGAGGCTGTGATAGCACAGAACGCCTTCAACGTTAAAGAGATTCCTTTACAGAACAATTTCGTCGACTGCGGCGTATTCGTTCTCGGATACCTGCAGAAATTTTTTCACGATCCTCACGACTTCGTCCGTTCCATTCTATCCCGAGAAATGAGTAAGGAGGACCACTGGCCAGATATGCATGCCCCTCGAATGAGGAACCAAATGCGAGAGATCTTGCAGGGACTTGCAAAACAGCAATCTCAGGAGCGAAAGCAGGCGAGACAAGCGAAGAAAGCAAACCTACAACCAGTGAAGACAGACCCTCCAGCCGACAACCTGACGAAACCTCCAGTCGCAGCACTGCGGTCACCAATCAAACTTGAATCCACGATTAAGGTCGAGTCGCACAATCCTCCAGCAGAACAATCTTGCGCAGTCAAAGTGCAAGCGTCCCCAATACAACCAACGCAACAGCAATCCCCCCTAAAGCAGCAGTACCGTACAAAATTTGGACCGCAATCGCTTTCTTCCAAACAATTGAATCTCACCAAATCTCAGGGATCACCTGAACGACATATAAGGAAACCTAGCCCCAAGGTGGTGATTTCAAAGTCATCGCCATCACAATCTGCGAGATTAGCGAAGCGCGCTCACATTGAAATCGCGGACAATCAGGAGAGTGGTGCAGACATCGCAAGGAGTGATACGCTGGAGAATGGAGCAGGATTACAGAGCCAGAGCCCCAAGAGAAGGAAGATAGTCGAGGGCAGGGCATCTCCTCATCATCTTTCACAGAAGCAGATTCCAGTCCGAGAATTGCGTACATCGCCCGAAGTCAAGGCGCAGAAGTCTACACGACCGAGTTCTATGGCTGGGCGTTATTCGCCGAAGAAATCAGCCTTTCACATAAAGGCTTCACCGCACACGAGATCACCCCGAGGTCGCGGCAGTTCTCATGATCCGATTGAAATTGAAGATTCGCAACCGTCAATCACGATTGATGAGCCGAAGAAGCATCATGCACCGTCGTTAGTTGAAGATGTGAGCAAATCGAGCTCTCCCAATCAAACCAGAAAGGTACAGCCTCGGGATCAGCCTAAAACAATAGAGTTCTCAAGGTCAGCTTCGGCAGGTTCAGAAGAGTCTCATACGAACAATGTGGTAGGGTCCCAGGTGCAACCTATCAATAACCCGGAGGATGAAACGATGTCATTCGATGACGCTCTTGAGACTGAGTTCATGGTCTATGACGACTCCACAGTTCCAGAAAGTCCAATTGAGAGGATGGAGTCGGTGCCCTATGGCGAGTGGCAGCGTGGGAATCCGCTGCCCTTTTAAGCCGATCTGCTGACACTTTTCCTACGACATACCCACGGTCCAAGATTCGTGGTGTAGATTCGGACGACACTTTGACAACCCAAGTGGTGTCTGGTGATTCCCTAGAACCTCGGCGACGGCGGGAGTTATCTGCTGATCTCCCCAATGCTTCGATCCTCTTCCGAAACGAGTATCACATCCCAATGCGATCCTAAGATGAGCACGCTTTGATTCGATTGCCTTCTTTAATTCCTGTTCTACCGAATGGGAATGGATGAAGGTTTTTGCCGCCCATTTTGGCCTTTTTTGCCGAACTTAATTAGTGCCTTAGCCCGCGTTTCTTCCCATGTATGATCTGTGTCCGGTATGCATTGCAATGGCTTTTGTCTGGGTAGCACGAGGAGATGCCATCATGTCGACGTTTCATGGCCTGGCATCTTCGGAGCGGGTTCGGCGTTCTCTTTCAGAACGCTGGGTACGGCTTTCCGATATGCTGCTAGGGTGGAGGTTTAGGGAGTTGGGAAAGGGCAACGGGTAGTAAGAAAGAGATATGAGCATCTACTAGATCACCTAGCAGGGTTGCTATAGCAGCTTTCACTTGATTTACACAGACCACCAACTCCCTTCTCAATGAAGTTGAGACGCTAGTGTTATCCTTAGCCCTTGATCTCCCTAGCCGTGAGGCTAAGATACTGCTTGCGCCGATTTCCAAGCCGTAGTCTTTTCACCCGTTGCCTCCGACTTACTGCCGTAGACTGTGCACCGGTTTCTAGGTTGTGAATCAAGGAATGGAAACTTCGGCTGTTGTCCTGGGTAGCGCTTCTCTTCTAAACGGCAAAATAGCTTACAGGTTTTCTACTTATATATTAACATGATCCAACTTCCTGCGTATGAATGCCGCGCACGATACTCGGAAAGAGCCAGCACCTCCAAGAGACTTTCGTTCCAATATCTTGAGATCGCCAGTTAGTATGTAGCCTCAAACAGCACTGTTCAACACCTCTTCCTTTGCCTTTCCGCTCTCAACCAACGCTCTAGTAATACTTCCATATGCGCCTCTTCCTCCTGTAGGATCTTGTCCTTCTTTCTCCAACGCTGTGACCGCGTCATCGACCTCTCTAGAGTTGTTAGTTGATCCATCTCAAGCCATGGTCGGTGGTTCCACCTATAATGGAGGCCCTACCCTGGAACCCTTCATCTGTCTCCGCTGCCTCCCTACCCACCCACCTCGCCATCTTGTCCCTTACAAATTCCTGGAAATCCCATTCTTCGGGCTCCAGACGGTGTTTTCCGGCAACCCAGATGTAGGTTTCTGCTTCTACTTCTTCGCCTTCGACGTTCGCTTCTGACGGCTGGGAAAGATGGCCCATACCACCCACCTCTCCCTCGTCCTCGCCTTGAGAATTCTGCTGCTGCTCCAGGACTCGTACCCGCACTTTCCGCCTCTTATACTCAAATCCCTCGAAGATGTCGAGACGCCAGATGTCTCCGTCTGTGAGGCCTGTGACCAGGGTTCCTCGGACTGCGGTTGTCATATTGGCGGGGAGAATGGCGGGATAGTCTGCGTTTTTTACTTTGTGGCGTTGGTGCCGGTGAAGGATTGCGGGTTGGATTTTGAGGAGGGAGGAGTGTGCAGGAGTAGGGGGTTTAGAGGAGCCCCAAATTACGCGGTGGAGGACGGGAGGCGCCATGAGCGTGCCGTAGAAGAATGCTGTGTGGGTCGTCATGATGGGAAGGGCTTGGAGACTGGGAGAGGGTAGGGAGGCAGAGCTAAGGTGGGTGGAAGTGAAGGGTAAAAGGAAACAAGATGTGATTGAAAAGAAAGAAGTTTGAATAGTGGTATATTTACAAGCAAGTAGATTGTTCACTCAGCAACAGTTTAGGGAGCGGGGAGATAAGCTTCCTTATCGCTCAGCCCTGCATCGGACGCTAATGCACATTCCAATCTAGATCTGAGTCGGATCGGAGGAACAGTGGCTCCTTTTAATTACATGAATAATCTGGACATCCCGTCCTTCTCCCTTTCTCCACCCGCCCTTTCTTTCTTGCAGATTGTGCCTTTGCATTTTGGTTAGATGCGCGTGGAATAGACTTATAGCCATAGATATTCAACTTCAGTCCCTTCCACGCGCCTCTTACCCCCGACGACGAAACGACCGAGCGAGTGTTGCGCCGCAGACATCCGGAACGCTGGATCGGCTACGGGATATCGATATGGGGTTCTTGAATGCGGTGGTTACTTCAATTGCGCCAATATTGTGTGTGGATATGACTTCCGGTGCTCCTGGTCAAGGAGACGGCGCGGGACTGACGTGCGATAGCATTGCGACGAGCCCCATAACGAGCTATGCGGACCAGATATATTCGATACATAAGGAGAGGAGTTCGGCGGGATTCTCGTTGGATATCCCGTTAATTATGCTTGTGGCTAGTATTTTGAAGTGTGTCCCGCTCTCGCTTTTCTCCCTCCTCACATATCCTACCACCATCGCCTAACCTCGACCTGGAATTGTCCTGGAGAGCGCTGACGAGAGTGCATAGAGTATACTACTGGTTCGGCGCGCACTTCAGCACTTCGCTGCTCGTCCAAGCCCTCCTCATGATCTCCGTCCACCTCCTCCTCCTCCACGTCGCCCTAACCAACCGTCCCTCCCTACACACTCCATTTTCCCACTCGTCATCCTCGCCGCGTCCATACAATTTTTGGCAATGGCGGAGCCCACGCCCATACTGGACCTTCCTATCCTACTTCACTCTCACGCTACTGGTCCTGCACTTCCTGCTCTCGCCAACAGGCGCGTTCCTCCCATACACAAGTTTACTAGGCTACGTCGCCCTTGCCATCGAAGCAACACTCCCCCTTCCGCAACTCCTGGCGAACTACAAACGCCGCGGATGTAAAGGCTTCCGCGTGTCTGTTATCGTAAACTGGCTAATTGGAGACACGTTCAAGATGTGGTTTTTCTTCGCTTCAAGCGCCGATGCCGTTCCCGTGGCGTTTAAGATTTGTGGTGTTTTTCAGGCACTGTGTGATTTGGGGCTCGGTGCGCAGTTCTATGTTTGGGGTGATGGGCCAGAGGAATTGGGGACTGGGATGAGGATGGGGATGGGGATGGGGGAGAAGGGGAGTTTTGTGGAACCGGTAGCTAATGGGTTCGTTTTGCCGGCGCAGAAGTTGGATGGGTTTGGGATGCCGGTGGGGGGATTGAGTGAGAAAGGGGTGGGGATCGATATGGCAATGGATGGGTGGGATAGACCGAGGGTTATGTAAGGATTGGACTGGGGGATGAGGAATAAAGTATGGCGTTAAGGAATTTAGGGGATTGTTGGGCTACGATAGAGGTATATATTGAAGACTTGGACATGGATAGTGGATGGATGTCTGATTGGATATTACTAATAACTATTATTTTGAAGAACATGCTAGTGAACAGGCTATTGTGTGTCCCTAGCCGTCTTAATAACTACCTTCCCTTGACTACCCTCCTTTCTCCTCTCCCTCCTATTTCCCCACCCCCTCCTCAGACTCTCTCATCTACAAAGAACGCACAACCTCTCTCCAACCATCTCTATGTGCAATACATCGTACATCCCGATAGCTTCATTGCCTTCCTCGGGCTTCTTGAATCCTGTTTCTAGTTTGATGGCTTTCGTCTTGTCAACCATAATCTCGACTTGCGAGAGGGAGAGGGGGATTGAAGGGCCAGTATACACGACTTGATAAAGCAATCGTATTTTCTATTTTCTATAATTGTAACGCTAGATATTTCGCAAAGGTAGAGGTCGAGTCCCTCAGCTTCTCAAATCACCTGAAACCGCAGTTCTGATACACGAGACTTAGCCTTCCAGGTAACCAGGTTCAATAACAAAGCTCAAGGAATAGAAGGAAAAATCTACAAAATCCAAAGCAGTAGGAAAGGCAGTAGAGGGCCTTTACAAGAAAGGCCCGCATACGCAAGAGAAATGATGGTTGTGAATATAGTAGAAAGGTAAGACGCGACGTGATTGAACGGATATACCAAAAAGCACAACTCATGTAGGCAGCTTGATTTTGATATTCTGTCATTCATCCATTACAGATAGTATGATACTTGGGAGCTCACAAGTTGTGAACTATTTATACTCAAAATTTCATTGCACCTTACTCTTCTCCCATCATAATTCCACTATTTCCCTTTCATACTCTACCCTCACTAAGGTCGATAAAGGCACCCAACCAACGAAAAGGCTTGAAATAACAGCACAAACACCCCCTTCAATGCACAGCAATTCAATTGAGAACCAGGTCGAAACTATGATCCATCGTCTCCGGCATCTTTAAACCAACCTCGACAATATCGATTTGTAATCTAAAATGACACTTACGGACTACGTTTAGGAAGCTGTTCAGTCTACGAAGGTTGCTGTGGAGGGTGTTAAGATGTTAGGGGAAGTCAAGGAGACTTTTGAGAGCGTCGCACTAGATATGTTAGAGCTGTTAGAGCTGTTAGAGGAGCTAAAAGGGAAGCAGTATGATGAAATGATGGGCGTGGATAGTTAAGTGTATTTTTTTGCCAACAAGTAGGTTGCTAAATGGATCAGTTAGAATGGATAGAATCGAGAGATGAGGGAGTAGGTCTTTATCATAAAGCCAGTAATGGTTGTGATCCTCAATACATGTTTTCAACAATCCGATAATATTCCCAGGCACATTTCCCTTATAAAAACACTAGCACCACCCACATAACTGCCTAACCATACACTAATCATTTGATTCTACACTCCTATCACTATGGCAAATCAACCCGTCACCTGTCTTTTCATGCAGGCAATGAAACACCTAGAGGAGGCTACCAAATCGCTAAAGAATCAATTGCAAGATATATCTAAGACGGCCCACTACATGAGAACAGAATTCTAGGGGGAGGGCTAGAAGTAGATCGAGACAACATCAGGGTAGTGTTAAGTGAGACTTGGATATAGGATGAGAAGCGAAGGCACTTCGAGGAGGAATTAGACAAACTCTAATCACGCTGTTCATGAGCGGCTGGCACAGATACTATGAAAGTACTCGGAAAAGTTCCACCGCAGGATAGCGTTCGGCTCAGGCAAATGTTGGGTGAAAAATGGCAATGAATCTGCCGCAGTGAAACATACCACGAGCCTTTATCTGAGAATATCACCCCTTACATAGATTTACAGAACCTCTCCATATCGGCTCATTATTCACCCTAATTCCCTTCATTCACTGCTCTCACACAACTCTTCATACCCCGGATCGCAGGATTCAAGGAGAACGAGAGAAGTTGGACCATATAATCGAAGCAGCCTAAATATACGGGTTATACTATTCAAATATAAAATTTTCTCTCGGGCTACCTAATGGAGTCCCAAATTTGTGCATCCGTGCTTGGACGACTTTCAGACCATCCAGGGCCATTGTTATCACGTGATTATGAAGGCTGAGATATTTTTAATTACGCCAAAAACCAGGGCTTGAATGTCCCCAGTTGTGTTTCCAAGACTGCGCCACAGCTACGGTTGGCTCGTAAATCGTATTCAAATACGAGACATTTCGCATGAGCTTCAAACACAAACGCGGGGTGAGCTAGCAGCAGGCCTAGGGACATCTGCTTTGGACTATGTCAGTTCACAGTTTAAGGAAATTTCTTCTTTTACACTTGTTACCCCGTCTCATCTACGCCATTAGTTATTCTATCTTAGAAGGCGGCACCCAATTCATCACCTACAACGGCTCCATATCCGGAACCTTTACATCCGCCAGCAACTCATCCTGCGGCACTGGTCCACCATTCTACTTCGACAACCTAGTGAACACTTCGCTCAGGATTGGAGTAAATCCACCTTGGGATACCAATCCGTTCTTTTTCGAATTCGCTCATGACGGAAATAATTGGCAAATACTAGAAAGCGATCAGCCGGTTTATCTAAAAGATATATCTGCCTCAACGCGTTCGGCGGCAGTACATACGACGCTGTGTATAACCTACAGTTCGCGAGCGCGTACTATGTATGTGAGAAAGATGGACGTCGATGTGGAACCTATGAGAATTCGCCGTGGTACTATGTCAGTGCGGAGATTGTGAATTTGAGTGCTGCTACGATTACAATTACTACCAGTGTGCTACAGGGAACAAAGGACCCGGTTCCATTGTATGTGGTGGAAGGGGACGAGAAGACGTGGATTAGTAATGGAATGGTTGAGGTCGATATGTTTGATTTCTAGACTCCGCGGAACTACACTAAGAACGAGAGCAGTGACGCTTGTAGTGAGGGGTTCAGCTTCCATTGGTAAGTAGAATGCCCCCGTGTCAATTATATGTGCAGTGGGAATGCTGTTGTCCCTTTGTATTAACAATAAGCCTAGGAACAAATCCACAGATTTTTACCGACAACTTAAACTTCACCAACACAAGCAGTGCTGCCCTATTCACACTATCCGCTCCTTCAGGCAACATATCGCTTGCTTTCAGTGGCTCCCGCATTGACCATAACGACCAAAACTCCGAGCCGCAGAATAACGGGAATTATACTGCCATTTCTCTGGCGGATCCAAGAGATAATGCAACACCGCTTTTCACCTTCGCAAATGGGACTCATATTAAGTGGAAGGGGGGTAGTGGGACAATTTGGAGTGCGGTATCTGATGCTTCGCAGGAAAGAGGGTCACGGCCTGGGATGACTCTGTGGTGTGTAGTGATAGGGGGAATTGCTTTGAACTCTTTTGGGCTGTAAAAGTGGATGGTGACTGGTTCAGTCTATAATGTTGATAATATATGTCAGATGACTTGTCCTCCAAGGTCAATTATGACAACCCAAGAACATAAAGATTCAAAAAACCTACTTGAAAAGATATGTTTGTTTCAATTGCGTAAACCCATAATACTCTATTAGAGCCCTATTAATCCCGCGTTTCTAGTTCTGTTTCTCATCAAATACAAGTGGCTTTCGCTAGACATCGACCAATTTATTACCGCTGCCCGCTTGTTTCAGAAGCTAAATGACAGTATATTCTTTGACGTAGATTACTATCCCCACGGACTGTCGTACTAGGGCTCCTTGAATGGAGATCAACCAACGTGACCTAGAACAACTAGACATTGAAGTGCATTAACGTGAGTTCCATTTGAAAGCAATGGTAGGACGCACCGCACCATATTGTATTCAAAAATTTCGTGGAAAAGTGTGGATAGATCGTGTATTGCTCCGATGCCTTTATTTCTAACCAAGACGCAAATGATTACGCCATGTTGCTAGAAAATTTGCTGCTGTAGTTTAATATGCAGACAATGAACCTTAAAATCTTACATAGTAAGTTATATATTTTAAATTTTAATCTTTGAAATACAATACTATTACGGTAGAGAATGCAGAAAAAGTTAAAGCTCTATGCACTGTAGCTACATAGTTGTTGAAGTGTAGATAACTAAAAAGAACTGTACCTAATTGCTTGCGATACTCATCTAGGCAAGAAATTAAGTTGACTAGTTGAAACTACCTAAGATGCAGCTTTTTAACATATCTCTTTGCTTTCTAAGATTATTAGAAGCCTTGACATTGTGTTGCCTTAAACATAGAGGATGCACTATTTGTTTGTAACTATACTAGAGGCTAGTTCTGGCTTAATAGCAGGCTAGATTGTAGGCTCTAGCATAGGTTCTAGCGTTAGTAGAATACTCTAAATGCAAGCCTGTTCTAGCTTGCGTATTAAATAAGAGAAAGAGCAGGAACGGGGGGCTGTATACTACAATAGGGTGCGAGTAAAGATGGTAGGTTAATAGAGGGCGAGTGAACGCGCGTTAAGCTTCTCTAAGCGCAGACAAAGCGAAATTCTAGCTACGCAGAAATGACGAAGGGAGAGTCAATAATACATGGACAGGATGGACGTAGGTCCGCTTTTGGACTCGTTCAAGTGTTGTGAATTTTAGGAAACATGAAACAACATAGGATAGGGAGGTGCGGCAAGAAAAGCCGACAGGGTCGCAGGGGTTGGACTTAGCATTTTGGGTGCAAGTGACTCCAAAAGCAGCGACAGAGAACTTCCTAAAAAAGAGTCAAAAGTCTCCGGGGATAGAGTTACTATGGTAAACACTACATGAACTTTCATCTTCTCTTCGCAATACATTTTGTCCCCCTTCACAACCCATAGAGATAACTACATACGCACCCCGTAACGAACCAAGTTAGTAGTGAGAAGCGGCTATGGGAACAACACAGGTTTACTCAGTAGAGTAAAAGGGAATGCAGTTGAATTACCCATAGGACTATTAGGTTTTTAGACGTAACTGCAGAATAACCGACACCTTTCATGGCTTAGAATTTCCACTGAGTTAGGAGGACTGAGACTGTAGTAAGGATGAATAACCCACTCCAGAAACTGAAAGAGAAGCGGATGAAATTGAGCAAAGCACTGGTAGATTTGCATTCATCGTCAATGGAATGGCCATCTGATACTCGAGAGTGCATTGTGTGTGGGCTAGCTGAGTTAGATAAATGACAAAGGTTCTTGTCCGGGGTCAAGAGAAAGAAAGAAGAGTTTGAGAAGGTGACCATGGATGCACTGGAGCTTACGGTGGAAACCTAGAATTATGGGATCAATGTATATTAATTCGATGCTCGCTTTCGCTGTCAGAGGGTATTTTTAAATTCTTCTTATACCTGTTCTATTGTAGCTTGAATATGGAGTGTGCATGCATAGTGACCCACAAGGTAGCTCTTAGCTAGCTAATACTCTCCAGTCATCTCTTCCATCTATGAGTGGAAATATCACCTTAGGTCCGAAATCAACCTGATCGTAGCTTTAATTTGACCATTAGAGGTTGCTTATCCCACAAGATGTAGACCTTTTGATCCGCCCAATCCGCTGAGCTCTCCTCAAGTTCCATCTCGAAATGCCAGATCAACCGTGCTAAGATGGTACGTATCTCCGCATAAGCGAGACCCTGACCCCATTAGCATTCAATTGTAGAGTAAGGGATTAGATAGCAGGGTTGATTTGTCACATACCTGGCCAAGGCAATTTCTTGGTCCAACAGAGAATGGCTGTATCACGGAGAGATTGTCGTTCTGATACTTTGGATCTCCAAGGAAGCGCTCTGGAGCATACGTATCGGGATCGGTAAAGTTACGAGATGATCGATACGCAGGATATTGTGCAACTCCAACACTGCAATTTGGTGGAATATAGGTGTTACTAATAACCGCACCCTGCTTGGTCGTGAGTCGAGGCAGGGTCGTTGGCACGGATGGATACATTCGGAAAGTTTCCTGGATTATGGCGTTCATGATTTTAAGTTGACTGAGTGCCGCGAAAGTCATCTCAGATTCGTCGCGAAAGGTGATTCGTATCTCTTCCTGAAGTTTACTCATCCACTCGGGATTTTTTAGGAGGTAGAAGATCGCGCCGCTGAGAAGCGTAGCTGATGTCTCACTGCCGGCTATTATGACGATTGACATGGTCTTCATAATTTCTGCCGTTGTCATTCCCTTTTCGTCATTATGTTTCAGGATATAGCTTGCCGAAATTAGTGCCCACCATTGGTCATCAAGCTTAGACACTTACCTCATGAAGTCCTTTCGATCGGTTTTCATTTCTAGACGTCTCATCGTCTTGTCAATACTAAATTGCTCGTGCTTCTGTCTCGCCTTTGCAAGCGCGGGAAACATTTTCAATAGGGAGAGAATCGGAAGTCCGATTAAGGGGTATGCCCGCAACACTCGAAACATCCTCGCGAACTTAAGCCCTTTGAAGATGTTTGCAACCCACGGATGGTCCTCCTGGTTCTCTAGTGCACCGAAAGACTCTCCAAAGCAGAGATCACCAGTAATGTCGAATGTGGTGTAGTTAAGCCAGCGGACTAGATCAACGGGAGCATTTGATGCAGCTTTCTCTTGAAGGCGCTGTATTAAAAGGTCGATGTATAAATTTATAATTGAGTCTTGGCTTCTTAAAGCTTGTTCGGAGAAGGCATGACTCATCAGTCGCCGAATTCGTGTGTGGTCAGCCTCATTCGAAGCTGGTTAATGGATATTTAGTGAATTGCCACGAGATGAGATCGCACCATGGAGTGGACATACAAACGATGTCGGCGATATGATCGTTCCCCATTGTGAAGTATATTTCCGGATCTTTTGGGATAAGCTTCTTTGTTGCAGTTTGCCCGTAGATATCTTCGAGGGTTCCTCCCAATTAGTTTGAACCTTTCACGTGACTCATGAGTGAAAATAGACTTACCACGCCATGCATCCGGATGAATGATCGAAATCCAATGAGGTGAGATACGGACAAATGGCCCATACTTTTCATGCATTCTATGCCAATTGAACACGATGTCTCCGGTCCATACCTCCCAGTATGTGGGGAAGTAGAACGCGCCACGGAGCTTAGGTCCTGGGAATTTCGCTGCCGGATGAAGTGTAAGGTTGTATACTGCTCGAAGGAGACTGAAGATCAGATACTAATGTAGCTGTTAGCGTGGACTCTTCGGTTGCTTGCTTGGAGAAAAGCATACTGCCACACAGATTGTGACAACAAATCGCAGCACCGAGAAGCCTTCGCCCATGAGCACAGCCATCTTGTGATTTGGGTTGCAAAAAACTGGACAGATGCCTGAATCTTATTGCAATGGTACTCGCGGTGGATGTTAAAAGCCGTGCCGCACACGGCATATTGCGAAGTCGCCGTCCCCGACGGGAGGATCGCACGAGAGCTAAAGTTACCCTTTCACGGTAGCGCACTGACCATGATTGTGGCCACATACCTGGGCACCTGCAGCCAGCTCGGGGACTTAGGAATTGCGATAAATATACAAGCTCGACACCAAGATTCGGGTTTCACGTCGTGTTGATCTAGCTGTGCATGGTTGATTCGTGCATCTTATTTGTTCTATCGTACTCGGCAATGCTCGAATCAAAATTCACAGGCACCAGGGTTACCCGGCTTGCGAATATTCTATTCTCAACTCGTATTCAGCTCTAAGTTTCCACCCAAGTACTTCAACTCAGTCTGCTGGTACCAAGGACACTCGCTAATCCTACCGCTTAGGGATTCTACATGCCTCTCGCTTTCAGAGTAGTCGAACGCGGAACCCTTTTCCACATCCACCTTCGCTAGTGTCTTGTCATTTCCACCATCGGACTTATTGCTCGTTTTTCCGAGGAACGACTGGGACGCAATTGCGATGCGCTGGCCTATCTCTTTAAAGAAAACTCTCAGCATGGGCAAGCTTGCCGCAATTATTCCGAGGTTTTGCTCAAGTCTAGCGAGAATTAGAGCTTGTGAACATTCTAGAAAAAAGGGGCCCCTTAGGAATTGCTACTCACGCTGTCCAGATTTGAAGATTAGCTAAACCAAACGTTGAGTCCTTCCAGTCGGTATATGTCGCATAAAGTGCTAGACGGGCAACAGAACATCCAGTCGCCCTATATTAGTTAGTACAGTAAATGACAATATGAGAATTCACGTACACTAATCCGATAATAATCAATCCACAAATAGCAATCTTTTGTCGCATGGTGATCTGGAGGTTCCAAATGACGAACACAGGAAGCAAGGTGAATATGAAGTCAGTGACGATAGCAATGACTGAGAAATGTCAGTAAGAATGAGACTAGATTTTTTTTTTTTTTTTTTTTATCACTGGTAGGTGCTCACCACCCTGTGTATAATTTTGGTTCTTCAGCACTTGTCTTGGCCAACAATTCAGTCGTGGAGCAGCGTAATTCCAATTCGCCTCGAAAGGACGACATCCCGCAGCGAGAATCACAATACCGGAAATACCAGCACAAACGACAACCGTAACCAGCGGAACCATCCCCCATTTTAGTCTTCGACTATTCGAAATTCTCACGATCGTCAAAGCGATGGAGATCTTCGTAAGTGTGGTGGAGACGATGAACGGCAGCTGAGCGATAGTACTCCATTTTGCGACATCAACCGCTTTCAATCGAAGATAGATAGTATGTCTACCCCCTCCAGATTCGACATATTTGACGATGAAAGCGGTGTTGACCGCGGCTGCAAGCTGTGTCGTGTGAGTAGGGTAGCAAGACTTAGATGAAGGACCTACAAGAGCCAGGACTATCGTGTAGTCATCCCATGAGGTAGACTTGATCTTGAGACGCCGATAGAGAACACGCGCAGTGACAACAATGGTGGCCAGGATGAAGGTGACGAGGTTGGCAGCTTCGAGTCCAGGACCTCTGTTAACATCGCCCCCAGCTGGAATCTTGAAACTTCCGAATTGAGACATTGTGAGTGAATGATGCTGAAAGAATACGATGCATCCACGAGCACGGCAACGGAGAGCTGATCAGACCCTGACAACTAGGCCAGACTGGTGCGTGCAGCCACGAGGAGATATAGCTTTTGCATGATCGTACCAGTCTTCACATTTCCCGGAGAAGGAATTAGGATTCCGTTATCAAAAAGACTTATTAATATGCATGCTAAATTAGAAGCTAACTGTAGCAGCGGTAAGACGCAATTAGCAAGGGAGGGCTTTGTGGATGGCTGAGGGAAATGAAGCAGAGTACGAACGAACGGACTCCCAAGCAGTTCTTTGAGGGATGTCACTGTGTGTTTCACCATAAAATATACACATCACTGGGGTCTAACTCGCCACTAAGATGCCGAAATGTTGTCATACAGCTTGTCGGAATCTCCAATGCAGGGGAAAACGCTTGGATAGTCAAGCGCCCGCTCCAAACGCACGTTCTCCCGTCCCACCAGCCGGCTAAATCTTTTGACCGTCGTTAAGACGCAAGTCACTTGAATGAATTGATTAAGATAGTACCCCGCGACACATGAAGTACGAACTCTAGTCCAATAGTATCTCCAAATAGCTTCGCGTATGCCACGTACCTCATCACCTTCACTCTTACTCAGCATCATATATGAGAAGGATCGGAGCCCGAGGATAGATTAATTTACGCTACCAGAAAACATCCTTACATCCACGTGTAGCCTCCCAGGTTTCTGTGGCCACTCTCCCAACTCAACCAACATGCAGCCTCAGTTGCCTGCCTCTGCCAGCCTCCATTGACCCGTGGTTTTCTTTCTCTCAACTTCGTTTCGTCTTGTTACCTTCATGTTTCCGGACATACATGAACACGAACGGGTAAACCACCTCGGCTAGCTCCGCAGCCACGAAGAGAAATGTCGCTGCAGGCGTGTAAATATATGCGTAGTCCCCAGGATACCAGTAAGCCCGCCATTGGAAGACCGTAGTCGCGCACAAAGTGCCTGTGAATCGGAACCACCTGCAAACGTCAATCCAGTCCAGCTCAGGGAGGTGGGACTACAGGCGACATACCAAATTGCTAGGGTATGACCACGCGTGCTAGCCCGCGAAACAATCTGTGCAATTGCGGCCCAAGAGACGATGATCTGACACGCATAACCACTCCAGAAACTGGCTTGGTGGATATCCGTGAACAAGACAGCGAAGCACCAATGCGCAGCTGTCAGTGCCGCGCTTCCAATGAAGACAATCAACGGCAGATTCTTCTGGACAATTGCGGATTGCTTCCATTCGTTGGCACCAAATTTAAGGGTTGTGTAGACTAGGCCTAGATCAACGAGGAAGTACGGCGCAAAAGTGACGAATTCTGCCACTCCTGGAGGGTAGAAGAATCCGTACACAAGCTCCCAAGATATGTTGGCGCAACTGCACACCAGAAGCCGTTAGTAATGAAACGGTAATAGTTCTGGAGTAAGTACTGACAGTGATAAGAGTGGCATGCCATAGGAATGATCCCGGTATGATTGCCGCATATAAAGTATATACGCAACGATCCAAAGCACGCCCATCACGATTGTGAGTCCATCTTGAACCCAAAGATACCATGCCGGAGGGTTGTTTGTGGCATCAATCGGACTCAAAGGGAGAGTTGGGATCTGCATCATGAAAGACAAATATCGCAAGAGTGAACTTCTGCAAATGCTGAAGACAATGATTCCAAGCCAACCGTGGTGGCGTCATATCTTTTAAGCAAATCCCATTTTGCAATCAAGTCGAGCTCCGCCCTTAGCCGCAAGAACACTTCTGCGCAAGAGGGGGTCCAAGGATAATCCGAAGACAGACGCAGCGGGCGATGACAGTCGGGGGCAAGGGCATAGTCTCAACGTGGGAGCAAGGAACCCAGACCTGGGAAGTACCCAAAGTGTTGAGCTGACAAGGATGAATTTAGTTGCTGCAAGTGGTTGCCGAGCGCTAGCCACATCTCCGTGCGGGGTGGCTTCCGTGTTCGAACGAACAACCAATTCCATATGAAGTGCTGCCTTCAATACGAGTACGGTGTGCTTTCATATCGTATAGTTTTTCGGAGACCGAAACACTTGCCTTGGCTTTTGAATGTCACAGAACACCTTTGTTTATCTCAAAATTCTAAACCTGGGAATTTCCTGATCCCGCAGAAAGCCACCAACGCCGGTCCCAAATGAATCGTTCGGTATACAATCTACGTCGAAAGTGATGAAATCTCCATCTTTTCTTCTCTGCCCCATAACGTCGCGAATTGCAGATTTCGCTGCCGTACAAGCCGTAGTTCTTCAAGACACAGACTGCGCACTTCCTCGCCCTGAAGTGCGCAAACGGCCCTATTCACTGCAGCCTTGTATTCAGCCTGGTTTCCCCGCTTCCGATTGAATGCATTCTCAAGAGCTGATTTGATAGGCTGCGATGAGTACAGCCCCAAAATAATAGGATACGAGTATTCTCCATTAATTAGATCTTCGGCGAGGGCACCCTTGGCGGTTACAACGTCAGATGAGAAAACGTTCTTACAATCGTTTTGCAGCTGACAATACCACCTATGAAAGCCGTTAGATTCTTGGTCACCAAATATAGCTGGTGCAACATGCCCATATTCGTTCATTAGATCATCTTGATCGTGGCTGCCGGTAATCAACTGGCCCACGAGCTTGAAGAGCGCCCCGGTCTTCATCGAAGCACATCGGCGATACATTTGAAGCGCAGTTTCGGCTTCGGCAGGGAAAGGAAAGCCATCGCGGCGCCAAACAAGGGAATCGTCTTGGCCTAAGATATTTGGTCAGAACTATCTGAGAAATTTAGGACATAGATTGTACCTTGGTGAATCCCGGTCACACAGTCGAGAATGAACGGAACAAGCTCTGGTCTTTCCCTCTGGCATTTCATGACCACATTGAGAATTATCAAGTATGCGCGGTTGATGGTCTCAGACGCTCCATATATTCGATGCGCAGATTTATGGCCTTTACGCAACATGCTATCATCCGCAACATCGTCAACTAAGATAGCCCCAAAATGTATGGCGTCCATAACCTCGAGAACGAGCAAGTACAGATGAGGGTCGTCATGCTCCAAGTTTGGGCTGAGATTGGCGATGATTTTCTTAAAATGGTGGGGACCGTATATGGACAACAGGTAGTCGTAAGGGCAGTCAAAACTTCGCATCGATGTTTCTGGTACCGTCTTTCCGGCAGTTCGTGGGTGGTTCCTGCGCAATAAGGAGAGGACTGAATAAAAATACTGAAGAACTAGTCCCAGCACAAACAAGATACATGTAGATATTGGTGAACTCATTGTGGTTGTTTTGGGAGGAATTGAAGACTGTTTTGCATCTAGTCGTTCTAATGGAAAGGTCTGTTCACTTCAATAAGACATATATGAAGAGTTCTCATATCAGATATGTCTGCGGAGTAAATATATCAGCTTTCGCGAAATGGCACATGCACGGGATATGTTTGGCCTGGTTGCTGGGACTGCGCCCCATGGAGCAAGGGAAGATTAAACTGGCGGATTATGTTGGCACCGGCTCAATTTCCATCTATTGACGGCACAGGATGATGGCAGTTGTGGTGATGTTGCAGGTGAGAGTTGGACTTGATCTCCGTGTTTAGACTGGGACGCGTCAGGTCAGGGCGGTGATATTGCCGCAGTGAGTAATGGTTGAGAATACTTACGGTCACCGAGTTTGTGGGCGAGATTGGTACCTACATACCTGCAACTGTGCACCAGTCAGCAGAAGACATCAGGCCCAAGTCCCAGACTGAAACCTGAAGACCCCTGTCTGCGCGCTGCAAGTGACCTGTTTATGGCCCTGATAAGAGGCTGCGGTACGTGCTAAGCTATCAAAAGTTTACCCGAGCCCCATGCATTCGTATCTTGCTTAGTCCAAGCCATGCGGTCCCAACCATTTTTCGGCCGCTCGCCGACTTGGTATTCTCAGGTCGTGAAATTGCACAATAATTTGCGTCACTGTTGAGCCCGCCGTGCATTCCTTCGACTCTGAAAATTCCCCTCGTTGCGTCATCTCGGGCTCCGACACCAATCCATCTGCTCCACAAATCTATGGCTTCAAAAAATAAAGACAACAGCGTCGCTATCATAGGTGCTGGTCTTTATGGCCTAGTAACTGCAAAAACCTTCCTCTGCGACTCGTCTAACTTCTTCTCATCCATCACGGTCTTTGAAAAGGACTCCGGCATTGGAGGAGTATGGTCAGAAAACCGGATCTATCCAGGCCTAGCAAGCAATTCCCCCGCCCTCACCTACGAAATTCCTGGATTTCCGTACCCTGAACACCTCCGCAAGATCGGTGGGCATGTAAAGGCAGCAGACATTAACGCCTATCTTCGCGCCTTTGCGAAGAGTTACGATTTAACTCGGCATATCTCATTCAACTCTCATGTTACAGACATAACCTGGATCGAAACTGATCAAAAATGGAGGGTAAAAGGAAAGAACTTCAATGGGGAGTTTGAAAGAGCCTTTAGGTTTTTGGTGGTGTGTAATGGGATGTACCACGAGAAGAACATTCCCGCCATCGCCCGTCAAGCCCGAGGCGAATCCCTCCCAAAGGTGTTCCATTCCGCAGATGTCGGAGATCCAAAAATACAGAAAATCCTCTCAGACTCGAGTCACACGTTAGTGGTAGGAGCAGGGAAATCCGCAATCGACCTCGCAACCATGATTGCCAGCGGAGCGTGGTCTCCAAACACTGTTAGCCCGCAAGTCACTCTCATATACAAAAGGCCTCATTGGCTATCACCGCGACGTATGCTGAGAGGAACGATATGTTTCGAACAGCTCCTTTTCAGCCGATTTGTCAACGCCTGGCTGCCTTTTGCGCCTCATCCCGATGCCGTGCACAAATGGATTGCGGAGAGTGTTCTAGGGAAATGGATGACGGATATGATATTCAGATTCCTCTCCGATGACTTTCCGAAGTGTTGTCACCAACAAGATCTCCTTGAGACTATCCCAGATCACCCGATGAGAGAATCGCTTTCTGGAGCCTTGCATGTGGTACCAGACGGCTACATCGAAAGCATCCGGGACAACAAAATCCGCGTAGTTCTAGGCAGCGTACAATCAATCTCTGATGCAGGCGTTCAAATCTGCACCCTCAAGGGTGAAGTAGAGTCTCTCAAAGTCGATAGCATACTCTTCGCGACCGGTTACAAGATTGTAAGCCTTCCAACTCCCTCTTTATTATCCGTGAAGCATAACATCCATAGGCCTTCCCTTTCTTCACTCTGCAAACTCTCTCCCATCTCGGTATCCTCCCAGACAATGGCTACGAACCCCAGGATCCGAAAAATATCCCTTTCCTAAAATTACACCGCCTCCTGGTCCCGCCCAAAACCTGTCATCGACAAAATAAATCGCAGCCTTATCGCAATATTGCATTCAATGGTTTCGCATACAGCCTGTTGAATCCGACAGTCAGCTTTGTATGTGCGCACTGGATTGCGGAGTACTTTCAAGGCCTCATTATTCTGCCTGATGCAGAGAGTATTGAACGAGGTAAGATTTAAGTTATAATCTCACTACTCCAGTTGAAATTCATATTGCAGGTCTGGGGAGATGGTCGGTGACGTAAGGCTAACCATATAAAATAGACGTTGATCATTTCTATAATTGGCAGTCAAAGACGTTTGCTAAGTACGGAGAAAAAGGGGTACATATTGGGCCCCATGCGACATTATTTGCTGACTTGTTACTCGCCGACATGAGATTGCAGACCGGCCACGTTGCTGGCTGGTCTTTGAATCCTTCCCGATTCCTCCGGGAATGGTTCCGGCCAATGTATCCGCAGATATATGCAGGTCTGGCGGAGGAGAGGAAGGCGAGAGATATAAAATGTCAGAGTCCTGGGTTTGAAATGAAGAAGTGGAAGATTGCCTATTCGAGTATTTTGTCGATTGCAGGGTTTGGTTTCGTACTGAGTCTTTGGTTCGTGGGATTCTTAAGAATAATCCTGCAGACGATCAGATCCATGTAGAACTATGTATACTTTGTGTAGCCTATCAGATAACGCATTTGAATTTGAATGTTCTCTCTTCCCATGATTCTACCTAGAGTGACTCCGCACTACCCGGAAAGACCTTCTCTTTCTTAAGGATAGCAGTAATCTCATCCCAAATTTTAGTTTGAATTTCGGCATCATTAGCAATCGGCGCTTCATCTTTGATCATCTTCTCACTGAGATACCGTCCATGGCTCTCTGGTCCCTTCGCAATGGCAGCATCCACAACACATCTTGCACCATCCTGTGCGGACCGGCCAAGACAAATAGAGAAGCACTTCGTCATATACTTCATCATACCCGATGCATCACCCATCAGATTCGTCTTGCAGAATCCAGGATTCACCGCGTTAACGATGACTTGATCACTGGATATTCGCTTCGCAAGCTCTTTGGCCCAAACTAGCCCAATCAACTTGGTCGCAGCATAGCGATCCTGACCATTGTACTTGCTCTGGTCATTCAGTGCCTCCAGTACTTGGCCCGCAGGAAGCTTATGTTCGGGGAATTGTGCCATCGCATGCAAACCGCTCGATACGAAGCTCAGGTGTGGCTTTGAGGCATCGGGAGCGCTCGGTGAGGTTGCTTGGCGGAGGTTCGGAAGAAGGAGAAGGGATAGTAGGGCTGGGCTGAGTACGTTGACTTGGAGATCCGACTCATAGCCATTGGTGGTTGGTGTCCATTTGAAATTCCATACGCCTAATTACGATGCATTAGCGAAATATGATCTGCTGCAGTTAAGTTTATTGTTTACTCACCTGCATTTAGAATAGCGACGTCCACCTTCTGTCCACTCAAACCGTCGGCGAACGCCTTCACTGATGCGAAGCTGGACTGGTCAAGCTGCCGTACATCGATCTCTGTCGATGCGTCCTTGATTTTCGAGAGATCGGAAGCAGCGGCATTTCCGCGGTCCAGATTCCGAACAGCAAGAATGAGGCGTTTTGGCTTGGATTTTAAGATCTCTCGGGCCGCCTCAAAGCCAATACCTGCATTAGCTCCTGTGATCAGAACAGTGCTTTCGGAGAGGTTGGCGGGCGTTACGGGCAGTATCTTAGTGAACTGTGCTTTGAGGAAATCCATGGCTATTGTGGCAAATGAAGAACTGGGGAGATGTTGAGGAAACTCAGTGGGGCAAAGTAGAGCCTACCTAGGTATCAATAGCTCAAAGGTAAATTAGTGAAGGAGAATGGCGCAGAACAAACGCGAAAAGTTCCACGCCGAAGCGCGTCTGTGAATCGATATTGTTAGCTGCATGTAAATGCGGCAGAACACACAGAATCAGGGCTGATTCCACTTATGCGTCTGGTTGCGTACTTTCCGTCGGGTGAATACGAGCGCCGGATTCTGTCGTATTCATCGGGCATCAAACCCCTGCAATGGCTGAACACCAACGTGTTGTGATATTGCATACCACATGCGTTCATGTTTCGCCCTCTAGAATTGGTTAAGGCGATAATGCTTGTGACATAGATGTGAGACATGCGTGTTAGATGGAATTCGACAGAAAATAAGTTAGATCAACGCATCAGCGAGCTAAATGGCTGAAGTGATAGATCCCCTTGGCAGGCTACTCTTCCGTTAATTAGATAGTGTAACTAGAACTCTGCTACTTCAACGCCGTGTCGAAATTAGGGTTCTGCATTCTCCATGAAAAGACTGGCACAGAAGAGAAGTGTCTTTCGTCCTGCTACATTTGCATTAAGTCCTACGATGGAGAAGGCAATCAATTCCTCCTACATTCAGTCCACTTCCGCGCCACGCAGGACTGAAATTCGCCCTGACAAGGTAACCACTCAAGGTCCTTCGCAAGAAATGTCAAGGGAAGGGTCGAATGGGGGTGATGAGACAAAGTACCATCTTTTAGGGCCAAAGTTGTATCTGATTGTTCTGGCACTATGTCTTTCTGTGATGCTTGTTGCGCTGGTTAGTCCTCCACCTATGAATGATTTAATCACACGACTTTGTACTTACACTGAACGTAGGACAATGCCATCCTTGCCACAGTATTAAAATCTCCACCAAGTTGAAATCAATGCGAACAATACAGTTTCTGATTAGTATAGGCCATTCCGACGATCACGACCGCTTTCGACTCCTTGAAGGATGTTGGTTGGTACGGAAGTGCCTTCCTGATCTCCATGTACGTCTGGGTGCTTTCAGTCTCTTCATTGTGAATTTATAGTTTGCCTAAGAAATATCACGGGATCCAACTTCCAACAGTCTTTTGCGGGAGCTTCAATCCATCAATATGCTCCCACGATCGTCTTGCCTCCACATAGCCTCATTGATGTACTCAAAGACTGACCCTCTTCTTAGCTGTGCATGCCAACCATTGGGCGGCAAAATATACCAGCAATTTTCCCTAAAGTGGACTTTCCTCGCATTTCTCTCTATTTTTGAGCTCGGTTCCCTAATATGTGCTGTCTCTCCATCGTCCGTTGTCCTCATCATTGGGCGAGCTGTTGCTGGTATCGGAGCCTCGGGGATATTTTCAGGAGCCCTGATCATCATTGCCCATTGCATTCCTTTGAAGACAAGACCTGGTGAGTCTAAATTCCCAATGTTTGCAAAAAGGAGATGAGGTGAAACTCGAGCATAGATATTGGTGGATCGATGTTGATGATATGCTGACCAAACACCTCAGTATATACTGGCTTGATAGCCTCTATGTTTGGGGTTGCAAACGTCGCAGGGCCAGTTCTTGGTGGTGCTCTTACTCAGCATGCATCCTGGCGTTGGTGTTTTTGGGTCAACCTCCCCTGCGGTCTTGTCACCGCAGCTCTCCTATTCTTCCTGTTCACCTCTCCCTCACGGCCTGAGTCAGATGTTTCTCTCCACCAAAAATTACTCTCTTTAGAGCTTCCTGGCTTCCTTCTCTTTATTCCCACAACAGTCATGTTTTTGCTCGCTCTCCAGTGGGGTGGTACAACATATGATTGGTACTCTGCAAAAATAATTAGCTTGTTGTGCTGTTCGGTCGTCATGATGACGATATTTGCGGCATGGCAGTGGCGTGAGGGCGACCGTGCTAGTATTCCTCCTAATGTAATCGGGCAACGGACCGTAGCGAGTAGTGCGGTCGTAGCCTTTCTTGCCATGGGAGGTCTGCAGCTTACGACCTATTATCTACCAATTTGGTTCCAGGTAATCAAGGGGGTGAGTCCAACTAGGAGTGGACTTATGTATTTGCCCAGCGTGTTCGGTAATATGGCACTCTCGATTTTTGGCGGAATATTCGGTGGGTTTGAGTTCTCCCAGGGTGCACAGAGTGGTTCTAATTCAAAGACAGTTACAAAAGTAGGATACTATAACCCGGTCCTATTCTTGGGGAGTGGTCTCGTCGCCGTTGGCGGTGGTCTATTAACAACGTGGAAACCGCATTACGGCGCTCCGTACTGGATAAGTAATCAGCTGCTCTCAGGTGCGGGATTTGGCGCCATAATTCAAACCGTATAGTCTTGATCCCCGCTCTCTAACCAGGATAACATCACTGACGTTTTCAAGCCTCTGATAGCTGTACAAGCTGTATTGCCTTTGAAGCAAGTCTCCACTGCAACTTCCACCCTTGTCCTTTGTCAATTCTTAGGCGGCTCTATTTTCCTCTCCGCAGCACAGAATATTTTTGCATCTAAGCTCATCGGCTCTCTTTCGCGTATTCTTCCTCCTGATGTTGCCGAAGAAGTTCTCAGGATCGGCGCTGTTGGTATAAGGGAAGTAGTGTCGCCACATCAGCTCGATGAAGTTATTTTGTCGTATAATGATGCCATTGTAAATACATTTGTAAGTCACACTCTGGTATGGATTTAAGGATAATCAGTCTTAATTCTTACACAGTGGATCGTGATGGCAAGTGGAATTGTAGCCTTGGTGGCGAGTTTTGGTATGCAGTGGAAGAGTGTCAGGGGTGTGAGCCTTGTAGCTGTCTGAGAATTATCTTAAAATAAAACCCGTCCTCGGCTTTAGCTGCGATAATTTCATGCTACGCGAACCCAAAAGCGCCAGCTATATAACCGGCATCTCTTCACTGGAGATACTAGAGCCTAGCTTTTGGTTGACTACATGGAATTCTGTTTTGAGGTCTCATCCGCTATCGAATCGCGTCTTGAAGAAACTTCTTCTCCGGCCCCGAATGAGAGCTTCGCCCGTGAAAGTCACTGTCAATGGTTTTAAATTTCGTATCCCGTACTGCCAGAGTCAGCATAAAAAATTTGTTTAACAAAAAAACCAGACTTTCCCAGTTAGTGAGTCTCCAGTTCAATCTAAAGGCTACCTAGATGTTGTTGAAAGGCCTATGCATCGGATGTTCGATTTCTCCAGTCTTGGTGTCTCTAAATTCCAAACGCCATCGAGCTGCACGAAATCTATTTCGAAGAAGGTGGAGACATTCGCAAATGCAATCGTGAAGAGGGAAGAGAAGACGAACACGTGTTGGCTCTGTCTTTGAAAGCCGAGGCACTAGACCCATTCAACAATAGTTCCATATCCCCTCAGCCTTCTTTTGACCCACAAACTGGATTCCCTCGCAAAAATTGGAGGATCAACCCGGAAACATGAAGTCCGCTCTGGTGAGCGAGAGGAACGATCCACAGGTGGACTTACAACCCCTCCTGAAACCCAATCACGCGACAAGCTGGAAACTCCCGAAGTCCGAAATTTCTAACGATATGTCATTGTCCAATCTTGTTTGCCGCCCAATATCGCTCATCAAGGTCATTCAAGTGGATATTGTGCTCACCTAGTTCCAAGGGCTGGTTAATACGACCTCTACTACCTCATAAAACTAGCGACGGGAACTTCTAAGATAATGACCAGTCCACGAGCCTGGAAGAAGTGATAAGTTAAACGAAGCTTCTCTTCGTTCAGTTAAATGTTATTAAGGGTAACGTACAACACAAGTCGCAAGATCCATGCACATATGTATAGGGGATATCTTTCATCCTTGTATCATTTCAAGATTCACGCATTCGTGCCGAACTCGACATCTGCAGAAATTCTAAATGCGGCATCTAACATCTTCCTGTATCCGGACACGAGGACTTGTGCACGCAGTAACCACGTCTTCAAAAACGCTCACCGGGGTGGGAAGGATGCCTTGCACGACAGTTCATGCACGTTTTCTTAAACAATCTAGGGTAGCATTAGTGCTCGCCATAAATCACGCACAATTATAACGAGTTTGATCAAATAATGTCTTATCGCCAAACTCGAGAACAAAGTGGTTAGAATGATTCAAGCTCCTTTGCGCTTGATTTTCCGAGCTTGTCCAAGCCCTTCTCTCTTGATATATTCACATTGCATCTCTATTCTATCTCAACTAACTTTCTGGCGTGCATATCTTCCATGCACGCCCTGACGTCCGACATGCTCCTTGAAGAGTTGCTGCCCAGCAGAAACGGCACCATAAGTCTCTTCCGCACAAAACTTGAAAATTCCGATGCAAAAATAGAATAATTGCCATAGAATATATTTCTGATACTTGTTATCTGAGATGTATCTGCCACGTATTTATCTTATGGTACAGATGACATGCTCCACTAACATGATCCCATCCCGCAGCGCGGATCAGTGTGACGAAAGCTTCGAAGTGAAACCCTTGGGATTTGCGTGCTAGCTAGGACGTCCTGACTCAAATACCAATTGTGGCACAACATTAAATTCCACGGAGTGGATTGTGTGTAAGCCAGGTGAGAAGCGCATGAAGAAGGGATCAATGAAGAGCTTTCACTTTATCAAATTTTCCAAAGGAGAATGAACAAGAGATGCCACGAAGTGAAGCGGAGTGGGAGCATGATTGAAAAATGGAGGAATGAGAGAGAATTTAGGGGACACATGTTGAGTTAGAGGCCTTGAAAACGACATACTATTGGGGAAGGGACGCGTTTCGTTCGATTTGACTCGCCTTTTCTAATGCGACTTCTACCAGGGTGCTTTCGTAGGTAGGCAATGCTGTCAGCCCAAACCCGTCAATATCGAAGAACCAGATGCCACAACAACGATATGTCACTGACGTCTACATATTTATATATGCCCCACACATCTGAGAGGAAAGATTGAGGCAGTGCTCGAAAACTTGCTCAGAGCAACTGTAGGCGAGATCGACTCCGTTTGAGAAGACCGTCGACCAGCGTACATATATTTGGTGAGGCCGACGCCGATCATAGCTGAGACCGTAGCCTTTCACCATTTCATGCGAACGCATCACCAGGACTGCTGTCAAGGTTGACTGACTGGCTGACTGCATGAGTCATGACGTAGAAATGAGTTGAGAGATGGAGCTGCGTACCTAGATAATCGATAACCCCCCCGCAGTGATTGTGCAGAGTCTGGCCCATCCTCCTCCACTTCTCCCTTGGGCAGACAGCATATGATGCAACATGATTGGCGGAAATTCTCCGAGCAGCTGAAAAAAGTTCAGCAGATGCCAAAGGATTGCGCTCACCTAATCCGTGGTAGGTCTTTGGGCAGCAACCCTTAAAGAAGCTCTGGAAAACCCGTGAAAGTGAATAGCAATGAAGCCATCTCGTGATAGCAAGCTGCCTCGCCTTAAGAACAGGTAAGCCGAAGCGGCGCGGAGAAATTAGCGCTTGTAGGGCCCGTCGATCAATCACAGCAGGTACGAGGTCAGATCCGCGACAAGTAGTCAAACCACATTGCATGGCACCACATCCTTCGATTGATTCCTGAGGCATTTACATTGCTTTCAGGTCATTTCCTGGAGGCGTATTTTGAACAATTGTTCGCTTTGGGAATTAACGGTTTTAGGAAATCGGAGTGGGTACGCGGTTTAGGGCCGAAACTGTGACGCAGTACTGCCACAAGGCCTCGGTCTGCACCAGCAACTCTTGCCCCGCAACTGGACCTGTGGGGGTTCGGTACTTGCTAAGGAGCTCGACCATTCGTATCGTCATATATAATTGGCGCAGACAGCTTGGTTGGGCTATTGAGAGCACGGAGCGAATAGCTGCAAATCATACCAGCAACGGATCAGATAACGCGATCGAAGAGGGAATGACGACAATCAAGTTCAAATCGACTTTATAGGTGCCCAATGCCGTATTCTATAGTAAGCAACGGGACCAGTGGAGAATATTGTTGAAGAGACAAGGGCAAGGTTCCAGGCTGATCGAGAAACTACGACAATCTATCTTGCACGTATTGCACGGGAGCTGGAACAGAAACCATGTGAGGCGTTCAGTAGGAAAGCCGAGGGTTTGCCAGGCTGATAATGAATGCCCGTGTTATGACAAGCTTTGCAAGGCAGATTTCCCAAGATGACAAGAATCCTGTGTACTGCGAAGATGAAGACTGCCAGAGAAAGGAAGAACATTGGGGGAAGAAGACTTTGGAAGGATGATGAAACCTTTGGTCACTGGGACCCGGTACGCATTGAGCGGAGCTGAGACGTGGAACTCTTGCCGCTGGCTTGATTGCTGGTTGCCATGGGTCCTGTCCTTGATTCAAAACCTTTAGTGCCTAGGAGGTCGACAGCAAGCAAGCAATACTTAAGACAGAGGATGGCCAGTAGTTGATGTTGGAAATGTCGGTGCGCACGCTGGGGCAAGCTTTCCAAGCCTGCCAAGTCTATTCGCCTGTTCTTTCTCTGCCCAAAGGGCCTCGACCAGCTCGACCGATGATCGGGGAGGCAGGCCAGCCGATAATCAGCTCTTGATCTGATAACCACCCGCCATGCCCATTCGCTTTTCCCAGCACCCATCACCATGGCCGAGGATGTTACCACCAACATCTTTAACACCACCTCGCCCTCTACCACTGGGGACAGCAATGCTACCCCTGCACACTCCCCTTCACCAACATCTGCAACATCTGCATCGTCCCAACACGCATTTGGTCGCACGGCGCGAGGTGAGTCGAGGCTTCAGCTGAACAGCTTTGTTCCTCAGGCTAATCGCCCTACTCATCAGTCATTACTCCTGCACCCCCCGCCGCTGCAACACCCCTCACCGCCCGGATCGCTACCGTACCCACGGCTTCCGCACCATCTGTAGACTATGCCCTCCCCTCCCCCATGGGAGGTGGTCCCACAAGCGGAAGCTATGTGGTCCCGCCGCGACCGAAGCCCGGCCGCAAGCCAGCAACGGACGAGCCCGCCTCCAAGCGGAAGGCCCAGAATCGCGAGTCGCAGCGTGCCTTCAGAGCACGGAAGGCCGCCAAACTCCACGAGATGCAGGCCCAGGTAGAGACTGCCGAGCAAAGACACCAGAGAGAAGTAACATTGGTCCAAGCCGAACTGCACGAGACGCGCCGTCAAATTGCACAGCTTCAGTTGAAAATGGAGGACTCGAGGAGGACAGAGACGAATGCGACGAGGGAAGCACAATTCTGGAAACAGAAAGCTACTCATCTTGAGGCTCAGAATATAATTCTCAGAAAAGAACGCGACGAAGCGAGGGGATGGGCACCGCACAGTTCCCGCCAGGACTCAGTCAGTCAGCCATCAGTCACGACCTATCCACCTCTGGGCCGTCCCCAACCGGCTATGGACAACAGTCCCGAAACTTACGGTACACCGAACATGAGTGGAGGCTGCGGAGACTGCGACGTCAACGGCAGCTGCGCATGCATGGAGGAGATCGCGAAGCTACCAGGTCCAACCCACTTCATACCCGCGGTTCCGCTCAAGCACATGACGCCTCGGTCCGGTGGATCTCCCTTCAAGCAAACACAAGCATACGCCAAACCCTCGAGTGACCATGCTTCCATATTCGCTGATCGCGAGATTGATTTCACCGACCAGTTCTCGTTTAAGCGACCCCGCCTCGACAATCGGCCTTCAATCACTTTCCTCACACAATCCGGCGAGGCTGACTCTAAGTGTGGATTCTGCACTGACGATGAGAATTGTCTTTGCAGGGACGAGTCGCTACGAAACTTTCAGGAACCGGCCAGAGCAAGCGACGAAATGCCACCTCCATCCCGTAATGGTGTCTCGCCAATCGACAAGAAACTAGCTTCAAACGATTTGGCTATGACCGGCCCTGGAACCTGTCCAGACTGCATGCAGAACCCCCAGCAGAGGGCTTGGTGCCAGAGAGTTGCACAGTCAAAGTCCTCCACTAGCACTGATGTGTTTACTCCTGCGTCATCGTCCCGCAACTTAAGTCTTAATTCCACACTCGATCCTATTGATTCGCGAAATGACCATGCGCTGGTCCCCGACATGAACATGTCAAATCGATATTCTATCGGCTGCAGCGAAGCTTTCAAGCTGTTCGAGGGGCGTGTCCCTGTGGACCAAGACAGCATCGATTGGAGCAACCTCAAACCTATATCGCCGACCACAAGGAAGGACACCTTGTCAGGTCCACCGCAAAGGAAATATAGTGCTTTGGAGCTTGATACTGCGGGTGTTATTGCAACCTTGCAGCAAAGCATGGCGCCGCTAGTCCCCCGTCAGTCGGATGGCCCCAACGTCGAACTTATCCGGCTTGCCCAGGAAAACCGGAGAAGCAGTGACTCACCCTTAACACCACTCTCTCAATCCAATGAGACTGGGATGAGAAGGACCATGTCTGGCTCGCCTGGCCTCCCCATCTCGACTCTTGTCAATGGTGCAGCTACCTCTAGTGCTATGTGGCGGTAAGCAGCGCTAGCATGTTAATATCAAGCCGTATTCCACCTCTTCTTTGTAAGTATTTTACTTCATCTTTAACGCATACGACTGGAGTTTTATTGTTATCGGGGTGGGATTTTGCGGGCTTTGACACACCGGACTAGCTAGTCAGGTCGAATTTTCGACAGGCCCATTATCTCTTCGAGCAACGACTTGCATTTGACTGTTTGTAAATTACATCCAAGTAGTCAGTATCCCTCTCGCAAACACTATGCCAAGTCTTCCCTCGCCAAAAAAACCAAAACCTGCCACTACAACGCCACCCCGTACAACCTCTCTCAGCCCATGTTCCCACCCCCTCCTTCCGTCTCCCGAACCCTCTACGTAATCACGACGTGATCTTTCCACGAAAATAGCACCGTAAAGATATGTGACGAAAAGGCGACGATCTCTAAGTGGATGGAGATTACTCGGTGATTAAATGGGATGTGGGGCATCAGGCCATGGTGGAGCGCATTCTGCGATGTCGGCCTTATCTGATGATCTGATAAATTCTCTGCGCCTGGGCAGACAGGGATGCTATGATTGGAAGGTATTAGCGAGCGGGCCAGTGTCACGTGGGGAGGGAGATTCCGAGGTGAGGCCTCGTTCGAGTGGCTTAGCTACGTGGGGATTCCAGAGGGGGACTTCCCAGGATTGAAGATCCGGGTTGTGTAAGTGTGCATACAGCCGTGCATAACTAGCAAAAGTTTTGCAGAGGTAAGTCTACGTTTTCCTTCTGAACATACCATCTTGCCTTTCTATACTCCTACCTTCTCAATCAGGACATTCGGGATTTCTCTTCATCGTCAATATGTTGATTCGGTTTCTTGCGTCCTCTTCGCTCTTGTGGAGGATCGCTCTCAGTCATGATCCGAACTCTACACTTCAAATGTGCAAATGTTTGCCTAGCGATGCATGCTGGCCTTCACAGGAGGAATGGAGACAGCTAAACACCACAGTTGGTGGACGTCTAATTAAAACGGTCCCGTTGGGCTCTCCATGCCACGACCCGGTATATAACGCTGACGAGTGTGCTTTGCTGAAAGAGCAATGGTTGTATTCGGGTGTACAGTATGTTGATCTCGAATTACCCTCTAGACAATGTTATCACTCGATCATGCTCCGACCATTCCTCCGAGTATTGAGTTGATTCCTGATGCGCGATTGATTGATATAGCATGGAATCGAGTTCCTCAGTCATGGCTCCTCTTTTTGCGAACCAGAGCTGTGATCCTTTCCAGCCCCGGGAGAAACCGTGTACCTTGGGGAATTACGTCGCTTACTCCGTTAACGCTTCAAATGCGGACCATATTATTGCAACATTGAAGTTCGCGGATAAGAAAAATATCCGCTTCGTTATCCGCAACACGGGACACGACTACCTCGGCCGTTCGACCGGAGCTGGTGCCTTAGCCATATGGACTCACCACCTCAAGGACGTTAAAATTTTAGATTGGCGAGATAACGATTTCCGGGGAAAAGCCTTGAAGGTTGGTGCAGGAGTACAAGGCTTCGAGGCTCTGGCTGCTGCAAAAGAAGCAGGGCTTGTCGTTGTGACGGGAGAGTGTCCGACTGTTGGTCTTGCGGGAGGATATATTCAAGGAGGAGGGCATTCCGCACTTAGCACAAAGTTTGGCCTCGCGGCTGATAACGCGCTCTCGTATGACGTTGTGACTGCCACGGGTGAACTGGTAACTGCGTCAGGGACTGAACATCAGGATCTTTACTGGGCATTGAGTGGTGGCGGTGGTGGGAATTACGGGGTTGTTGTATCCATGACTGTCCGGGCACATCCTGATGCGACTACCGCAGGTGCTGCGTTCATGATCAGCGGCTCAGAGCAAAATCCAGAGCAGATCTTCGACGTTATCGATGCGTGGCATGCTGCTCTCCCCAAAATCGTGGACTCAGGAGTTATGGCCATATACTTCTTCTCTAACACCTTCCTCCAGATCCCAGCGCTAACCGCATACAACAAGACCGCATCCGACATTCCCCATATTCTTGAACCATTCCGGAACTCCCTCATTGCCATGAATATTTCGTTCAACCCAACCGTCACTCAATTCTCCTCCTATGTAGACCACTACAATAAATACTGGGGACCGCTCCCCTCTGGCAACATCCAAGTAGGAACGCAACTCTTCGGTGGGCGTCTCATTCCACGCTCTATCCTCCCCTCGTTCTCTCCTACTGCACGGAAACTCGCAAACCTCGGCGTCATATTCATCGGAGTCGGCCTCAACGTCTCCCACTTCGGGACATCCCCGCCCAATGCGGTACTCCCACAATGGCGCTCTTCAATCACCCAGGCATCACTCACGCTACCATGGAACTTTTCAGCATCGTGGGAAGATATGTTAGACACACAGAGGAAGATTACGGAGGAGGTGCAGCCAGTGATTGAGGCTGCGACGGCGGGCGCTGGGGCGTATATGAATGAAGCAGATTTTCAGCAGAGGGGATGGCAAGAGGTGTTTTTTGGGAGGAATTATGAGAGATTGTTGAGGATTAAGAGGAGGTATGATCCGAAGGGGTTGTTTTTTGCGGAGGTTGCGGTGGGGAGTGAGGAGTGGAGTGTTGGCAGCGATGGGAAGATGTGTAGGGCAGGGAAACTTGGGGTGCGTGGAAGACGGGGGCTTGGTGAGTTGTAGGTGAGTGGACAGCGCTTCCAACCGTACGTGGCGCCTCAATTATCTAGCTCCTATCACACTACGAGTCAGGTTTTAGAGTCATGCGTATGCTTGCTTTTTAAAGAGGACTCGGTACAACCCGTCTATCGCTACGGTTTGGATGTACAGTACACATGTACGATCCAGTTGACCGCTACGAAGCGTACTGCACGGTCCGTAGTACGTACTGTTGGAAGAGCTGTGAGTGGAAGGAGGGTGAACTGAACCAGAAAAACGATATGTAGTGACGTAACCTCATCACGTGGTCGAAACTGAAGCAGTTTCCTATAGAACTAGAGCTTGCTTCATATTCAACCGATGATAAGGTTGATGAAATTGATAGGTTTGATGAAATTGACGGGGCTGATGAGATGCCGGGCAGCTTTGACTATGTGTTGAAGCCTTTGGGTTCCCTATCTGGGCTCTGAACTAGTTGTATCGATCATGAACCAACCCGATCTCCGGCAGTCGTGACAACTTATAATTCTCGTCACTAATACCTCCATCTTCCTTGCACCCCGTCCGTTCAGAATGATGGCACCAACGTTGCACTGTATAGCTTCCTCGCACAAACTAGGAACACTATATTTGCACTACCTGCATCTCACAACATGTACCCGAGCTGGCGATTGTTGTTGCATCTCTTCTCAATGCGGGCATTTCACTAAATTGGGTACCGAGTCCCGGTCCAGTGGGGAACTGTCTCCGTTCCGGACCTGCTGATTACCCCGGCAATAGAACGATTTGATGTGGCGGTAATAATGGTAGAGGCATCTCAGCAGACTATGGCCCTCGATCAGTGGCAGGCTGCTTCGAAAGACGTAACGGACTCTTGCCTTGAGCCTGGACCACACCCCTCAAGATCCAGCCAGTTCAGCTGAGCCATGTCCTAGCTCTGCGACTATCCTTGGTTTGTCTGCCGCATAAGTTTAGCAAGTACAAGCATTTGCCCGGTAGTCAGTAACCAATAGGCCACTCACTTCTTATCTCGTGGAGTCTTGGGTCTCCCAGGATCCTCCTTTTGGCAATACTCCTGAATTCTCTCAGCTTGGGTTGCACCTCGGAGCAAACACGGTTAATGGCGCCATCATAAAAACTATGTCAGGTTATGATACCGGATGATGCCATCCATAGTCAAGTGTCTATTTCGCACCGTCACTATTCTGCCCCCTCTCACATTCTGTATTACAATCCATCGGAACTAAGTTTTGTGGAGGACGAGGGAGAACGTCCAACATGGAATGTGGGAGCTGTAGGAGCATGGTGTTTAATAGAACGTAGTACTGTTCCTACTGTTACTGATAGTAGCAATCTCTTGGCAGTTAGAACGAAAGTGAATTGCATTCCGTTACTGTACGGTCAATGAGGTATAGTTACTGCAGTAACTGCCTATACTAATTGATTTCTTGGTGTTTTGGTAACGCGTTTGCGGAGGACGTTTTCGCGCATAGTAGTACGAGGGCAGCTGTGGAACAGGAGGTACGCCTGGCAATGAGCTGCAGCAGCAAATTGATACTGCTCAATCTGATCTCTTCGTTGCAGCCGAAGACGATATAGTCTATGGAGATCCACTCACTTGGTGGCATTAAATTAGGCGTAAGCACTACCCATCGCTGTACAAGATAGCTCATGACTACCTATCTATCCCTGCTACAAACTCTGAGTGTGAGACCCTCTAGAAACTCTAGAAACACTAGTTACTGCAGTAACTGCACCAAACAATGGCTTCACGATCAATTGACTTGGCAGTAACTATTACTGCCTGTAAGGCCGTTTTAATTTACTCTCTCCGTAAGAACGAAACTCTATTGCCGATAGTAACGCCTCAAAAACACTACTGACAGTAACATTTACGTTATATTAAACACCATGTGCAGCAGGAGTGGGAAAGGGTGAAGGGGGGGGGACCTTTTGAATAGGTAACGAGGATTAGTCGTTGTTTAGCATAATAGCATTTACTATTGTGATATTGACATCTGTGCTTCAAAACTTTTACACTACAAGAAGTAGCTATATCTCCAATCCCTCGCGGAGTGAAAACTCACTACGTCAGCAACAGTGAGGCCAAAAAAGGCAAAAAGCATACGACAGCCTTGGATTCGCAAACAGTCGCCCATGCAACTACTAGCAAAGCGGTAGCTAGCTTTCTTTGATTCTAGGGTCGGGGCAGATTCGTTTAACTCTTGGTCGTATGATGATAGATTGGGAACTTGAATCTTATATATACGCATTCGAAAAGTAGCGCAATATTGTTGAAGGTCTAGGGAATAGTTTGAATTATTTGCGCGGGCTTATTTATTATTTATCGCGTGGCTATGTGGCTCACTTGAGACGGCATTTCATTACTGTTGAGGGACCAGATGGTGATTTGAATGCTTCACGTGGACTCAGTATAACGATATGGGAAGGTTGAGAAAGTATTGTGGTTTGAACCATAGCCTGATATGCAAAATACTGAAAATTGATCAATGCGGGAATGGAATTGCTCGTCACATGATACTCACATCATCATTACGTTAACAGCCGCATGTTCCATCTTTCTATCCAGTTCCCCAGAATTGACGTCCGCTCCGCAACATGAGAAATGGACCCATCAGCTCTTAGTGACGGAAAGCCCTCACTTCCCTTCTCCTGTACAATTGTTAGTATTTAAATGAACATGTTTCCACGAATGAGATTGGCAACGTCCCACCAAGTGCGGAAATCGACAGTAGACACATCAATGCCCAAATCTTTTAGCTCGCTGGTGTCAAGATGGCAATCATAAGGTCTCTTGACCCCATCTTTCGGTTCTTCCTCTGGTTTGAAAGGTTCCATGCCATCAAGAGGCAAACCCATAATATCCGAGAAAGCCTGACAAATCTGCCATTTCGTCATCCTATCTTCGGAGGAGAACTGCAAAATATCCGGCAGATCATGAGCGGTGTTCGCAGTATCCAGGTAGAGCTTGCAGATGTCACGGCACACGCGGCCGACGTCCTCGGTGTTTGTCGGGTAGCGTAAGGCGTGGTCGTCGACTTTGATTTTGGGTTCTCCTGGTTTGATCATTTGAGCGTTCCAGAGCTGGGACATGAGGATGTTGACGGCACTTTGCGATGGCTCGTCACATGATCCGTAGAGAATGGGCAGGCGGAGAATTACTACTTTGTTCTTGGTCGATGGCGCTGTTCTCCTAACGTCCAGCACAGCCTTCTCTCCGTCCAGTTTTGTTTGGCCATAGATATTTGGCGGGTCGGTTGCAGAGTTAGGCGTGTACGGTGCTTGGCCTGGTTGGCCAGAGAAGACGTAGTCGGTTGAGATGTAGATGAGGAGGATTCCACGAGAGGTAGTGGCAGAAGCTATGGCGCGGCTTGCGTCAACATTGAGTTTTTTGGCAGCCTCTGGGTTTGCGGTGCAAGAATCCGGAAATCTATTGGCAGCGCCTACAGCACAAATCAGAATCCTTGGGTATTTTACAAATGTCAACACTCAACCCACAGTGGACAACGGCTTGTGGTCTGTCGGAGTTTAGCTACCAAAAATGAGAGGGGAAATGCCACTAATACTTGACTTCGTCGAGCGCACGCTCGAATTCTTCGGCATTAGTAATGTCTACCTTGATGATGCTTGGTGGATTCGGTCTGCTTAAGGCAGTCCCAACAGCATTCCAGCCATCTAGTTGAAAGACTTTGTGTACCTGGCGTCCGAGAAGGCCGCTCGCTGGAGATGAGTATTAGTATCTAGAGAGGATATTTGAGAGAACCCAAAATTGAGTACCTCCGGTGACTAGAACACTCCTCATGGCGTGGGCTGTGAAACCAGGTGAGATGTTGGATTTAGAATTTCAGCAGGATGAGCTTTCTTTTATTCGTTTGTTTTTTTTTCGAAAACTTTGCGACCGCGCTGGGAGGATAATAGAAATATGTGAATGAGCGGCTATTGCTCTGGAGCCCTTATTTCCACAATAGCTGGAGAACCAGGTGGTTAAACCAGTTACGTAGATTGGAGAAGCGTGGCCCGTGCGCCAGCACGTGAATAGAAGGCTAGCGTCAAGATCCCTGTGACTCGTGAGTGCTCACAGCATCCCGGTCGTCACTTTCGCGCACCTCCTCGACCGCACCTTCTCTTCACAATAAGCCCTCTCAATCGCCCAAAGCATGTCGACCATAACGCAGCGAGCATCGCAAAGCTCGTATCAGTAAGTATCAATACTCATATATATCACTTTCTTCACGGCTCACCAAAGAACAGGCCTATTCTCCCCAAACCCTTCAACGCGAACCAACCGAAAACAATTCGCCTGTACCCTCTGAGCAATTACACTTTTGGAACGAAGGATGGTCAGCCAGAAGAGGACCCATCTGTGCTAGCGCGACTGAAGCGACTCGAAGAACACTATCAGGAACATGGCATGCGGCGGACTTGTGAGGGGGTCCTGGTCTGCCATGAACACAATCATCCACACATTTTGATGCTGCAGATCGCGAATGCCTTTTTCAAGTTGTAGGTTGACTGTTGCGTGGTGTCGCAAGCTGCTGGTTGGCACTAACTGTAGTCTTAGACCTGGCGACTACCTTCGCGCCGAAGACGACGAGATCGAGGGCTTCAAGGCTAGGCTGAACGAGCGCCTTGCGCCGGTTGGCACCCAATTCACAGGTGAAGGCGTCAACGATGAGTGGCAGATCGCAGATACTTTGGCACAGTGGTGGCGACCCAATTTCGAGACCTTCATGTACCCTTTTATTCCTGCGCATGTGTCGAGGCCGAAGGAGTGCAAGAAGCTCTACTTTATCCAACTACCACGGAGCAGTACGTCAACCCCAACCCCATGCCCTCGCGACACGTCACTAACGATGGCTTAGAAGTGTTGAGCGTCCCGAAGAACATGAAGCTGCTCGCAGTCCCCCTATTTGAGCTCTACGACAACACCGCACGCTATGGCCCTCAACTCTCCGCCATCCCTCATCTCCTTTCTCGCTACAATTTCGAGTTTGTGGATGAGAACGGCCAGGTAGTGGCGGTAACCCCCGGCGGCGGTCCCTTGGAAGGCGGGAATGTCCAGACAAAGGTGCTAGCAGGAGGGGAGGATGTCAAGATGGGGGAACAGAACGGGGATGCGTCAAGTGAGAATACTCTGTCGTGAGAGACAGGCTCTATGCTCACGTGCAGTGTGTTCTAACGGGCCTTGCTCTAAGTCAGGTTGAAGTGCAGTGTACTTGGGTTCTACGGTGCCCCTCGAATCTCAAAATCTTCCAGAGACTGCTTCGTCTTGTAGTCTTGAGGCGCACATCCGGCTCGGCGTTTTTGAGAAGCTTTCTGGTGGGTTTCTATATCTGCAGCTTCTTCGCCGCAACAAAGCGGGCGGGAGCATTGGGAAAATCAAGTAGAATAGGGTCCGTCAGACCAACTACCAATTCATTGAAAATGAATAGCATAAACTCGAATGCTGCCCTGCTCTGTTCAGAGTCGCTTTGCTAAATACCCCTATTGGCCTAAGCTCCCGAGGTCCCCATGCTTATTCCGCCCCGCCATCACGACTACCTAGGTACATAACCCGTCACCCTATCTCGAATCACCCACCATGTGAGCCGCACATCAAGCAAGAATACACCCCGGCTGGGACCGTCATTCTTGTCACCAATTCACCATTAATCCGACTCCAAAATGCTACTCCTCGGCCTAACGGGCTCTATCGCAACCGGCAAATCCACCGTTTCCTCGCTCCTCTCTAAACCACCATTCTCCCTTCCTATCGTCGATGCCGATCTCATCGCGCGCCAGGTCGTCGAGCCCGGCACCGCTGGATACAATGCCATCGTCCGCTACTTCAGCCCCTCAACGCCAGACCTCCTTCTCCCAGATGCGGGACCCAAAGGACGGCCGCTGAACCGACCCGCGCTTGGTCGGCGGGTCTTTGGACACGGTGAGGAGCGTGAGAGGGACAGGAAGGTGCTGAATGGCATCGTCCATCCGGCGGTACGGAAAGAGATGTATAAACAAATGGTGTGGGCGTACTTGAAGGGACATTGGGCTGTTGTTCTCGACGTCCCGCTGTTGTTTGAGAGTGGTTGGGAGCGGTACTGTGGGACGGTTCTTGTGGTTGGGGTGTCAGATCCTAAGATCCAGATGCGGAGACTCAGGGATAGAGATGCACATCTTACGGAGGAGGATGCGCGGAATCGGGTTATGAGTCAGGGTGATGTGAGGGAGAAGGCGCAACGGTGTTTGAGGAGAGGGCCGGGGAAGGGCGTGGTTGTGTGGAATGATGGGGATAAAGACCAGTTAAAGCGCGATGTGGAGAAGGTCATGCAGGATGTGAGAAAGGGGAGTCCGAAGTGGTGGAGCTTGCTGCTTTGGTTGTGTCCGCCGCTGGCGGGGATTGCGGGGTTGGCTAGTTGGTGGAAGATGAGGAGGGTTCAGTTAGCTTGGGAAGAAGAGAAGAAGAAGGATAAGGTGAAGCTGTGAGAGTGGGGTTGGTTGAATCGCAAAGGCGTTTCTAGCTTGACGACCAACGCGGGTAGGTATCATGAAGCTTTGAGTATCATTTCTACGTGCTCCTCTAGGGCTTTCCTGAATGCTCTGTAGCCTCTTTGAATTCCGACCCTTTCGGAACTCCTCAATACTTAGTTCCCTTGTATCCCATTCGCAAGACAGTGTCACTAGCAGCGCTATTCCGCTGAGTGAGGGTTGGGATCAGACTAAGTGTAAGGATATTTCCTTCCTCGCACTAACTTAAAAGGCGGTGACGACGGAATAATACAGTGGGAAAGAGTCGGCCACCGGTTGCGAGGTAACAGCGATCGTCACATGACAGCATCTCTAGATCAAGCTCAGGATTATCTCTCCAACAACATTTCTGTCCCTCGTTACAACAGCATCGCACATTACAAACGACGCCTGCATCTGCGCTTGTCCCTGAAACTTCACCAGCCCAATCACATACACCAATTGCGTCCCCGACGTGTAAAATGAGTGAGAAGAGTGAGCTCACCCTCGGCCCCGAGAGCTTCATCGACGACTTCTACGACATTCCTCAGCGCATGCCGACAGAATGGGTCGGGAGGAAGGAAAGTATCAGCAACTGGGCCAAATCTGTCACCGAGGCCAACTCCATCACTTCAAGCTTTGTTGACGATTGGAACGATATGCATCCGCATCATGAAGATTCGCTTGGAAAGCTTGACGAGGAAAAGCCAGAAAAGGAACCGGTTTACTGTAATCCAGAGCATCGAGCACTTGCTCGACGTGCGATTTTGGGACATATGAGGACGCAAGTCACGGAGCAACAGGAGATGATATCGAGGTTCCGGCACGGGGTTAAGAGAATGGAGGAGAGCATAAAGGAAACTACACCTGTTGCTGAGAACAAACCTGCTGCTGAGAGTAAGGACAAGGATCCGCAAAGCCAGGGTGTGCGAATGAAGTTGCCGAAGACATATGGGCCTTTCCTCATTCCCTGCGAGGACGGACGGGTCATTTACATCGAAGACGGGAAGACCTGGGACTCCGGACGCGGACCATTTCCGCCGTTCGAGGTTTCTCTTGACGAGGGCAGAGGGCCTGAGCTATTGGCAGCTGGGAAGAAGGTCGCGTATTTCTTGTTTGGCTGATATCGGTGCGACGACCATGCTAATATTTCAAAGGGTGCCAATGCGAAAAGATCGGGCAATAGTAAGTCGGCCCCTACGCAAGTCCAGGGTCAAGGCAGGAATATCCAGGGACAAGGAAAGCATCATCAAGGCCAAGATAAGAGGGAGTATAGCAACAGCGCAGCAAAGGAACAGAAACAAGGTCATACGACTTCCGCGTGGGACATCGCTCCCATTCCGGATTGCGTCTCTTCACCTAAGCCAGGTTCACCCTCTCCCTCTAAAGCCGGCTTCTTCATGAGCGGAGGTCTCGGGTTCTCATCGCCAAAGGGATCAGCCCAGTCCGGCACCATGAACCAGAAACCATCCAATTACAAGCCGCCGACTGTCGAGGATGGTGCTGACACGCCACCGAGGAAGACTGCGAAGAGGTATAAGAACGGGTATGATGATGACTATGGCATGTATTGCAATGCCACTTGGGGTGGGATCCCAGTTCGCGTTGCAAACTACAGCAAGTAGTGACTCTCTGTTTCCTGGCGGGCATTTGGATCCAATTGACTGGGACAAGGGATCGAGGTCTGAAGTCCAGGGTTGCGAGGATCGTAGGGTAAAGCCGCTGGAGACAGTGTGCTGCCATTACAAACAGGTAGCAAAGGGCTGCATGCTTGCTAGGCGAAGCCCAGTGGCTAGCGGCATGCCTCCTGTTGTCTATATGTGGTGAGCGTCAGCGAGCAGATTATCACGGCTGGATCATAGCTGAATTGTAAACACCAACAAAAACTCAACAAAGCGTGCATAGCAAACAAACTCGAGTGCATTCTGCCTCGACGCGGTGGTTCGCGGCCCCAAATCCTGCATATACTACGCGATGAAACGAGCCGCAGCGAGCCTCTTCACAGGCAGGGGATCAACTGCGAGCGGTTGACTAATATAGCATGGGAAAATTGCTTTTCAGTGGGGAGATGCAGAATAGGTGTGACGCTCCAAGACGCAATTGCTCGCCCAGAAGCGCTGTGCCAGGTTGTGGGGGCACCAGCACTGCCATCAGTGGTGCGGTGCTTGATGAGATATATGAGACGGGGATGCGCGCTGCGTGAACGGTGCTCCACTTTCGCATCACGTCCGCGTTTGTGTGGCGCGGACAGAGGGGCGTCGAGAGCCAATGCCTGGCGACGCATTGATTGCCATGGTCTGCAGAAACAGGTGCGAACCCCTGCGCGGTGGAGATCTTGCAGGAATGCTTCGCGAACGACGCGATTCCGCCCCTAAGTCCCTCGACACGCTAGACCAATTAGGCACGCGTCGTCGAACCTCACCCTTCTCCGACTCCCAAATAGATTGAGCCCCTCGCCTCACTCCTCTTCCTCTTCTTCCTCTTCTTCCTCCCCAGGCTTGCTCACCTCCAAGCCCTCTCTCTTCTCGACGACATCCAATTCATCTCAATTCATCTCAATTCATCTCAGCGGACTTCAATTCTTACCTTCGGTATCGGCATCTTTGCTGTGACGACTGGATACCTTCTCTCACGTTCCGTCCCATATATCCTCCCCCAATCCTTCATTCGGCAGCCTCTACTTGGTCCGCTCAGAGCTGTTGCTATTTTGCTGTTCTATCTAATTATCACACGTGTCTTCTTCGCTATCTTCACTGTTCCGGCTCCTCTGTCAAACACCTGCAGCGACATGGCTCTCTCTACGCGCCAGCCCTTTGCCGAGCTCGGCAGCCCGAGACTGCAGTATCTTTCCAGTACTAAGAACAGGCAGAATGGTGAGCGTTTGCAAATAAATTGAGCTAAAACCAACTACTAAACTGGAGACCCTTAGCCATTACCCCCATGTTTTCGTCCCCGCTAAAGCAGACGACGCCTTCAACAGGAAAGCGTCGATATTCTCCATCGGTGTTTGAAGAGGAGGATTCAGAGAATTTGGATCCTTCCATCTTCAATTCACCAACGAAGAAATCTAAGACCACTGATGGAATATCGAAGCCCTCCCAATTTCCCCCCTTGACCTCTCCGTCCAAGCCCAAGCCGTCGATCACTGCCACGCCTTCGTTTCCTTCCGTCCGGAAAGCTCTCTCGTCTCCAAACAGCAGCAAATCAACGCCTATAAGCCTCAGTCGCGGATCTCCGAAACACAAGCGTGTTGGCCTCCTCTCGAAGCGCCGCACGTCTAGCACTCCTTTCCGACGTGTTGATCCACCATCATTCACCCAAAGCAGCCCCGCATTACCTTTCTCTATTGATGCAGCTCTCAGCGGTACCATTCCAAACTACACCCCAAAATCCACCATTTCAGCACCGTCCCAAGTTTCTACCCTCGAAGAGTCCATGCCAAACTCTTGGTTCTTCGATATCCACGAGGACACCCCAGAGCAGGAGGCCGCTAACATGATGGAGCACTCCGCATCCGTCCTCGATATCAGCTCTGACGATGACTTCGAAACGAAAAAGAGGAACGAGGAATTGGAGCGCGGCAAAGAGAACATCCCTCCACCAGGCTTCTTCCCATCTTCCGCACCGCGGGCCCAGGCATCTGGTGGCATGGACGGCATCGAGGCTGCCCAGGAGGCTCCTATGGAGCACCCCAAGCGTCCAAGACTCCGAAAGATTGCTCAAGATGCTATGGATGAGGATCGGTCTCCGTTGTCAGATCTTCCGGCTGCAGAGTTTTATGGTCTTGGGCTAGATGCGACGTCTTATGTTACTGTTGACGCTGCTATTGAGAGACCTTCGGGTCTTTCAAAGGAGTTTAACTTTAATATTCCTACTCCTGAGAAGGAACCCATCCAGGAACCCATCCAGGAACCCATCCAAGAGCCCGTCCAGGAACATTTCATCCAGCAGGATCCCATCCTGGAAGAACCACAAATGTCGACACTTGAAGAGAAGCCGATTCAGATCTTGGTTGATGACACTGCTACGAATGACGTACCGTTCACCGCTCAGGAAGAGCCTGAAGCTAATGTCCTTGATGTACTTGGGTCTTCCGACCTGTCCTGCTCTGGAGCTTCTTGAAAAGATGCTTTGGAATCTCTGTTAACTCTCTCCCATCCGATCTACCCTGCCTGCCTACCCCACTCCCGGACTAGCTCGCCTTGTATTCGAGTAAAAGCTGTGCTAAATCCAGTTGTCCCCACTGCCGAGATAGATACCTTCCTTCTGACGCACGTGTGTCTCGGAATAGGCGTCTTCCTCTCGGCAGGAAGGTGGGCTGGGCTAAGCAATAGCTTGGACGCTCAGAAAACACCTCACAAGAGCCGCTGCCTGAGCTCGGGCAGAAGCACAAGGCCTATAGATTGGCACATACGCTGGCAGAATTACACTAGAAAGCATAACTGCTATTCTATCTCCCTACTTTCATTACATTACTACTTACCTAATACTTTCATTTTGGAGATTACTATGGGGTCTTGGCCGGCGTGGCGTTGAAGCGGGTTTCTTCGACTAAGGTTATGGGTATGGCGTGCGGGGTCTCCTTTACTCTAGGTGTCCATTGGACTTGGGTATATATTGGGTGTCCTGTTGGGTATCTTGTTGGGTCTCACTGGCGTTGCCTTCATTGATACCTGTTTTGCGTCTTGCGTTGCTTAGTCACTTTGCGAGTGCTGAATACAGCCTTTTGAAAGCGAAGTTTCTCATTGTACCACCGGTGACATGATGTGCTAGTGTATTCTTCGACCGGTTCACCGAGAACCTCATTTAATTCACTCCGATCAACCCTGCACTAACAGAGGCTCAAGGCACGTGAATAGGCGAGAGCCAGGCCATTCCTTTTATGGACTAGCTTCATAAGCTAGTGAGCCTTTGAACTCATCGGGCGCCAGAGTTCAGCTTCCTCATTCCTTCCTTCTACTTGCGCCACCACCCCACCACCACGCGCTCCCTATCATCAAATAACCGGTAGCAACGATGACTGGTATTGACCAGCAGAAACTACAGCTGGCGAAAGCGCGCTTCAAACTCATGCTTCAGAGAGAAAAGGATCAGCGTGGCCTCGCTGAGAGAATCGATGAACTCCACGGTCACTTAGAAGATGTTTTCCAACAGAACTCCTCCGGGCATATTCAGGTACCGTCGCTTGTTTGATCAACCCTGATCGTCATGAGCAGACTAATAGCCTCCACTTAGACATGCACCAATTGGATCTCCACCCATCTGTCTAAGTCCCCAGCTCTCATCGACGCATTTGGTCAGTACCTGGTCATGCTGTCCAAGGCCATAGTCCTAGACGACAACCGCAAGGCTGCGCGGGCTTCTCGTAATCGAATGGACCTTCTCCTCATCGTCAACGATCTTCTGAAAATTGGTACACACCAGGCTGGTCATGGTCAAGGCGGAGCAATGGTCGATGAGCTTCAGCATCATATCGAGGAACTCGTTGTTCTTGCGGCTGCCGGGATATTTCGCAAAGGCTCGAAGCTGGAAGGCAAGCTTAATGCCATTCTCAGGATGTGGGAGGTGAACAGGGTGTTTAGCCACGACCGCTGTGAGATTATTTGTATGAAAGCTGCCCAGGCTCTGAAGCAGTCACAGCCGCGGCAGCCGAAAGGGACTGCTTCTAGAGCCCCCAGCTACACTCTGCCCGTCATTCCAAGGGATATCCCGTGGTATGAACTCCCCGCGTCAACGATGCTAGAGGAGCTCTACCTTCATCCGGACAAAGCCGTCGACATCAAGAAATTGAAGGTCAAGACATTCGCGTCTGCCATTCCATCACAAAAGACTAAGGACCTCCTCGACGAGTATTGGGAAACAGTCGAGGCCATGGACTGGCGTGCGACTGCCAATGAAACTCCTGGGGGTTTCAACTATGAGTATGATAATTTCGGCCAGACTGTTCGCGTCAACAAAATCACCGGCGAGAAGAAGACGATGTTCAACTACTATGGATGGTCTATCCCATGGTGCGAAGAGATAAAGGAACACGGGAAGCCACTGTGCATTCTGGACAACCGTGAGGATGTGCAAGAGAGGGCACGCATGGAGGCTGACGAGAAGGCCCGCAAAGAGGCGGAAGAGGATGCTTTCCGCTGTGAGCAAGAGCGAAAACGAGAGGAAGCTCGCGAGCGGGAACGACGCGCGAATAGCGGGCCGTATCCCGCCGAGGACATGTCCCAAAATCAGTACGATTCACAGCGTCCTCCACCAGTTCAAAACTACCCGACGCAACCCTCTGGGTACCCACCGCCGCCCCTAGCTCCCGGATACAGGAACCCTTACCAACAACCATATCAAGGCGGCTACGGCCAACCTATCCCCTCTTTTAACAATGCACCGTATGGCCAAGGCAATTTCGGATATCCCCAAAATGGATCACCTCCTAGTCGTGGCGGGCCAAACTTCGGTCGGGGTGGCATTGGCCAAGGAGGGAATGGGTGGAATCGGGGCGGGTTTAACCCCAATATGCGTGGTCGGGGCCGAGGTGGCTCTGGTTGGAGTTAGGTTTTGCTGCCTTTGGAACAGGTCCTGGCTGTCATACTTCATGTAATATGTAGATATCTATGAAACCCAGTTTCGCCCAGAGACGCCACCCCTTTGAGTGATGCTATCAAGGTCTTGAGATTACGGCAATGAGGGAGACTTTGCCTTGACCGCCACTGTGTTGTCCATGCCTCGCTCTTTCTTAACGGCTCTGTGAGTAGGGGGAAAGCTCTTTGTAGAACACGTGAACCACCTCCCCGCTCAACAGTCATGCGGAGAATCGGATTGGCTTCTAGCCACCGCCAAAGCGAATGAGGATGGCGTGGTGAACTTCGATTGCTCGTGGGCACCGTTTCTTCTTCCCTCATTCTCCGACGACCACCGCCCTCCTTTTTTGCGACCTCAAACGTCGAGAATTCCAGCGGCGAGACATGGATAACATTCCCTCCTAGAGAACGCAAATAACACAGGTATTGCGGAAACAGTTGAGGCAGCAACATTTAACCTCTTGGCTCTGCGCCAATCATTTGGCCAACCGGCGTGCTGACAAGTCAGTCCAAGTTCAACGAAGCCGAGGAGGGTGAGCTTTGACCGTCGGCGGAGAGTTCCGTCGCCATCGTCACTTCAACAAATCACCCCGAGATTCATTTCCTTTCTTTCACTCAGCATCCATCGCAGGTTAAATACCTCTTGCTAACCATGGACTATCTTTACAGCAACAGTCGCGCTATCTGCCGCAACCGCGCTTAAATGGCGCCCGCGAAGACTTCGAAGCGGAAACGGCCCCGAACGACGACCACTCCGCGAAAGAAGCCTCGATATATCGAAACGTCAAGAGACAGCAGTACCAGCCCGCAGCAAGAGCAAAGCGGGGTGTTTTGGTCTGCCGAGTCTATCTTGAATGAACGCAAGAATCAGTATCTCATTGCATGGGCGGGCACCGATCCAACAACAAACAAGCCGTACCCTCCAACGTGGGAACCCAAGAGGAATGCCAACAATTTGCTAGTTGCAGACTGGGAAGCGAAAAAGGCTGCAAAGAAGACAGCTCCAGTTGCAGCGAAAGCAAAAGCGGCACCGACACCGGAAAAGAACGGCATTGCCCGACCATCGCACGGAGGTCCGCAGTCGAGGGTTGTAGAAAGCTCGTCGGCCTCTTCGACGCCGGCACCGCTACGAAACAATACACCCTCACAGGCGGCTGCCATTAGTAACGGGCCTAATACTCTTGTTCCGCTGCCTAAGAGACCGGTTGCAATTGTGCAAGTCAAGGCCAGGGCCGACTTTGACCCGCAGGAGTTCGAGCTCTTCTCCCAACTGCCCCCTTCGCGGGCAACACGTTTGAGCCAGAAGAGTAAAGTCGAATCTCTGCAAAACCCGTCGCAGGCAGAATCTCTCCTCCAAGCTACCGAAGAGAGTCAGCGTGCTCCTTCCCCGAAAACATTACAGGTCGATCTTCTGAACCTTGTCTCCCCAACGACACCAGAGGGGCCCGAGCTCTCTTCTTCGCATTCCCTGGCCCCGAGGAGTCCACCGCGCGGATTCTGGTCGTCGGGTGTCGTCCCAGACTCTCAAAGCCTCCCCGATTCTGTCAGCTACCAGCCGTCGACCCAGACCGCTTCTGGCTCGAACCAACAACAGCGTCTGAACCAGGTCAGCGGGACGAACGAGATTCAGGGAGCCAACCAAGAAGTGTGTATCGCGCTGCAAGGCGATCAACATATTGTGCTAATCAAAAGGTCCAGGAGCCAAGCTCTCAAGCCCAGGTTCTCAAATCTGATCCTATCGAGGCGACTGATATTTCCTCGCAATCCCAGCCGCAAACGGTCGCTCAAGAAGAGAACACTCTCGGGGTCGCCTACAGCTATTCCCAGCCAGAGGTGCCATCTACGAACCAGAAGGAAATACAAGATACTGTCGAGGTAACAGGGACTCCCTTGCAATCAGTGCCACAACGCGTTGGTGTGGGTTCTCTTGGGGTGGCTAAGGACCCGATCCCGGTGGTACCGCCGCCAACAAGTCAAAAAGAAGAGCAAGGCTCTGGTGAGACTAACAATACCCTTTATCCCCCTACACCACAACCTGTCCAACATAAAGAAGGTAACAAAGCCGTTGAGATCGGCGCAAGTTCGTCAGAATCAGCACCGCAACTTGTGAATAAAAATCCGGAAAATCACGGAATTAGTACTGAGCGCTTAAGCCCGGATCCCCCCGCAAACGCTCCACCTGGCAAGTCCGGCCACCATCGAGAGATTCTAGGATTAGCTCCACAAGCAATCAAAGGCTTCTGGAACATTAGCCACGACAACTCACAGAACAGCATTGAACGCCGCGACTTTGCAATCGTATCTCAACCCAACCCCGCTAACATACCAGCTGTCGGGCAAGATTTTATTCTTCACAGTCTCGCCGGATACTCTCGAAATTTGCAGCGAGAACCTACAGCGACTTCTATTGCGTCGATCGCCAAGGAATTCGAGCCAGGAACCCAATCACCAACCGACTTTCACCCCCATACACAACAAGAAGAAGAACAGAACGCACAAATAGTGACTCCCGACCCATACTTGAGCTCTCAAGAAGAGCCAGAACTGCGTGAGGTGTTTGCGGACAGCATTCATCCAACCACTGAAATTGATCACAACGACGGTGGATCATCCACATCTCGACACGATTCTTCTCAAGAGTCTCCAGTCCCCTCAGCTGGGTTGCTCAACCACTCCTCGCTGCCTCCTCGTATCCCCTCACATTCTCTTGGTACCATTGATTCTTGCGCACCTCTTCGACTAGAGTCTCCGACTAGTTCTATACCCTCGTCAGCAGAAAACATGGACGACGGAAACGACTTTCGCGAATTTGATAGGAGATGGGATAAGGTGCTTGAGAATGCCCTGAAATCTTCTCCCCTTCCGCCACCTAAGAGGATACTCCAAACCGTCTCTCCCGCGGCTGGCACGAGGTCACCCTCAACAATTCCAGATCGAATTCCACAGCCTCAAGTACCGACCTCGCTTCGGACTATAGCTCTTGTAAAATCCGCAGAAGCTGCAAGTCCTCTGGTGTCGCCCACCGTACCTATGTCGAGAACACAAGATGACATGCAAAGCGAGGATGACGACAGCTTAAGCGTTCTGAACGATGATCTAGAGCTTATGTCTGAGGAGTACATTGTTCCCCTTCCAATGGATGGAAGACAAAAGAGCATGTATATGGATGAGGTGAAGCGGAAGGAGGATCTGCTGAAGATGTTCCTACAGGAACCTCAAGATTTCGACCGACTCAATGACGTTGAGGCTGTTCTTCAGAGGCTGCGAGCCGTAGAGAGTCACGTTGATCTCATATATTCAGAGAGCGTCTCTTCATCACAGACGACCAGTCCGTTTACACAGGTCCAGTGGGATAAAGAGAATTGCGTCAAGTTCCGCTTCCTTAGCACGTTGTTTGATCAGTTGCGAGAGAGTGAGATGCACTTTCTGATTGTACTTGAGAAAGAGAACGATCCTCTGTTCGACATTCTTGAAAAGTTCTGCCAGGGAAAGCTTGTCAATTATAAGTATCCAGCAAGAGCTCGGGCTGCGAAGCAGGTGGACGTGGAGGGTACCCTGAGAGTCACGATGCTGTCGTATGAGTCCGCGTTCGTGGTGCAGCCTCCAGAGGCAATCATCTGTCTAAATGGAATTTTCGATACTGCCCAGATTCGCAAGAAGAAATGGGCTCTCAATCCCGACCGCGCAATAGTCCCCATCATCCACCTCGTTATTCCTCGTTCGGTTAGCCATATTGAGCGTTATGTCTCCTCGGCACTAAGTTCCAAGAAACGACTTCACACAATAGTCGCCAGCCTAGCCCAAGTTCATGGCGACATTGGTAGAGCAATGGGAAACTCACCACGATCCCATGAAGCTGCAGAACTAGTGTCGAAATTTCTAGAGTCAGCCGAAGAGAACAGTGGACAAGCACATGCCGAGTGGCCACTACCTTCAATTGGCAGTATTAAGGATGTGATCGAGTATCAATCGCAGCAGTCGCAGACCCCGATTAATTCTCCGCCAGTCGTTGGGAACTCTTCAAAACGGCCTCTGGTAAACACATTCAGGTTTAACATCAAATACCAATGTTAACTTCTCCCAGGATTCAGAACACCTTGATCCATCGAAGAGGATGCGCATGACGCCAACACCCCAAGCTACTGCTAACGCTGATATCTCCCATATCAGCGATTCGATGCCTAACACCGCAGCTCAAATCTCTATACTCCAAGCTCGACTCGAACAGGAGCAGCAAGCCCACAAACAGGCAAGGCGCCAGAAACGTGAATTCGAACTCACCCTCGACAAACGACAGACCGAATTCGAGGATCTGAACAAGAAATTCAGGCTGCTATTGGGTGAAGTTGAGGTTGCGAATCATAAGGTTGAGGCTGCAAAGAGACAGAAGGAGAATTTACAGGAGCGATTCGATAAGAGGACCACGGAGGTGGAAGAGCTTCAAAATAAAGTCCTAGCCCAGGAACAATTGCTTCTAACGTCCGAAGACGACAAAGTGGCAGAGATCACGCGACTTCGAAAGGAGGTTGAGCAAGCTAATGAGGCGAAAAAGTGCGCGGAGAAGAAAGCCAACAGCGAGGAGAATCTATGCAACTACCTCAAGGAGCAATTCTCGAACGCACGTGACCGTGCTACGGAGGTTGTTGAAGAAATGGTTGCTGTGAAGGCCGAGAGGGACACGTACAAGCAACAGGCCGAGAGCACTCGCGTCGACCTCAAGAAACTGCACATGGATAACAGCAGTACACACATGATGGAGCAGATCCAGCGACAGAAAATAAGAATTAGTCATCTGGAGAAGTCGCTTCAGCAGAAGGACGAAGAGGCGATGCGATTCAAGTATTCGAAGGGTGTGGGAATGGGCACGAGAGCTGCGAGTGTGCCGAGGAGTCCGAGGGTGGGGGCTGGAGGCGCGACGAGTAGAGCTGCTAGCCCGTTTACAGGGCACCGTGTCAGCAATTTGAGGAATGGATAGAGACTGGGTTGCGTGAGTGGGGGAGGGGTGTGTAGGGTTCGGTGTACAAACATCTTTGGGGTCGAGGGGTTAGCAAGCTGGGTGGAGCAAACTTTCTTTTTTTTTTATGTCGGAGCGTGGTAATATGGTCAATATACCCTTAGATTCCTGGGGTTCTTTTATGAGTATGGCCGAGCCTCTGCCTACACGGGGAGAGGGTAGGTTTTGTACACATCCAAGCCGCTGGGTTCGATTGGATCACGGACGGCTCAGTTGTCTCTCTTGAACAGTCATAGCTGTATATGGTATCAATGTTTCTCCTAGCTCTATTGATGCCTTTTAATTTTCGTGTTATGAGAATGGAAGCCACCACGATGCAGGATATTTCATTCTCAACCCATGCGCGACAAGTCGCAGCCCCAGCAACGCCAAGCTCTGACTCGCGCCGCCAAAGCTCCCGAAACGTGTTGTTAGAAAGAGCTTCAGGACCCTCCGCCGTAACAGCAACAACCCACCCTCATTTTCCCCACTAAACAATCCAACCCTCCCGCCCACAATGCACTCAGCAGTCGTTCGAGTGCAGAATGTCTTCGGTTTCTTCACCACGGTAGCGTTTTGCGTTGCGGCGGTTATTGCGCTGTCGACTTTCATTCATCCCCAGACGCCGAGCGCGAGTGTTAGGCTGAGGAATGTGCAGGTGTAGGTGCTTATGACTTCCTGTAGAGCCTCGGGGCTTAGATATCCTGAGAGTTTGCTAATGTATGTGTGCAGTGTGAGAGGAAGACCGCATTATTACAGTTATAAGAAGGAGGAGTATGCCCATATCAAGTTTGATCTGGATACCGGTACGTAGTCCACCTACCATTTCTATCTCCCCACTCTCCAAAATCCCACGAGAGCTACCCACAGAGTGTGCACTAACAGCTTGAATAGATCTCTCGACCCTCTTCAACTGGAACACCAAACAAGTTTTCCTATACCTCAAAGCCATCTACCCATCTACCAAACCCGACACCCCCCCCTCGGAAGCCATAATCTGGGACGCCATCCTCGCCTCCGACTCCGCGCCGTGGCACCAAAACCATTACATCCACCCTAACCCCAAAGCAAAGGCCACATCAAAAGGGAAGCCTAAAGGCAAGGGCAAGGGCAAATCCCAACCCGTCGTCCCAGAATCCCCCCACCCCCGCGGCGAACTCCACCTCGCGAACCAAAAGCCCAAATACCAGATCACGGATATTTCAGGCCAGCTGCAGAACCGCACGGATGTGGTGCTGGAGCTGGGGTGGAATGTGCAGCCATGGGTGGGTGCGTTGGTGTGGGCAAACAAGCTGGATATGGGCATGTGGAAGGGGCTGAAGGGGGGGATGAGTGAGAGGTTTGGGTTCCCCGAGATTGGAAAGGTGAGGAGGGGTGAGGATTTGGGGACGGAGAAGGGGAAGGAGGGACATAGACTCGAGGTTGGGGGTGAGCAGCCTAGAAAAGCGTGATAAGGGGAGAGGAGGAGGGAGAGGAGGTGTGGGGATGCTAGGGACGATGGGGATTTCTTCTATGATAGGAAAATTTGGTTTGGGAGGGGGGTTTATGGGCATGGCGTATAGGGTTTTCTGAGAGACGGACTCGGACATGCGAATTGATATGAATCCCCGAGAATTCCCGTCCTTCCGTCCTACCAAACGAGACATTCTCAGTGTAAAGCAACCAGCTCCGTCCACCACACGCGAGTAAATGAATACTCGCGAGGCAAGATTGGCTTCCCATTTATAATCATCAGCAATCAACCCTAGCCTTCTCATTGCACAACCACATCTTCCCACATCACCATCACCACCAGCAACTTCTTTCTTTCCTCCATATCCCCAGATCTATGCAAGTAGCCAGCAATTTTAGGGGCCAAGGGCTCGAGTATCAAACAACCGTCTTCTACCTACGCCGCCAACGGCCCCGTTTTTCCGCAATGTTGACCCTGTCTCGCTTTGCCGTGTCTAAGAATCACACTCGGCTACATCTATGTTTCCAAGGGTGCAAGGGAATGGACTTGACGACCAATCAGTCGTTCCTCGCATTCTCGTAAACAATGTCGAGAAAATGGTAAGGTCCACACCCATTCTTGCCAAATTCTTGGGATTTGGAAGTAGAATGCTAGGGCAAGGGCGGGAGATGTGTTAATGGATTGCAATCCTCTTGTCGCACATCTAAGATTTACGCCCCGCAGGCAGGCAGACTTCCAAGGCAGGCAATGAGCGACACAATGAGCGACACAATCTGTCAGATGAACGGGAGAGCGCCTTGGGAGACCCTGCATGGGCGGGCTGCACCGGTCGACCGTTGCGTGGGGACAGTTTTGGTTCCACTTGTAGATCCCCTCCCCTCCGAGCTAAGGGACACTAGAATCGATGCTAGGGACTTAAAATGGACTACGATGGAAAGGACGGCGGGGCTGAAATAAGCAAGACGAATGGGCTGGTAGACGGACATGAAAGCTCAATATCTGCGATCTAGGTTCTGCTTTCATCGAAACCAAATATTCTACGTGTCTTAGTAGGTTTCCCATTGTTGCTCCACCGACAGGCTCCTCCGGTGTTGCATCGTCTCAAGCCCCTTGGTCCTCAGCTCGAAGACACGAAGGCACGAAGAGGAGAAAAACCACGCGGAAATAGTAGTCCAGAACCCCAGAATCCCGCATCTCCATGCCCCATTCGTTCTCGCGGCCTAGGCCTAGGTGCAGGCTCAACCTGGTGTTTTCGGAGTTTGCCAAAAAATCTTTAAGGCCTCCCGTTTCTGGCACCACTGCTCGAACCACACAAGTCAGCCCTGAGGGAAAAAATTTCAAGGCTTCAATGTGGTTCAAGTTTCGCGCTGTGCCGCACATGGAAGCTCCCGTTTGCTTTCCTTCGCCACAATTAAATCATGATCGTGGCACGGAGTTCCAGCTGAGATTCAGTGTATATGTACACAAAAGCTCACGCTGCGTCGAAGATATTCCAGTTCAGGTGAATTGTACACGAGGAAGTGATTCCACCCCGCTCTTCATTCCATGAGGTCATTCGCCAATCTCGCAGCAAAAAAGCCCAAGGTCCAAGCCCAGCGCAAGCCTCATCAAGCCCCAGCCAAGCATCTTGCTTCAGACACAGTCACACCTAGACGAGCTTGACTCGCAAAGCTTCAGCCCAAGAACGCCTTGCAAGCCTCTTTATTCTTGGCTACGATATCCAAGGAAAAAGCTAGAGAGGCTAGAGAGGCCAAGACACTCACATCACCTCACACAGAAGGGTAAGAAGTAGCTTTGTGAGGGTTTTTCACGTGGAGTGGCTGGCGAGCGTTACAGCACTACCGGTGAGCATGTTGGTCGGCGGCAGAGCAAAGGTCTGAGCTTTGCTCTAGGTTGTTGCGTCGGTCGAGGGTCTCGTATTGGGAGCTTCGATGTTAAGAAAGCATGGGATGGGATGGGATGGCTGGAAAGTCGTACAGAGGCGGAATTGAGGGAGGATTGATTCCTTCAACGCAGCAGCCATGTTTCAGGCTTTTAGTTCCATCTGCTACCCCTATAGCCTTTCAATAGATGTCAAATTCGAGCTGGCCTTCTTACCCTGAATGATCGGCATTTGTTTCATTGTCATTCATGGCAAGGATCGATGCTTAGGGTCGGGCAAGATCTGACAAAAGCTGTACACTGTCCCCGATGGGTAAATAGGTCCGCCCATCTCTCCACCCACGCATGTCGTCCAGCGAGCTGACCCCGGATTCTTTTGTGTGCCAACGGGGAAGCTCCAGTCCCCAGCAAACGCCAAGCATTCCAAGACGCGTCTCCGCCTGTGCCCACGGTGAGTCCGGGCGGGGCACGCAGCCTGCAAGCTTTGAGCCACTGCTCCATTTTCTGGGCAATAGGCACATTGGCATCGTGACCGTCAGCCAAGGAAGCCTTTTGAGCACGCCACTCAGCCATTGCCGCGAATCGTTTTACTAGAAGACAACGGCCATAGCGGGGCCACCGACGCAAACCAGTGTGGAGTTTAAGCCTCTGACGCGCTAGCCCGTTTCGGGCGGTGAATCGGTGAATTCTGGACGACAGGTCAACATGACCCGTGACGCAGCTCTGAATCCTGTGCCCGAGTATCTGGATGCGGGCCTGCTCCTTTCACACAGGTAGCAGGGGGAGGCACGCATTATTGGTGCGCTTGCTGGGTCTGTATCGCGTGATAGGCGGCCATGCAAGTCAAAACACAAAGACAATTCCCAACCGAGGCGGTAGGTCGGTGGATGCTTGTCCAGGTGGTGACACAGAACAGCTCCCCCGTCGAGCAAGTACCTTGGAGGATTAGCATCGGTGAGGGGCGTGCCGCCACAGTGCAACACTGTTCCCTGCTGTACAGAATTGCCGCCGAACTGGCGACCAGTGCCCTGGAAACCAGCTCCAAGCTCCCCCCGCCAGAAAGTTTCATAAAGAGCTTCCCTCGGCCGGACAGAGCGTCAGCCGAGTCCACCTCTGCTTTCACCCCACCAAGCAATCATGGCGGACCCTAAGATTGAGCCCAAAGCCGAGTATGTGATAGGATCAGTCTTTCACCGCAATGTGTGCTGACTCTTTCACTGAAGCCCTATCAAAGAGACGCAGCCCGAGCGTCGAGGCTCCATTTTCGCGGACGAAACCCACCGTAAACAAAGCATCCACGAGCTGACTGAAAACATAGCCGGCGAGTTCGTAAAGTCCAAACCCGGTAGCCCAATTCTTACTTACCATGACTCCCAGGATCCGCAACCCTCTGATCGGCGTTCCAAAGGAAACCCTTCTGGCCGATGTCGACGCCTTCGCAACAGAGCACCATCTCGAAGACATCGTTCCGCTCCTGCGCAAAGGCGCCCTCGTCGCCCAATCGCCTCTTGGACTGGACGAAATTGAGGAGCTAGATGACGCCGATCGTCTGGCCATCCGCGAGGAGAAGACGAACCGATGGAAGCACCCGAAGATTCTGTACTTCACCATCATTCTCAACTCTATTGCCGCCGCTATCCAAGGATGGGACCAAACCGGTTCGAATGGAGCTAATCTGACCTTCTTCAAGGAGTTTGGTATTCCAGATTCTGGCCCAGAATGTACTGCCGCAGGAACTTGTTCGAAGAATGGCTGGATTATTGGATTTGTCAATTCATGCCCGTATATTGCCATTGCCTTCTTGTAAGTCTTGCTACCCTTCAACTCCTAACGAGAACGTGGGTTTAATGCATACCCAGCGCTGGGTGGATATCTGATCCTATCAATGAGCTTCTCGGTCGACGTGGAACCATTTTCCTCGGTGGCATCTTCTCTCTGCTCGCGCCTATTGGATCTGGCCTAACTCAACATTGGGGTCAGCTCGTAGCTTGTCGTATTCTCCTCGGAATTGGTATGGGTTTGAAAGAAGTTACTGTGCCCGTATTCTCGGCGGAAAATTCCCCTGCGAATATCCGTGGTGGACTTGTCATGTCTTGGCAGGTTTGGACCGCCTTCGGTATCTTCATGGGTACTTGTGCAAATCTAGCTGTCATGGTAAGTCAAATTTTGCCTAATTCTGCGGTCTTTGGATTGCGAGGAATAACAAATTGCCCGTAGAATGTTGGGAAAATCGCCTGGCGCCTGCAGCTTGGATCTGCTTTCATCCCCGCTGTTCCTCTCGTCATTGGAATCTTCTTCTGCCCTGAGTCTCCTAGGTGGCTTATGAAGAAGAAGAAATATGCTAAAGCATATCAATCTTTCCTGCGCCTCCGTAACACCCCTCTTCAGGCAGCTCGCGATCTATACTATACCCATGCGCTTCTAGTGCAGGAAGAAGTCCTTATCAAGGAAGCCGGTCTCAGCCCGGATAGCAACTTCTTCACTAGGTTCTTCGAGCTATTCACTATCCCTCGCATCCGTCGTGCGACTCAAGCTTCCGGTATCGTCATGATCGCCCAGCAGATGTGCGGAAGTGCGTATTACCCCCACCATCCCTTTCCGTTAATCCATCGCTAACATGCCACCAGTAAACATCATCGCCTTCTACTCATCCACTATCTTCAAAGAAGGCGGGGCTTCCGACAAACAAGCCCTCCTCGCCTCCTTCGGTTTCGGGCTCATCAATTTCGTCTTCGCCTGGCCCGCTGTATGGACCATCGATACCTTCGGACGTCGCGGTCTCCTCCTCTTCACCTTCCCGAACATGTTTTGGACGCTCTTAGCTGCTGGATGCTGTTACTGGATTCCCAAAGACAATGATGCGCATTTAGGCCTAATTGCCTTCTTTGTCTACCTGTTTGACGCATTTTATTCTCCTGGGGAGGGTCCTGTGCCTTTTACTTACAGCGCAGAAGTGTTTCCCTTGAGTCATAGGGAGGTTGGGATGAGTTGGGCGGTGGCGACCAATAATTTCTGGGCTAGTGTGCTCAGTTTGACGTTGCCGACTATGCTAAGGAAGATGAAGGCGCAGGGTGTGTTTGGATTTTATGCAGGGCTAAATGTGCTTGCCTGTATCATGATGTAAGTCTTCGTGTCTCTCATTCAATCAGACAAACAGGCTGGGAGAGATGTGGGAAATGAAGGCTGACTGGCTGATAATAGCTTCCTCTGGCTCCCTGAGACCAAGCAGCGCACACTCGAAGAACTCGACTACGTCTTCGCCGTTCCAACTAGGACGCATATGAAGTACCAGGTCAGTGACCTGTTTAAAATCCTAGAAATAAAGTACTCATGCTAATGTCCGCGAACAGGTTACTAAGAATCTTCCCTGGTGGGCCAGGAAGTACATCCTTCGTCGCGGCGATGCTCCCAAGCCACAGCTCTACCACTTCGACAATGACGACTACTCCCCGGCGCCAGCGAAGAAGGATGTCGAGGCTGTAGAGACGACGGAGAAAGCTGTGGAGTTGAACGAGAAAGCTCTGTAAAGTGGAGAAAGGCTTGGCACTACTAGCATCTTTGTTCAGGTTTGCGTTCGCATGCATATTTGCGGCAGCGTTGGAACGTTCGCGGTGGACTGGTAGTCGTTGCAAGTGCAGTGCGTACTGTTCAAGATGGACTTGATGGAAATTACTGCGGTTCTGTGGTTTTAGTTCGATGGAATTCGGTTCGAATCGAATCCATGTGCGTAGCTAGTCTGCGATAGTCAATCATTAATGCTTAAATCAACAAACGTATTTTCAATTTCTTACCTTGCTAACCCCAATTCCCCAAATCTGAAGAGCAATGTCGTTTCTCCCCTAGTTCCCATCGCAAGCAATATAATACCTGAAGCAACCACTCCCCCGAACCTTTCCTCACGAGGTCCTCTTGTCCTCACCCTTGCCCTCGCCTGTACCTTTCGGACCTGCATCGACCCCTCGGGACACTCGTCGATATGTATATGTAAGAAGAAAATCCCACCACTGACGCCAAACCTTCCGTCTTACCTCGGCAGCCCACATGCCTCTCGATCCCACCACCAACGCCTCACGCAACCAATCACAGAGATACCTAGGCACAATCCAACTTGCAAACGTGCGAAGATGATCCGACACTCAGCCTTGGGATATAAGCTCGTGCCCCGCGTCGCAACGTCGGCTGAGATGGAAGGGGCTTCAAGATATCGGTTCATCGGTTGTATAGTTATTTGAGGTGTATTTGAGCGCGTTGTTGTCTTGCTTTTATTGTTGTTGTGTTAAGCTTTTAAGCCGAGCTTTGGCTGTTCTTATCTTTGGCTTTGTTCGTTTGCGACTACATCGTGTGATCCGACTAGAGCCTCACGTAACCTTCGAACCTCCTTCAACTTCAGCTTGTCTTATCACTCGCACACGATCGATTTAACATCGAGTACCTCTACAAGTATCTCGCATCGAACTTTTCAAGCAATACAAGGCAACATGGGCTTTAATCTGAAGCAACAGCTTGTTGCCGTACGTCGTCTACCAAATCTTGACAAGACTATATAGCTTTCTAATCACAACAGTAGTATGGCGCGTACCATCGCGACCCGGTGAGTCGAGCTGAGTGAATATAAGCGATTATATTGGCAAGAGGGATGAAAGGGAAGCTGACTGACAAATGAAACCTGAAGACAAATGTCAAGATTCATATGACTTGCGTGCCATGGATTATGGCGACGGCTTTCTTCTTGGTAAGTTGCACACCGGCAATTCCAATTGCCCGCTGCTTCAGAAATCCAGCATCTTTGGGATATCTCCGAGCTAGGTGGCTGTCTGTTGTTCATCTGCCTCCACTCCCACCCATCGTCCCCAATTCCACGCTTAACTAACAAACCCTCCCTCTAGGGCACTAACACCCCGACTCTCCCCCTCCGCACCCCCTCGCTCCTCACAAAACTCCACCTCCCCCTCAATCTCTCCACCCTCGCCGGTCTAACCTACTCAACCCTCTACCTATATCTCTCCCCTAATATCGCGGGCTCTACCCTCGCACCGCTTGTCCTCTCTATCTCCTCCTTCACCAACATCCTACACACTAAATACCAAACCTCGCTTAAGAAACTCAACACCATCGCCAGCGCTATCCACGTCGTGGCCTGGATCCTACAATTCATCGGTCATGGGAAGTTTGAGGGTAGGAAACCAGCCTTGTTGGATAATCTTGCGCAAGCGCTATTTTTGGCACCGCTGTTTGTGTGGTATGAGGGGTTGTTTATGTTGGGGTTTTATAGGGAATTGAGGGTGGAGGTGGAGGAGGGGATTGATGCAGAGATTAGGCGGGTGAAGGAGGGGAAGAGGAAATAGAGGGGTTGGCTGGTGGGGGCGGTGGGAGTTGGGGCTGGGGTTGGGTTGGGGTTTGTAGTGTGTGTTTAACAAAGAGAGCACCGGCCGGGGTAGTGGGAGGAAGGCTGACGGGGTTGGTTTTGCCCTGCCCTACCCCGGGAGAGATTCACACGTTCCTACCCGGCTGCCCTCCATGCTGCAGATTATTATTGACATAATGGTTGAGTTTTAGGTAGAATGCCACTGCATGGGGTTGGAGGAACAGGAGGAGATTGCACGGACTATTGAGTACAGGGTGGATAACCAAGTCAAGAAGAACTGATGTATATTTTCCCTGGAGATTGAAATCCGGCTGTCAGCAATAAAACCGTGCCCTGGAAATTCAGTCAACGGCGGTCCTTTTCAGAACCCGTGTGAACAATCCATCGCCATTTACATGGCTATGGGCAAAATGGGTCGGCAGTTGAAGTAACTTTTGCTTCATGCTAAACCTTTGAAGCCACGAACAGCTAGCTTAACTGGCCATCGGATCTAACTCGCGTAGAAAGAAGATAGTTCTGCGGCGGATATGCCCTCGCTTCCTTCGGCGGAAAGACCAAAGCGAAAGCTCCCGACTCATTGGCCCTACGAGCAGTGTTGAAACTAACGAATGTTCTGAAGTAAGGGGATGGCACTCCCAGAGCCTGCGTGTATGAGAACTCGATGAAGTCACAAATGAGACACAGAGCTACCTCGGAGAACCATGCTACTTGACTGTGACACAGTCAGGAAGAATTTGCCGAGTTTCTGGGCTCGGTGTGCGACGATGTAATGCACCCTGTGCTTCAGTTTTTCACCCATCCAATTCGGTTTCTCGGGCGGTATTTCGTAGTCCAAATCCCTTGACTCACTGGCGCGTTTGACGTATTGGATAACATCTTCCCGTATGACAAAGGATTGGGATAGAACTGGAAGAGAAGCTACCCTTGAGCTACGGCAGCCTTCAAGATACCTAGTTCTACTAGTCTGTATCTGTTAACCTGAGGTTACTCTACCATCGTGCAAGAAATTCTCTCTCTACCCTGTAGATAGTTGAGAGACCAAGTTGGCAGGTTTGGGGGAGTGGTAGGTAAGGGCCGAGAGGTGAGGCGCCAGAGGATAGTAGCTTGGAACGAAAGGACGCGACTGGAGGAAGAGCGGCGAAAGATGCAGATGCTCCCAGATGGTCCTTCTCAAATGTAGTGGTGGGGAGACCCAAGGACTAGGAGCAGACATAGAGGAGCGGGAAATACGGATATACTCTTCCAAGACTGCGGGAGAGGTTCGATGCTACTACCATGCTTGAATGAACGTTTACTTCTGTCTATCCAGCCATTGATACCACTCTAAGGCACCAAATCTTCCTCCTCATCTTTCTGATACAAGAAATACTGAATAAAGACAAACGCATCCAACAAAAGCGTGCCAAAGCTCCCCAACAGCCATGAAAGGTTAACCGCAATATATCTCCCATACACAGCTCTTGCCTCCCCAGGCTTACAAAGCCGTGGATCCTTGCACTTAGGCTTATATGCAAAGATAGACATCACATAAGTCATGTTGCCTATGCAAGCGAACAAGAAGAACAGCATTGAGATGCCTTCGGTACTCTTGCGGCGGTAGTTGAGGAGGAGTTGAGGAACTCGAGATCCGAGGTAGAGAATAGCACAGATGTAGCCGAAGATCTGGCCCCAGAGGTTGAAGTACAAACCGCCACTGTCTTCTTCCTCGGGGGGCGGTGAGGGGATTGCGTTGCGTGCACTGAGCCACCAACCAAAGACCCCGGATGCGCAGACAAGAAAGATAATTCCGAGATTGAAGCAAATGGTCTGTAGTGTTGACGTCGGTGCCTGCTGCCGAGCCTGGACTACTCTCTCCGCTAGAGTTGAGTCGGGGAGTAGTGGTGTCGCGGGAGAGAGATGAGTTCCATCAACCGAAAGTAGCCGTTCTCTAAACGAAGACTGCGAATGGTAAGAGTGCCGACGGTCATTGTCTTCAATCCGAGGTGGTGTATGATACCCATTTCCATGTCCGTTGGAGTGGCTTCCGTTTGTAATGGTTTGTCTACCATCCGGCAGGAGTGGTGTTTGCTCATTTGTCGACGCTCCGCTCTCGACTGGCCCTTCTTCCTCAGTCTTTGGTATTGAGTCGCTCAACGTGAAACCTTTATACCAGAAGCATTGAAGGAGTAACACAATGTCAGCGAATGTGTAGTAAACGGCAAGAATGGTCATAGTCGGCAAGACCCCTTGTAGTACGGCTCCAAATATGTTGAAAAAGTCTCCTAGAAGCCATACTGTGATGAATACGACTGAAAGTCCATCAGCAGAGCTTCGTCTCCAATTCTCTATGATCTGGGGCGAGAAGACAACTGTAATTGCGTCAGTGCATTTTAAACCAAGCACGGGGAAACATTTACCAATCCAGCATGCGATCGAAACCGAACCGCATATTTGACTAATTGCATCAATGTCGAGGCGTAAGCTTTGGGATGGAGGAAACATGTTTCCGATGACGTATGTTCCAGATTCGGCTCAGGTGAGGCGGAACTCGATTATCTAACAAGTTTTGAAGGAGCAATTCTAGCAGTCTGGAAAGATGGAATAGAATCTTAGGAGTCCGGCGTCAATTACTCTTGGTATCTTTAAGAATGCGAGGCAAGAACCAGCTTTTGTCCGCGAAGGCAAACAATAGATCAGCAAAGGCCCCTCGATTCTGACGGCCGACCACCGTGAACGGAGCACGTGGTAAACAAAAAAACTCTAGAGTATGAATGGATGAAATAATAGATGAGGTCAGCCAATAAGCGATGGATGGCACACGTGGTGACAAGATGGTTGTTGAAGTTCGGCTAATGAGTTGAGTGAATGTGGAGGCTGAAAAGTCTGCAGCCCCCAATACCAATATCTGGGGAAACCTGGTCAGGCACTGCCGACACTAGCCCCGATTTGGTTGCATAGTTCACTACCATATACCAGGGAATGGTTCGACGACCTTGCCATCTCCTTCATAACTCATGTCATGCATCGCTATAATTGCATCCAATAACGCTCCCAATGCCAAGTTGAAGTGATCTAACCCCTACTGTTTCCCATGCTTGACATCGTCTACAGTCCATTTTCCTTCTTGAATGTGTCCCACGCTTCGTTCAGGGTGCTGAACACAGCAGCGCTGATCATGCGTTGCTCCGTCGTGGCTGTTTGTGAAATCTGAATAAAAAAAATGTAAGCTTTATTTGTCTTGTGGAAGTTTCACATCAGGCGTAATCTTACCTTGTCAGGGTGTACTTTGGCAATAGCCTTCATGTATATGATCTTGACCTTATTTGGCATGACCAAGTCGCCCATGTTGACTTTTTTCCATCCTGCTTCAGGCCACAAGACTTTATCTAATGACCCGAGAAGGGCTCGCAAATTGTCAGCCTTTGAACCTTTCCAAGCTGTTAGCGTAGCATCAACTTGGTCCGTAAGTGCAAATTTTTCGTCATCTGCCTTTTCAGCTGCAGCATTTGCCTCCTTTAGTTTCTTCACAGCTTCAGACTCTGCCGCAGGCCCTCCACTTAGATCTGAGAGAGCGGATGGTCTGGGAGGAGGTGGTTTTCGGACCGGAGCTCGTTTCTCTACGGCAGGCGGACCACTACCGCCATCTACAGCCTTGTCGCATCGATTTCTTCCTTGAATGCTTATTGCCCCTCCCACACCAGCCTCTACAGCTTCTTTCCAGATCTTAAGCGCATCGGCCCATTTCTCCATATGCTCGAGTGCTTCCGCTTTCCGCATGAGAGCTTTGCCGTAAAACTCCTTCATATCTTTCTCTCCCTCCGTACTTCCTAAAGCAATTTTCTCGCCATCTCCCTTAGAAACTCCGATGATTGCTAAAGCAGCATCGGCATCAGATACTGCGGCCTTAGGATCACCCACCTTGATATTCGTCACGGCTCGATTGCAAAGGACGATGATAGTGATTGGGTGGGTCTGCGGAAGTGGTGATAACGCTGATGAGTAAGCCGTATGAGCCGCCGAATAGTCGCCACGTTTGAAGGCTTCGGAGCCCTGTTGCCGGTAGGCAGCAGAAGAGTTGAGGGCAGATGATGATACCGGGGGGATTTGGCGAGGGGGTGGTCTTGGCTTGGGGGCAGGAGGGGTGGCTGCTGGACTTCTATTCTTGGATGCAGATGTGCCCTGGAGGAAAGGATTGTTGGATTGACTTGCTGGCGATTGGCGTGACGAAGATGTGGGTGGACTTGACTTGTTCGTCGAGAACGATTCCGTTTGCGGAGTGGCCCTCCTACGTCGTGCGGGACTCACATAAGCTTGTGCGCTTTGTTCTTCTACGACTTGACGAGTCAGCTTGGTGGCTGGCCTCTTGTCAACGAATGGAGGTTGCTGCCGTAGAGAAGGAGACTGTGAGGACATGCGATTAGGAACTCCGTTACTGGCTTCCTCTGGCCCACGCCGAGTCCGGAGTATGTGAGGGTCAGGTGTGGGCCGAGTTTCACTTTGGCGCGACGATTTACCAGGCCGGGAGCCTGACTCCAACATCATGGCTTCGTTTGTTGCATCTGATGTGGCTCTGTCTGGAGCGCCTTTGCGGACTCCACTTGGCAATCCTGTAGTCTCATCACGTGACCCAGAACCTTCGCATTGGGAGTGGATTTGTGCTTCTCTCATCCATTTCGGCATATTTGGATCGCTATCTTGCTGAAAGTCTGCGACCGCTTTCTGCACCTTTTTCTGGCTCGTTTTCCACAGCGAGTTCGCCGATTTGAAAAGGGTACTTCCAAGCTCCGAAGCGTATTGCGAGACATCCTTTTCCTGCGTTGTCGACTGTCCATCCTGTTTACGTTGACCCGAGCGACTACGTGCATCATCTCCTCGCATCCACGCAGGCTTAGAACCACCGCTACTTGAGTCCCTTGCGGTGGATCTTTCAGGAGCTCGATGATATCGGTCCTCGTGGGCATCTGGACTATGGCGAGGTCTACTTCCCCCACGCTCTTGAGTTTTCTGTCTGGCTTCTTCGTGGGCTTGGTTCAGAAGCCATCCAACCGCAGCCTGGACATCGGTACCAGACTCCGTTTGAGCCAATGCAATGGCCGACCTGTCTGTGGGAAACCCCATGTCGACCAACTCAGCCACGGCTTTGTCGAAGGGAGTGGTCTCAACTGGAGAAGGCTCGCGCCGTGGTTCCGAAGGTTGCTCCGGTGCAACTGGAGTTGGATCGGGTTTCTTTTGGAATTCGGAGACGGGCTTCGCGAGAAGACCCAGTATATCATCGCCATCTGTGGCAGGGGGTGGAGAGACGTTAGTAACATTTTTCTGAGACAGCTGGCTCAGGCCAAATATATCATCATCATCATCTACGGAGAAGTTTGTAGATGGCTGAGGTAGTGGGGTATGACCTCGAGAAGCGTGTGCACTCAATGCTGGTGTGCTGCGCCCACTATCAAAAGAGGTTGGCGGGGGAAAGTGGCTTGAAGAGTCTACAGGAGCTGCAGAGTTGAAAGCCGAAAGAAGATCATCTTCAGTAGGTGGTGATTGTAGAGGTCGTTTGAAAGAAGTGTCAAGACCCGCAAACGGCTTATTGATAGTTTTTGAGAGAGTCTGCGCCCCCGAGATATTCACAGTAGCGCGCTGTCCGCCAGACGACGTGGGCTCGGGGGTACTCTTCCCACTACCTAATGAATCCCAGACGTTATCCGCGGCCCCAAATTGTGAATCAAGTCGTTTCCTCTGCTCTGATTCTTGCCGCAGTCTCGCCTCCTGCAATTGCTTTTGGCGCTCCTGGAGTGTGAGGTTGTTCGTGGCGGCTTTTGATGTCTTGGTGGAGACCAAGCTAGCGAAGCTATCGTTTGCCGGAGTAGCTGGTTTCGAGGGCGCTTGGAGCGATCGATTTAGACTTGGGATTGACCCGGACTGTTGCGCGGAGAGCGGTGTCGAGCGGCCGGATAGCTGAGGCGGGGGAGTTTGACGGAAAGGAGGAAAGGCTGATGGCGGATTTGGGTTTGGGTTTGGCTTGGTGGGCGCTGACCAGTCGAGGCCAGCCAGGTCGTCCATCTTTGAAATGAGGAATTCTCAATCCTTTGAGGGGGTCAGTATCGTGTCACACCATGACAGGATGGCGTGGTGAGCAAGTTGTGGCAGTTTGAATGCCAAATGTGCGACAATTGTTGTTCGCGTGAAGTCGCAGCCAGCACAGCCTCATATGTGGCTTGCTGTGGCTGGTGCACGTGATACTACCTCTCAAGTGGACCTCAGTTGTCAGGTAAGACATGATTGAAAAATATCAAATATCAATAAGGCTGAATCAATTCTAGGTGCCTTGTGGACGACATGTAGAATCTCAATGAGTTCCTCCGTGTCTGCTCTAAATTCGCCTACTGGTGCAGTGCAGCACTATGTGTTCCAAGATTTGTTGCTTTTATCGCAACATCCCACACACTATCGTCGACTTGTCCAAGCTAACCATCCCTCGAAGCGATTCTAGAACTAAACATGGGCCGGGCAAGATCCCGAGGACATTGCCAAAAGGGCCAAACACTATCGCTCGCTTTCGTGAAGTTAAGGAGTGGTCAGTGAGCATCGCTCCACGATGCTGGGCAAGGTATGGCGCAAAAGAAGCACGGCCTTTGGAACACGGATAGTCCCGCGGACTCAGAGACAGGGCTTTGGTCCGTGGTCCTTGGGGAGACAGAGCTTCGGGTCAGCTATTGACTCGTTCCACCGGCCCATTACTCGAACCCGCCGCACAGAGGCCGCGGCGATTTTCGAACAAACTTCCAGGAGACGAGGTGCACCACCTTAAACAATCACGCGCAGTTGTGTAGACGAAAGGCGTTGCTTGAGTTCAAACGTTCGTTTCCTGTTGGCTCTGTCCGCAAGTTTGTGGCTTTGGCTGTCTGGTGTTGGTCTCACACTGTGTAATTCTGGAGAGCAAGTCGTCGCCGGTTCTTTGAGGCTTGACGAGCCGAGTGCCTCCTCCTCATCTCGATTCCGCGTCCATGGTTAGCTGACTGATCTTTCGTCCCGCGAAGACGCCAGGGAGGATGGGCGCATAGTGGCCTGGAGCTTCTTCAATCAGCCTGGCTCTGAGATAGGCAAAGTGATGGCCCAAAAGCGGCAGACGCGAGGTGATGGTGGTCAAACACTACCTCCCTGGCATTGCCAGCACACAACTCTTATGGATGCCCAAGAGTCATGCAACAAGACATCAGAGACGCGGGGCAATTCCAAGGTTGTTTAGAGTTAGAAAATGTCGCGCTTGGTGTCGGCGAAACATTTAACTTTGCAGGAGCACCGCTAACCAAGAGCCGGATGCAGGCCGAAACTCTGCGTGAGGAAATTGGCAGACTTACCAGAAGGAGGTCATGACATGCTTCCGCGGGCATGGGGTGAAGACAATGCAACGAGAGAGTCAGGTTGTGCACACCACGCTCAAGAGGGCATGTCTGTTGCCGTGGCTGGCCAAATGGAGACAATAGTGGAGGTCGAGCGAGTCTCTGCACGGAAGCTGGCGACGCCCCAGTTGCTCCACCGCGAAGGTGCTTGGGGCGCGGCAACGGGAGCAAAGGGATGGAGGTGAATATTGGCAATACCGAGGGAGTTCTGGTTAAAGATGGAGCTGGGCCCCTGAGGGATCTCGCGCGCAATAACGGGCAGGTCGTGGCGCATCCAACACCGGATGGCCGCCAGGCTTGTGCTTCCTGATTAATTGTGCCCGCACTGGCTGTTGTGGTTCTCTTTTCTGCATTTGCAGGAGGGGTGAGACGCGCGATACATCTGATAGAAGGGCGAGATTAGGCTAACCGTGACCTGTGTCTCCCTGGCGTTGACATCGCTTGCTTTTGCGTCGGCTCGCTGCTTGCTTGCTCGCCGCACGCCTTTGCTGTTGCAGGGGACGGCACTGCATGCCCACCATCCGAACGAGGGGCCCCTGAGCTGCTCCAACGGTCGCGTCTGCTTCTCCTTCAAAACAACGTGTGCGTGCATCGCATCGTGCTGCTCGAGTCCTCCTGGTGCTGCTGCTGCTGCTGCTGCTGCTGTGTCTGCTATTCTCTTGTGATCTCCTGCCTGCCCACGGTCCTCACGCCTGCTGCCGCCACCGCCGTCTGCTGCCCGGCGCCGGACTGCTAACTGCAACCACCTGTGCACTGTCCCTGCGGCGACACTCCCGCGGCCTTTGTCCAGGGAGACCCAGAGCGCGCTCGTCCAGCGGCCAGGCTCCTCCGCACGCCCAACCAGCGCCCGGACAGCAACGCGGCCTGTCATTTCCCGCCATCGGGGAGCTCGCCCCAAGCTGCTGATCGACGTTCGCTTTATCCGTCCTCGAGGGTGGCTGACTGTTTCTACCTCTGCTCTCTGCAAAAAAAAATCGTGAAGCTGCTACGCTGCTCCTGCCTGCTCGTCCCTCACGCCTGTCCGCATTATCGCCATGCGTCTCTTCGGTCGCAAGAGCTCTAAGCCCTCCATCTCCCCCGGAGAGGCCCATGCCAACCACTCCAATGGCTCCCTGAAGTCTCCGGGGCCCCATCCCCAGTCCTCCAACGGCACCAAGACTCCCGTCACCATGCCCGATATTCCTCTCCCCAAAGCCCCCGACCCTGCCCTCGACCCTGCCGCCTACCTCCGCAGCATCTATGCCGTCCGCGAGCGCTCCCGCCTGGTCCTCGAGAAGGCCAAAAAGAACCAGCTGAAGCACTTCGCCGTGGACATGACTAAGTTCCAGGACACAGCCGGCTATGTGGTCTCCATCATCAAGGCGAGTCTTTCGTGTCTGCCATTGTGTGCGGCTTTGCTGACTTGCGTTGCAGCGGGACTATGCACCCGACTATGCTTCAATTCCTCCCCACGGCCGATGGCAGCACTTCGAAGTCGGAGGCCGTCCGCGCATCGACCAGCTTATGCAATCATGGCCCTTGACTGTCGACAATCAGGAACGCACGCGTCGTCTGATCGATCTCTTCCTCGTGTCTGTCCTCCTTGATGCCGGCGCCGGGACCAAATGGCAATACCGGAGCAAAGAATCGGGAAAGATCTACCGACGAAGCGAAGGCCTGGCAGTGGCCAGTCTCGAGATGTTTAAGGCCGGTCTTTTCAGCAGCGATAAGTCTGAGCCTTGCCAGGTTGACAGTGCTGGCCTGAAAAAATTAGACGTCAAGGCGATAGCCCGCGGGCTTCAGGTTACCGAGGATAACCCCATTGACGGTCTGCAGGGACGCACAGGTCTCTTGTTGAGGTTGGCCGACGCGCTGCAGAACCAGGAAATTTTTGGACTGGAAGCTCGACCTGGGAACATGCTCGGTTCGTATTTTTTACCCCTAGCTATAGCAAAGCTAACAAGGATAAGACTATCTGCTCTCACACCCCTCGACACAAGCCTCCTCTGTCCCGATCATCCCGCTCCCCACCTTCTGGGACGTGCTGATGGATAGCTTGTCTCCTATCTGGCCGTCCACGCGCACCCAGATCGACGGCATTTCTATTGGTGATGCTTGGCCGTGTTCGGTCATGCCGTCACACCCAACACACCCCTGGGAAAACATTGTGCCATTCCACAAGCTCACTCAATGGCTGGCTTATTCATTGATGGTACCCATGACAAAGCTGCTCCATGTTCACTTCGCCGGGGCCGAATTATTGACTGGCCTTCCAGAGTACCGCAATGGCGGTCTCCTTATCGATACCGGTCTTTTGACCTTGAAGCCTGAGGACGCCAAGCGAGGGCTCCAACAGTATCAGCGAAACGCCCAGGTAAAGGGACAGCCTAACATGGAGGTTGTTCCACTCTTCATGGCAGAGGATGATGTGATTGTGGAGTGGCGCGCAGTCACTGTAGGCTTCTTAGATGAACTCTTGGCAGAAGTCAATGCATTGCTCGGGCTAAGGGGACATGAAAAACTGAGCTTGGCTCAGATGCTTGAAGCCGGCAGTTGGAAGGTAAACTTATTCTTTCACTCTTACATCAGGAGGGCTTAGCTGACAATAGTGTAGGGAGGTCGAGAAATTGCTGAGGTGTCGCGACCGAACACGAAAGAACCACCCATCATGATATTGTCCGACGGGACCGTTTTCTAAGATACCCTTAAGTTCTGTTTTATTGCCTTCATTGATGCCGCGACACGCGGGAACATCACCGACTCGTGTTCTCCCGCGACCTCGTCTCCTCAGTGAGTGAGATGGTGTGATTCATCATCGCTTTTGGCGGCTCCTTTTCGTGTTCATATTTGTGGCATGTACTCTGGCATCTCTTTCTTGCTTAAGATGGGCTGCAACCTACATGCCCTTTGATTCTGTCGACCCCTTGTTTTCTGCTTCTACGGCATTTGTAAGAAAATCTGGATTTCGAGTTATACAGGGATTTGGCATGCGGCCTAGGCTTAAACTGCGTCTGGTGGTCACTGGGAGTTCATGAAGTCAGTAGTCTATAATTCATAAGTCGATAACTTTCGAGGCTGCACAAGCAATTTCACTTCAGAGTGTATCGATTGGAACTAGGATAGAAAATGGACGTGTGCAATCGAGCTTACGTGTGGGAGCGTTTGTCAGGCCTTGGTAATATGGGTGATATTTGATGCCCAGGGGTAGCTGAGCTCGTCCCGCATCGTCTTTGTGGCGCACACCCAGGGAAGATAGACCGGAGCGAGGGTGGCCTTGTGGGAGAGCTCTGTGTCACGTGAAATGGCCAGAGCACCAACGTCACCCGGACGTGCAAGCTTGTGTTTGTCGCATGCACACCACCCACCAACACCATCGACGCCCACGATGAATACCGGGAAGCGACAGAAGCAGCGCAAGGTGCTGCTGATGGGCAAGAGCGGCGCGGGGAAGTCGTCGATGCGGTCCATTGTCTTCAGCAATTATGTGGCGAAAGATGTGCGAAGACTAGGTGCCACGATTGACGTCGAGCACAGCAACATTAAGTTTATGGGGAACCTGATGCTGAATCTGTGGGACTGTGGAGGGTACTGCTATAGCTTCTTTTACACATGAAGCATGCTGGTGTGCTTTTCAAGACATATGCTAATCTAGGAATCTCGTGCAGACAAGACGGCTTCGTCGAAAACTACCTCAACCACCAGCGAAATCACGTCTTCGGCAGTGTCGCTGTCCTAATCTTTGTCTTTGACATCGAGTCCCGCGAATTCCCCGCCGACGTCATCTCCTACTCCAACATCATCCGCGCTTTACAAGAATGCTCCCCGGGCGCCAAAGTCTTCGTCCTGATCCACAAAATGGACCTCGTGCAAGCGCGGCTCCGCGCGCAGCTCTTCGACGAGCGTGCCGAATACATCCGCACTGCGTCAGAAAGCTTTCGAGACAGTGTCGATTTCTTTCCCACCAGTATCTGGGATCAGAGCTTATATAAAGCATGGACGCAGATTATCTACTTCTTGATTCCGAATGCAGCGACGATTGAGGGGCTGTTACAGCAGTTGGCGGAGGTGATTGATGCGAGGGAGTTGATTCTGTATGAGCGGACTACCTGCTTGATGGTTACGCATGTTACCAGAGGAGAGGAGGGGCAAAATCCATTTACGGATCGGTTTGAGAGGATTTCGAGCATTTTGAAGACGCATAAGCAGTCGATGGCGTATGTCATACACCCCACCCCACACCTGCTGCTCAACTTTCACCTCCATCTCCACCTCCATCTCCGTCTTCGTCTCTATCTCTTTCTAGAAGGTAAAAATTAACCACCAAAAACAGCAAGCACACCGGCATCCCAGCGGGCAGCGCCAACTTCGCCGAAATGCAGATCAAAACCGGCCGCTTTATGTTCTTCATCACACGTTTGACTGAAAATACAAATCTCGCCGCCTCTATCCCGCCCTCGGAACAAGTCTTCAATGCCGCCCGCGTAAACATTCTCCTCGTGAGGCCAAAGTTCGCTGAACTAGACATCGCAAGTAAACCGCGCCCGGGGATCCAGCAGGCATTTGCGCACTCCGCTGAAAGCGATCGTGATAGAGACCGGCTGAGAGATCATTCGGCAGGTGGGGAGTCAGAGTATAGAGGGAAGGGGAAGGAGCCAGTGAGTATAGGGATGGGAGGAGGATTTGATGGTTAATAGGGGCGTGATGGATTTTGGATCATAGTGTGGAATCTCGCTTTTTCGGTTTGTCTGGCGCAACCCTGTTTCGAGTGTATGGACGGCTACTGGGGAGAATTCTTTCTCATGATACCCATCATTGGTCGGCGTTTGAGCGAGCGAGCGATCAATCCTGAATTCAATAGACTTAGAGCATCATGGTACCATACATTGCATCCTATTCTTCCTCTTCCATTTGGATTTGTCTCTGTCTTCGTTAGAATCCTCGCTCCTGAACAGCCCCTGATGTGCACGTCTCAACGGCCTTGGCAACACTACAAAATCTTCCACACTACCAAGCTTGTTCTTCCCTCCTATCCTCTCCTCCCACCCCAATCATCGAAAATATACCTACCATCGCGGCTTTTCCTTGGCCTAGTTAAGTCGGCCTCACCCATGGAAACATGAACACAAACCTTATGCATCACGCTTCCCTTCCTAGAGCCAACGTCTGCTTGCTCCGTGGATTATCAGGCACATGAAGTGTGGGAGGGAAGGGAATGAAGGCTTTATGGGGGGGGGGGGGGGTGCATGGATGGATAATGTCTTTTTTTGTGGTGTGGTGACATCACCTTGGGACCACCCTACCCCTCCATCTATTCACCCATCCACCCATCCATCCACCAACAGTAACCAGCATCAATGCATGATCATCCATCCAAGAAAGTGAGCATTACACAAAGCATTATGATTCTTTTTTTTGGGGAGCCTTCCATCTCCCAAGCCCGCCACCTATATCCGACCGACCTAATTTTCCAGACCTCAACCCGGGTCCATATCGTACAATACAATGCCAGCCACCAACACATATGAAACAGACGGAACACAGAAAAGAGAGTCGTTAGTAATAAAGAAACCCTGATATAACCTTTCCGCCAGCCCTCTTTCAAATGCAAAGCAGAATCCTAATTCGAAATTGAAAAAAGTAAAGAGACGTACAAGTACACCGACACAAGTATTACATTAACAACAAGGAATGCTGCCCGCTCGCTTGCTTGTAGATATGATTTTAGAGTTCTGAAGAACTGAAATATGTGGGGATGCTGGGGTTGCAAGTTCTGAATGGGAAGAGAGAGAGGGGTGAGTCTTGGCATCAAAAATGACTCGTGGGGTATCCATGACCTTGTCGAATGCTCATGTCCAAGTCCATGCAGTTGACCGCCTTCCCATGTCCAATCCAATAATCGGCCATCGACTGGGAATTGATAGTGACAAATTTTTCGGCTTGCTTTCCTAGCCCGAGTGAGGAAAAGCACTTCTGCGCCTCATGACCATCATCAATCACAGCAAGGATTCGACGGAATGAATCCTATCACGGTCCCTCATCTCCTCACACAGCAGAAACTCTCTCAGGCATCCAAGTCCAAGCCGGCGTCCAACTCCCCCTCACCGTCCCGTCAATTCCCCTACAATCTCAAAAAGCACCTGATCCTCAGTCCGATAACAAATATCATCCGCCGCAAATGCCGTCTCCAAACTTTCGCCAGTGCGCCAAAAATGGCCAAAACTGCCATTCCTAACCCCTTGCTCCTCATTCAACGCAATCTCCGTCAACTGCTTAACTCTCACAGAAACCGCTTTCTGCTGCGCGCGTGCACTTGCCCAGAACTGCACTAACTCGTCCAGACACGAGATCGTGGTTCCGAGTGTCTCGATTAGATTCGGTAGCGTTGAGACTGTGCCAGCGGATGAGAGGACGTCGATGGAGAGCATGAGTGCATAGCCAGGGAATGGGGTGCTGAAGAGAAATTCGGATGCGGAGTTAGGTGGGAGACGGCGTTGGCGCTTCACCGGGGCTAGGGAGTGCATTAGGGAAAGGAACATAGACGCGTTCCGGAAAGCGCAGTCGATGTTGCGGGATATTTTGTCCATGGAAAGTGCACGGACGCGGACATGGCGGTTGAGTCTGATCATGGTGGTATGGTAGAGAGCGTGGATGGAAAGGAAAGTGCCCGCATATCCCTCAATGATGCTATTATCGAGATTCTGTGGGCTGTACTGGAGATTAGGCGGCAACATCGTCTGCCAGACTTCCAACCGCTCGTTTGTTTTGGCATAGAAAGCCTCGTAAAGTCGTTCGTAGCCGTCGTCCGGTCGATGGACAGCCCGGCTCGTAAAAGTCAACACGTCCCCCCAGATCGCAGATATTAGAGTTAAATAAGCCATATGACCCAGGGCCGGTCCAGAAGGAGAAACAGGAGAAGAAGGCGTCTGGTGACTCAGCAGGTCGAAATCAAAGAAGGGGGTATCAGTGGGAGCAGAGTTCTCATAGGCGTACTCTAGGCAAGGAAGGCGAAGGAAGGTATCCTCGGGATTAATAACACAAAGAGTTCCTCCACAGAAGCCATTATAGCGCTGTTGGAGCATTAGGTTAAGGGTCGTTGTCGCCGTAAACGCGGTTGAACTTACATCCATCAAAAATCCGGACCAGAAAGTACGTCGGCAGCATTCCTCTAGGGTCCGGCGATCGAATCCATAGTCCAGGTCGGCGGAATCCTCGGGCAGCTCCTTGACTCCCTCCTCGGTATTGAGTTTCAAGGCGCTAATGGCTCGCAAACCGGCTCCACAGAAGTCCCAGGCCTCCTGTGCCTTTCCTCTAGCAAAGTTGTATAGGGCTAGCATAAGCCTGCTCTGACACAATTGGAGTGTGAACTTGCCGAACCGCTTCTCTGTCGCATGAGCAGCTACTGCGGCAAAACGTCTCCCAATCGTCCGGTTGCCCGGGTCACTGGAGAAGACGGAACCCATCGCTAGAACGGAGTATAGAAGCATGAGCTGATCCTGGCTCTTCTCATGACTGTTGTTTTCGACCCATTTCAGAAAAGGTTTCCGAGGGAACATTCCATACGTGGCGCGTCCTGCGTGCAGGAAATACAGGTCCAGGAGATGCATGGTCGTCCGGGGATCTGTTTCATACGGATCCTGTTCCCATTGGATGGCCAGATAGTCCTGGTGCGAGCCACGTCTGGGTTCATCCGGATCTGGATTATTCAAATTCAAAGAGCCGCTCCAGTCTGAGTCAAACGAGTGAACTGACATATCTCTTGACGTAGCAACTGAATTCGGACGAAAGTTGCGAAGCTTGTGTGGTGAACTAGTATTCCAAGCTTCAACAGTTCTTGTAGGGTCACGATGCTCTTCAAGAGCTCTGGGTTTGTCGGGGCCGGCCACTGGGCTCACAAGTTCTGCCGACTGGGTCTTAAATAGAGCTCCCGAAGAAGACGGTGATGTTTCCTCCGTTGCATTGCTCATGCCTGCCTGGTTGAGGCCACTATTTTTTCAAGTTAGTATTTGTCATGTGAGTTGCACGATCCGCATTGTCAGCGATTTGAAATCCAATAAGATCAATGCATATAGAGCGAGAAGTAAGGTTGAAGCCTTAAGAGTAGTACAAGAGCAGACTCACCCTCTACACGCCCTCTGTGATTTGGCACATTGGTGGCACTTTGGATACCCAGGCTCGCACTTGATCTTCTTTTCTCGACAAGTCAGGCATGCTTGAGCAAGTCGCTTTCGTGGCTTGCCTGCCTTGGTAATGCCCCAGGATGGGTTGACTGGTTCACCGTCTATAACGGCACGGCAGTATGTTCCATCTTCGTAGACATAGCATAGACCCTCTCCAGGAATCTCACGCTGCCCCATACACCGTGATGCTCGAATTGGAGCGCGAGAAGAGCCCTCTGTGCGTCTCCTCGCCGGTCCCTTCACAATATCCATAGGGTCATCGTGCGCAGACTGGATTGTATAAGTGCCTACCGGGTCGGAGGACGCACTCATAGCAGAGGCTGTAGATGGCTGTCGATTCATCATACCGACCGATTCATGATGTGGTGGACGACCAAGGCTTGCATGGCGATGGAATTCAGACGGCCGAGAACCAGGTGCAGAGCTTGAGGGCGAGTAGGACTGCGATTGTACGTCCGCTGTAGTGCTATTACTGGCATGACGGAGTACAGGTGGCGCTCGTGAAGCGATAGCATTACTTTCATGGTGGGCGTGGCTGTAACCATCGAAATCATGCCGTCTTTTTAAGGTTGGGCTCGATGATCCATACCGCACGGTGCTACTGTGGGGGAGATGACCACCACCTGGTCGCGGGGATGGGTCAGGCAGTTTGTTGTCCAATAACTCAGGCTCCAAGAGGGTTCGCAAACTTGGGAGTTGTTGCGCATTACTTTGGCTTCCGTCAGGATCCCTTGGGCGGCGGGGTTGAGCTGGGGGCACGATCTCTGGCCGCGACGGTGCAACGTTGGATCTCTGGTAGGGACTGTAAGAGGTAAATGGTTGAGGAGGTGCCGGACGGGAGGGGATGCTGGGCAGGCGGTTCATGTCGACGAGCATAGCAGCAGGAGGAGGAGAGGGTCGAGGGTCGGCACCTGAGGTGGGATGGCTTCCACGATACATTGGTCGACAGACCACATGGAGATTTAGGGAATAACACAAGATATAAACTAGGGCACTTTGGAGATTCAGGCACGGCCCCGACCCTGACTGTGATGCAGGCACGGCATCAGCTCGTAGTCAAACTATCGGGCACATGGAGACAGGCGCAGAAAGCAGAAAAGTTGGAAAGGTGGCCAGTGGACTGCAGAAGCACGATTGCGTGCGTCTGTAATGGAATACCCGCCGTGAGGTCTTGCAGAGGCTGCAAGGTTCTGGAGAAAAAGCCAACGGAACTCGCAGTCCGTGCAGGGCTGACGTCTGACTATCCACTACACCTCCGGCTGCTCCTGGACCACAGCCGAAGCAGCAGGGCATGTAGGGATGGGTGGAGGGAGGGTCTGGGGGGGTACGAGGGCAGGACTCACAGGTGCTAGGCGGGCTGCTTGATGCGGCGAGGACGGCTCACGAGGCGCAGAGGGAACTCTGGGCACACAATGGGAGCTGCTCGCACAGGCAAAGGCGAGGAATAGCAATAAATATGATAATACCGGGTAGCAAAAGGCACAGAGAATGAGAAGGGGGAGGGCCACGACGGGAATCCGTGCTGCGGCAAAGGAGCAGACGAGGGCTGGCCGGGACAGGGAGTGCTCAGCGCCCGCCGCAGGACGATGTGCCTATCCCAGCTATCCCAGCGTGAAGAGATGACTGGCACAGGCACCGCCAGGAACATGGTCGTGGAGCTGTTGCTGTTTGAGAGCCGAGCGAGAAGGGCTGACAGCTCTTGGGAGCGTCGGCTCGTCTGGCGGCGGTAGGGGCAGCACGGGCGGGTGCGGGCAATAATTGGGGGCACGTATTGCCTGCTCGCGGTTCCCTTTCATCAACCCGTTGGTAGTCCAGCGCGGCAGAATCAGTGATGAAGAGATGCAGCTGGGCGGCCGCAGCGTAGCGTGTTTGGCCTCCTGCGCGACGTGCAGGCCGCTGCAGCGACAGGCAGGAATACGGGACTCGTGCGCCTGCTCAGGCATCTGGGCTCAGATGTCGGCCAGCATCCAACAGCGGCCGTTCGGAGGCTGGCCAACCGCAATCAATCCCGTCGCTGACTGGTGCCGATCATGCAGCGTGGGAGCGACGGTGGGATGCAGCGAACATGTCCATGTTATTGCGGCAAAATCCCGTGAGAGAATTGCTCCAGCATTTCTCCAGACCGGGCGTCGGGTTCTCCAGCGCCAGCTTGGTGAGCATCCAATGAGCTTCACATAGATTGGGTTTCAAAGTGCGCCGACGCTCCAGGACTGCTCGAGCACCCGGCCAGGACTGCGGCGTGGCCTGTCCGCGACAGCCATCGCACCGTTCGGCCCTCTGCTCCTCTTCCCCTCTCGCTGCACGGCCCGCCGACCATCCCTCGCAGCGCGCTCAGATTCGCTCCGCTGCCCGCTGGAGCAGCAGCGCGACGCCTCTCTCCGGCGGAACAGGACAGAGGCTGAGCTGTGGCGTGCCCAAGTGCTGCCGGAGAAGAGTGGTGATTCATGAGGGGCGTGCCGTGTCGGGCTCAGCAGCAGGTGGAGAGCAGATTGCAGTCCCCGCCGTTAAAGCAGCGGCGAATCGGTCGGGACGAGGCCTCGCGGCAGCCGTTTGCGCGCAGTGACGAACACTCCCCGGCTCATCTCATTCCCACGCTCCCCTGTGTGCTCAACGCCCGCCTCTGGTCTTGCGTGCATGGAGCCATTCTTGGCGTGCTCCAAAAGCACCCCATGCCCCTCTGTCGGTTTCCCAGCCATGCAGCTCACTACTTTATGCGCATGCTTGGTGATAGCAGGCCTGCTATGGGACGGCGTCCCTCCACTTACGCCTCGCGTCTCGGGTCCTTCGAGACCTGCTTTCGACATGGCGTACCGTCCCAGAGTTTCGAGGCCAAATGAGCATGCCTACACGAGACTGCTGTTAGCATCCAATGAAGGCTTCCCGTCCGCCACTGTCACCGCCGGCTCCAGATTCCTTGCAGTAGCGCATCGAAATGCCGTCCATGGCGAAGATTGGGGAGGTGCGTGCCAGCATCCTTTCGTGTCAGTGTCCACTAACCTCAGAAGCACCTGCGGCCTATTAACTTCAGACCTACTTCTGCAACGCCCATGTCCGAGCGAGTCCGAAAAGTAGGTTCTATTATCGGCCTTGCACAGCAGCGGCGAGGGCTGCAGTGGAGGGCAAAATTGCGTTTGATGCTGGGGCTGTTTCTGTTCAGTTTCGAGCTCGCAGGACCCGTGGATGATGTGCGAAGTTTGAAGCTTGAGGTTTGAAGCTTAAAGCTTGTTGCACGTGACAAGCGAATCAATCGGAGGACTTGATTATGTAACTTACACAGCCACGCTAACGCGTCTCAAAAATTTAGCGCCTCGAGCATGGCTGACCGGCTTCATTCCCCTTCGCTGCTACCACCTGTTGTTGGCCCATCACCGCCCCAGTTCAGTGCCTAGTTCCTGCTACAGTTCTAACAATTGCTATCAGACAATGTCTTCATCCCCCAAGGACACGGCCCGTGCTGTCGACTCGAATTCCTCCCTGCAGAAGCGACGGCGCAGCAGAAGTGCGACCGACAGTGATGGCCGCAGGCGCAGCCCGCCAGCTCCATCTCCCAAGGAAGCTGACAGGCGCGACGAAGCTCCAAGTGAAGACGCTCCACCTCTCCCCGACGAGGCTCCGCCAGAGGATGATGGGTGGGAGCCCATCTGGGACGCCAATGCCCAAGCATATTACTTCTTCAACCGTTTTACTCAGGCCAGTCAATGGGACAACCCACGCGTTCCGGAAGCATCTGCGAACGGCTATGGCGCCGGCACATCCACATCGAGCGGCTTCGGTGCATATGGATCAAGCAGCTCTGGCGCGCCAGGTACTTCATCACCACCGAAACGTCGGCATGGCGGATACAATCCCGCGATACATGGTAGCTATGATCCAAATGCCGATTACGCCAAAGAGGCGGAGCGTGAAGAGGAGGAGGAAGAGGCTGCCGCCGCCGCCGCTGTTGCTGCTGCTGCGGCCGGGCTAGCGAACCCGACTCAGGAGCTCAGTGTTAGTGGTCACTTCAATCGCTTTACCGGTCGCTTTCAGGGTGCCGCGCAAAATCCAGAGCGGCATAACGACGAAAACAAGAGCCACCGCCAGCTGAGCGCATTCTTTGATGTCGATGCGGCTGCCAATGCCCATGATGGCCGTAGTCTGAAAGCAGAGCGCCAAAACAAGAAGCTCTCGAAGCAGGAGGTCAAGGCTTTCCGCGAGAAGCGACGCGAGAAGAAGGAAGAAAAGCGCCGGGCGTGGTTGAGGGACTGAGTGTCCCCTTGGTAAGCACGTTGCAAAGTAATTAACATGTAACATTTATATGACGACTAATGCACGACCTACAGGAAGAGGCGTCAAAACTGGCGTATTGTTGAAGCGGGGTTTCGCAAGACGAGGATCATCGCCAAAGGATCATGTATGCTGTCTTTGATATCCATTTTACAATGTCCGATGGCCTATCAGGAGATCTGCCCGGAGATTTTCTGCCTGGAGATTTTCTGCCTAGTCCCAATCGACAAGGAGGGTACACTATCTTTCTGTTTCTCCGTGCACGGATATAGAATCTTCGGTGCATCATGTCCTCTGTCTGCCACGTGGCCATGGGTGCCGTCATCCAGGGTGTCAATTGTTGCTCCTTTAATCTGACGGCTGGCTCATCTGAAGTTCCTTACGGGACAGTAACACGAGGAGTGTCAGCAAATATAGCTTAATATCGGTCGTCCCTCTTTCGTTCATCAAGCCTGCGAGCACCCGTCGCTGGTGTTCATCCCTTCCTTTTGCCTTCTTCGACGCCGGCTGCTCTTTGCTCGTCCGTGCTGTTGGGATTGCTATTGTCCGCCTCGTGTTCCACATCCATGCCGTCGTCCGCATCGGAGTCCCCAGAAGCAGCTCCCGCTTGTCCAATCGCTTTCTCCAATCCTTCTACGGCCCCAAGCAACCACTCCACCACCTCCTTCTTGTCGTTTATCTCAGCCTCGAACACTGCATCGTGCCCTACCCTATTGATGATGGTGACGTCGGCCCCCCGTTGAATCAGCAGCTTAACGCTTTCCAGATGCCCGTTAAGCGCCGCCCAGTGGAGAGCTGTATTCCCCGCATCATTCACCGCATTGATAAGACTGGGTGCAGATGTCGTAACCTTGTCGACGTTGTAAGAAAGTAAAAGCTTGATAACATCTACGATCTTCATTTAGCTCTCATTCAGCCACCGCACAGATGATATAACAGTACCTATATGTCCGTTCGCTGCAGCATAATGCAGGGCGCTATTCTTCGAGTACAGATCAAGCGCTGCGGCTGCTATTTCAGCTTTCGGCTGCTTTGTCTTGGTGGAGAGTTCCGCAAGGAAGGAGTCAAGCTCCGAGGTCTCATTTACGCGGGCAAGGTACAGGATGTCGTCAATCGAATCTTCGTCTAATGCAACCTGAGACATAGTGGGCTTAGGGTCCCTTTGGGGTCCCTTTGCACTTTGGGAGGTGGCTTTTCGCAAAGGAGAGACCTGCGTAAATTTTTTGGTGGGGGATGAATTACGTAGGTGCAGGCCGACACCGCTAGTCCAGAAGCGGGATACGGCCGGTTTGACCTCGTGCATCTCCAGACTTCGATGACCCTGCCTTTCAGTCTCCCAAGAGCAATCTACACAAATTGTGCGTCGGAATACTGCAATCGGCCCTACTAACCAAGTTTCATTCATTCCTTATCATGATCTGATTTCATTCAATTTGTCAGGCATCCTTGTACTTCCCTCAGCAGCGGGCACAGTCCAGCCACCGATACAGCTCAATCTACTTCGGCGCTTCCATATACTAGGGTCCCGAATAACAGTCTAAAGCCACTTTCTACGTTAATCATTACTCTTTTGGTGTATTGCTACTCAATTGACACTTCTTATCAAAGCTTTGGCTCGCCAACTCACGCCACATTTTCGTACAGCCTTCTAAAAGCTTTCATCAATTCCCCACAGCTACAATCAAAGATCTAACCCAAAGATTCTCTCACCGCGAGGTTTCCTTCGCCGTGGCATGGACTAGATCTTACGTTATTGCCTCATAAAGCGGATCCCCGCGGCTTTCAGATTGGTTTCTCACTTCTATCGGATGTAAACAATCAGCCCACTTTGGGCTTTCTTCGGTTCGCCAAACCCAGTCGTAGTCTATATGAGCCGTAATCGCCCGGCCCATGGACCTGGTTGCTTCTACGCGATCTCCGATCATGTCTGCTACGGCACAAGTATTGCCTTGCAACTATCAAAGCCGACTTTTCATCGCTCTATCTCGGCAAAGTCTTTTTGTTTGGACAGATGGTTCCGCCGAGGCCACCTCATATCGCAGCAAGAGTGCCAAGGCCATCTCCATAGGTGATCAAGGTTTGTTGAGGATGTATTAGGTATGTCGTAAATGGGATCTAGACATGTAAGCAATGTACGACGAGTTCACTCGCCAATTTGGGACAAGGAGGATTCATACCGACCGGATGAAAGCCGAACCAAACTTCACCAAAAGCCCAACCGCAGTTACCATACTTGATCCCTCATCTTAAGCCGCGACATCTGACCGAATATCATGCAGGTACGGAGTCGTAGCCGAGTTGGTTCGGCATTCCTAAAGGTCCCAATGGGCATCTGATGTCTATCTGTCGTTCCTCTTTTCCGAATCCTGAAGCAAGCATCAGGCAACAGTTGATCTAGCTGCAGCTCAAAATAGCTGAACTACGTGGGGCGATTTATTGCTCGCTCTTTTCCAGATCAGACTCGTTCGAGCTTTCATATATTACCACAGGCCACTTGTTTCACCCTCAGCTCATTCCTTCTCATTGTATATAATAACTTCCTCAACAATTGTCGCTCGACATATCCTAAATCTTGGCGAGAGGTTGCACGGAAGACTCTGCCGAACTCGCCTGTGACAGACTAGACCGAATGTCATATGATTAGTAGGGCCGACATGCACGACATGGCGTGTTAAACCCGAACAAATATCGCCGACGCATATCCCGCCCCCCCTGACCTTGCTTTCTGCGCGTTTCCACTGGAGGGACTCTAGCTCAGTGCTTCTTTCTAGATTTAGCACTAGTCACCCATGATGCTGCTATCCAGCTGGCACAGCGATATTTTATTACTGCACAAGGACGACACGCCATAATGGGTTTGAATCAATTCCGTCAACTATTGATTCTGGCACATATTCCAGGTTGGATAGTCGTATCCAAGGTAGGAATTCTACCGGACATCAGCAAGCTCAGCCTCTTCCAGACGGACGCGAACAGTCCACTACAAACAGCCTGATGGGAGCAGCATTTCCATCACTCCACTTCACAGGAGCTCCAGCGCCATTCCGTTAACTTTCAATTAGTTTTAGTGAGACTATGACCCTTTCCTTCATCCGTTTGGACGGGCCCTACTTTACACCCGGTGATCTCCGACCTCACAAGACCCTCAATTTTTTCAGAGTTCTATTACTTACATATTCTCTTCACACATTTTTTGGCCAATGCTCTCTGATATATGCTGTCTTGGTGGTGTCAGTAGAGCACTGTATACAATTCATCTCCGGAGTAGCTTCCTACTTCTTGTCTAACTTTCTTAGAATATCGCAATTGCCCAAATGCGCACAAACTACTCTCCAGTCTCCTTCCTGTCGACCGATTATAACTCTAAAACATATAGTCTACTAGCCAGTGGAGTGGCGTTAGCTCCATCCTGGCTCTTCCGTTTTAAGTCGTGTGCCGAAAAGTTGCATCGCCGATAGAAGCCCATAGCCGATCAACCATGGTATGTATTCGAAAGGGTTGTGTTGGTAAATAACTCTCCCTAAACGGTTCCGAAATGCGAGTGACATGTTTATTTGTACTAGTACTGTACTTACCGTCTACTTACCTCTTGTTCTACAATTAATGGGCAATTAAAAATCGTTTCTATAACGTCGAGTCTTCTCTTTGATAATTTCCTACATCCTTAATGCATATATCATAACCTGAGAACAGTATTATGCTCTTTTAAGTGTTTAGAAATGAATTACTGTTTTAACTGACTCTTTCACCTGTTTTCTCAAAAGGGGTTCTCTAGCACCTGCTTTACCTTGCTACACGCTTGGAAGGCTGCAAGAGATTCCAACGTGTTCCAGATCTACGCGTAGCTGGCATAGGCTTTGCGGTTTACCTTACGACCTGTTACCAAGCCAAAAGGTTAAGTGAACGGGAGCTAGAAATTTGGTTTCGCTATGCTGTGCACGTTGGATTTGAGCTTATATGTTGCATAGGTAAGAAACAACTTGATGAGTGCGTTGAAGCCTAGACAGATTGGTTTGGCATAGGTATCTTAAATGCGACTAGCTGTGATGAGCAAGAACGAAATGTCCCATACTTCAAGATGTTTCATAAGGATGGATGGACTTTATTCTAAACAGGGGGAGATATTGTTACTTATTGTGTTACTTATGTATCTGACGAATCAAAAAGATCTATTGTAAGATAGCAAACTCTTTTTTCTTGACCCACTCCTTGGTTCGAGCAATGGCTTCGTATACCCAACCCCTGGTAATATTCTATTGTAGATGCTGTCACAATATGCTGTGTCGTTCACGCCTTAACATCCCCCTAAATCCCAATCCCATTCTAGGAGTTCATTACCACTATCACCATACCCAAACCAAGCAATCGTACACATATCCATTCCCTAACTATATCAACCACCCCTTCATCTCATACATCACTCTCACTCATACCTCAACACCCACCTCACACCTTCCATCCCTTGCCTCCTCTTCACCCTAACATGAAGCTGCCTAGTAGGCTTCAACGTCCCGACCGGAATCGCCTTCGCATCAACTGGCGGATCAAACGCCACCCTCTCCTGTCCCTCGGGCGGCTCGAAATCAAATGCCATAGCCATAACAGCTGCTAGCGATGCAATCTCCATTTGCGCGAAATAGCGTCCGGGGCAGAGATGCAAGCCGCCGCCAAACGCGCGGAAGGCTGCAGGATTGACGGCGTCGTCTTTGGAACTAGAGCTGGGGTTGGGAATGGCGCCGGAGGGCGATGACCTCGTGCCAGAGGGCGTGTGGAGGAAGCGGTGGGGGTTGAAGGAAGTAGCGTCGGGACCCCAGGTTGAAGTGGAGGTGTGAAGGACGCCGCCTGCAATTTGTACGACGGAGCCGGCGCGGAGTAGGTATGTGTCCGCGATGATGGTGTCGGCGGTTACGAAGCGGGGGGTTAGCATTGGAGAAGTCATGCGGAGGGTTTCTCGCATGACGGAATTAAGGAGGGGGCAGGAGTTTTTGAGACAGGTGTAGGATATCGTGTCTGGGGATACGAGGGCGTTGGATTCGACTTCCTGTCTGATTTCAGCAAGAAGGTCCGGCCGGCTGAAGATATTGTTGAGAACCCAGAAGGTGGTGATGCTGGCGTTGGAGTTGAATCCGAACGCTATGCCCATTTCCAGCCGCGCCTTTTCCGACGTGGAAATTCCGAAGGTGTCGTGCAGTTTGTTGCGCTCTTGGAGGAGGCAGTAAGCTTGATTTATCCGCCCCTTTTCGATGTAGTCGACGAAGCCCGCAACGCAGTTCTCCAGACCTTGATATGCTTCTCGACAGGTGAGGTTTGGCAGAAGGCCGAGCAGGAAGGTCGGCATTCCAGCATCCCATTTCCAGAAGTCCTCGATCAATTGCGGATTCAGAGCAAATGGATTCTCTGGCCCATAGAAAGTCTTCATAGCTGAAGCCGTCACTGTTCGCGTTACCCACCTGAACAACTCAATTGTCGATCCATCAGAGATAGCATTCACAGCATCGCTGAACAGATGCAATTGCACGGCACTGATGCCGCCAATTCTGCCTGCATTCAACGGCGGATTGATGATTTCATGTGACGTGTCCAACATGGGTTTCCGGTTTTCTAGCTTCGCTTTCGCGTCCCTGATGATCTCCTTTGTGGCGTTGCTTGCCCCAACCATGCGGGGCGTCATTTCGACAACGATGGGGTCGAAGCTGAGGGTTGCGGGCGAGCGCATGATGTGCTGAGCCATGCTGGGAGAGAGGACAACATAGGTGCGACTGTTGAGTATGGGGAGTGTGACAATTGGGCTCTTGGTTTGCGCACTAGGCATTATGGTGAGTCGCGGCTACTACTTCTAGGCATTTGGTATGAAGGTGTGATCAACTTACCTGATCTTTTCAAAGTAGCTCGCGCCATCGCGCATTAAGCCAATGATATGTCCAATGAGGGGTATCTTGGGCTGGATGACAGGAGGTTCTCGCGGATCAAGCTTCACACGAAAGAAATTGACGAGGAAGGCAGCAGAGAGTAAACCCAGCACGAGAGCCGCTACAATTGCCTCCGCCGTCGCCATGGTAGTAGATGCTGTTGTGACACAGACTGTTTACAACATGCCGACAGGGACGATCGCCTTTAAACCTTGGGAGAGGCTGGTCGCTTCGACGCTTAGTCGTGATTGGAATTGGCATGGTGTTGGTGCGGCAAGCCGCTATCAACGCTAAGTGGCTCTATCCCACTCCACTTCTCAAGAAAAATGAATAACAAAAACCACAGATCCTTCTAAACGAGCCGGCACGTGCAAGGCAAGACAGAAACCCGAGCCATTGCGCGGAGGAGGTTGTGGTGTTGATACCGGGGCCACTTTCGTTTGCGTAACCCCCCGGATTCCCGGCTGTGAAATCAAGCTTCGATGTCAAGGGGCGTGCCATCGATGATTGGTCCGGGTGGCACCTGGTTGGATCCCGTTCCTGACTGCATTTCTTCATCTCCACCTGCACCCAAGACGGTATATAAAGACCTTCAATGCCATCAGTGTCTCAGCCAACTGGACATCTATGACCATACAACTATTCGTTCTCCTCGTCGTTCACTATAGCCACTATCCGCCTCCATCCGACCCTCTTCCCGCATTCCTCACGCCATGCACCTTGTATTAACGCTCTCTTTCATACTGTCCGGGTCAGGAACAATAGCGTCTTCAATCCCAGATGTTTCCGGCACGCTGCAAAACATTTTAAAGAACACAGACAACTCTAACAAATACACGTATCCCACCGATCTCACGCGCGGAATTATTCCAGTATGACTATGTCAGTCATGCGCTGAACTGCTGAAAACTCATTAAGAGCTAGAAACCATTTCACAGTCATAATGACTATTGGAGAGATGTCCCCTTCTATTCGGGACTGAGCTATGGCGCTATAAGCACGGAGGCGGATGTTTGGTTGATTAATGGGACGCTATATGTATGTTGGGGGTTTGACAACTGTTGCCAAAATATGCCAACTTTTCCCTTGTATCATCGAAACCGAATCGTTTTTGTTGACTATACTATTTCCTTCTCATTAGATTTTGTCTCGCACCCATCATTAAGTTCTCTTCTCTGTGCTTTTTTACAAATGTCCAATTTCCTGATCCGGCCCCATCCGCCGCCTTTCACATTCCCTGACAACCTCCAGGTCGGTCACGAACTCGGCGCCCTAACCACAGAGCGCACCCTCGAATCCCTTTATATCAACCCAATCCTAGACACGCTCCACCGACAAAACCCAGTCACTAAATTTTCGCCCTCTCCAACCCGGAACGGTGTATTCGATGCCGACAGTGGACAAACCCTTTACCTCTTCATCGACCTCAAAACCTCCGGCTCCGAAACCTGGCCCGCAGTCCTTAAAGCCCTCGCCCCTTTAAGCTCCGCAAACTACCTTTCAACCTACGATGGCACAGCCTTCAAACCCGGACCCGTCACCATTATCGGAACAGGCAACACCCCGCTCTCCGCCATCCAATCTGCCATCCCTCGCTCCGCATTCTACGACGCTCCACTCCCTCTTCTCTCCTCCACATTCTCTAATATCACAGCTTTCGACTCCCCAATCGCAAGCACCGACTTCGCTGTCCAGTTCGGGAAAGTCGTAAACCAAGAGTTCAACGCTACCCAACTCGACGTCCTGCGCTCGCAAGTCAAAACCGCGCACGATAAGGGAATCAAGGTGCGGTATTGGGATCAACCGGGGTGGCCGGTGGGGACGCGAAATGCGGTTTGGAGGACGTTGATTGATGAGGGGGTTGATATTTTGAATGTGGATGATTTGAAAGGATGTGCGGAGTTTTGGGAAGCGAGGGGTTGACTAGCTAGTGAGGGTGATGGTGATGCTTCGCCCTCCACCGTTCTAGGGCATTTGTTGGGGAGTTTTGGACACTGCGTGAATACTGATTTTGGCATTTTGGGTTCGGAATCTGGGACGAGTATGAGTGTTTTTCAAAGTGTGGAATTTGGATCTTGGCAATGGAATGGTTGGAGATGAGTTTTGAGGAATGTGAATAACGGACCATAAAACATACTATACTATATATGCTATACAAATCTCCCCAGCATAATGTACACTAAACATACACAACAAAAACCAATACATCAATATCTTCACCCTACACCTTCCCCAACGCCTCTCTAACCTTCCCAACCACCTCCCTCGCCCTCCTCCTCCTTTCAACCCCCACATCTTCAACAATTGGTCTCTCATACCCTTCCACAATCACCCTAACCCCCTCCTCCACAACTTTCAACGTCTTCCTCCCCTCCTCTCTAACCTCCGCCTGCCAAAGCCCCCTCGCCCTCTCCCACAACTTCTGCATCCGTCGAAGTGAATACACAAAGCCTAGAGCTGCAATAGCGCTGGCTTCAAAAACGCTGAAAGACGGTATTGAGACATAAAAGAGAGCCGAGAGAGCGGTGGAAAGGGAAGTTGTGGAGAGGGTGGTGAGGACGAGGCGTTGGGCGAGGGCTTGGAGGTGTGGGACGGTTTCTTGAAGGAGAGAGGTGCGGGATACGGAGATTTGAGAGCGCCACGGCTGTGATGACCGGCGTTCTGTCGATATTTTCGTTAAAGGGGTTTCTTGGTCCAGCGGAATTGGAGTCGAGGACGATGGGTTGTTTTGCAAGAATTGTTCATTGGCTCCAGCCTGCGGGAGAGGGGAGGTGGGTTGGAGCGATTGAATGTTTTCGGGGAACCCGGCTTGGTTTATGCGGCCAGCCAGGTATATGCAATTCTTCTCTGCGTCTACTAGCCACCGACGCTCTAATATCTCGGACGTGATCATCCCAACATCGTCCACACGCCAGAGAAGTTTCCACCACGAAATCTTATGCCAGTTACGAGCCTCAAATGCTTCATCTAGCTGGTCTCGGAGTTCTGTATGCGCAGTTTCCGCCCAGGAATCGAGGTGCTTGAGAATGGATGCGGCTTCTTGTCGAGGCGTGGTTGCTATTGCAGCTTTCTCTCGATGGTGTGCAGCTTCTCTCATGATATTGGCCTCGATATCATCCGTGACAGATTCGATGAACTGTTTGATTGCCGGCTTTAATTGTGAACCAGATGGGTGAAGTCCTTGGATAAGCCAGTGTGATAAGTTAGGCATACCGCTACTATGCCACCCTTTTTCATAGATTCTTGAGTTTGCAATTGACTCTCTGAAGCTTGCCAATGCTTTGGTGCCCGTGGTAAGGTTCACCAAGGAGCATGTATTCTCCTCATTCAAAGACGTCTCGTCTAAAGACGCAGGTGCGTCAATGGCAAGTTTAACAATACCTTTCATATCACAAAGGCTGTCATTTGCATATCTGCCATACGCCACCGCGCTGTCGATCCCCTCGCCGAGCACCAAGGTTTTATGTACCGGGTATGGAGATGGACTACTCCTGACTAATGAAGCCTGTAGTTTCGGGACTATGATGGCATCACCCGGTTCCTCTGACGCGCAAGGTGTACCAGATCCCGAGAGATCGGCATTTAAGGTAGACACGAGAACTTCCAGATTGTATGCTTGTAGGGTTCGTGATGGGATCGAGAGGATTTTGAATAGCGGATTTGGAGGGTGCGCATCGGTTTCGTCTCCGTACCTGGAATCTCTATCAGCATCGAAGCGCGTTGCTCTGTAACGTGGATTCCAACCGCAACAAAACTGCTCTCCCGACCTCATCCTCTGATGCCTCCAACAGTTTCTCCCAGAGTCCTTCCGCACTCAATGGATCCGCGAGTAGTAATCGGACGAGCTTCTGTGCGCATCTTTGATCGCTCAGAGAGAGTACTGTGTCTAACGTTAGCTTGAAGAATAGAGAACTTGCACTTAGGATATACCCGCAACCCGAACGACAGGATCTTCCACTGACAACCCTCGCAGAGCCAATTGAAGCCTGCTAATATTAACATACGTCTCCGCTGCATCACTCAGTTCCGACAGGGCATTGTAGAGCTCTTTCTTTCGCGGGGGAATACTGGGGCCCGCATTTATCGCTGTCGGAGAAACTTGTGTCGAGGCGAAACGGATCCGGAGGTTCGAGCATGGCGGAGGTGCTCGAATTGGCGTATTGCGATAGCTTATGAAGGATGTAGATCGGCTAATTCCTCTTCTACTTAGGAGGCACGTTGATCGCTGCACGAAAGCCACCCATGGAGGCATTGGGTTGGAAGTTGAACCTGACTTTTGCGCGAGTTCGAAGATGATGTCGGAACTAGATCGGAAGAACTGTCGGACCGGTAACGTCACGTGCTTGGGTTTGCATGGACATGTGCAACCGCTGGACACATTAAAAGCTTTGTGTTCCAAAAATAAAATCTCATTCCCAGCTACGCTGGCACTCTAAGCCATGGGCACTTGATCAGCCCAATTACAACTATTCATCGTAGGCTTCCCTCTAGGTCACGGCCCCCGGCTTCACAATACGCCTGATTGGTATACTAGTGACAGTGTAATGCCCAGGTCAGAAAGAAGAGTCAGATACTCTTATCAAATTGAGCCGTCAGTCCCAAAACCGCTACTAGCTCCTTCGGCTACGTCCAGACCCGGATGACCTTAAGAAGTGATTAGCACTGGGTAGTATGCTTGTGGAGAGGCAGAGACTTACATGCTGATTCTTCTAGCGACGGTCGCGAGTCCTGTATCGTTGTCCGCCTCCTTGGTAGCCTTCTCGAGAGCCTGCTCTCGGCTAACCTCTTGCGATTTTCGAACTTCTTCATGGCTTGGTGGGAGTCGCTCGTTCTGGAGATCAACCTTTCGGGCGTCTTCGAAGCTATGAATAGCTTGCTTAATTCCCTCTGCACCGAGCATGAGGGTACCCGCAGGGAGTCTGCCACCGGATGCTGTCTTCAATTCAGTAACGCGCTCAGACTCTTCACGTAATACCTGGAATACGCGAGAGAGTCTGCCAATAGCAAGAATCTTGTTCTTGATTGCCCGACGCTTGAATTCGGTGGACTCTGGATCCATGTTTGCAGAAAGTGGTGGGGAAGAGGGACCTGAAGGTAGGGAGCTGGGAGTCTCCTCCTCAAGCTCTTCTTTCGAACAGGTATTCAATATTGCAATGAGCATATCAGTGACTATGAAAATTAGCAACGGTCCAAGTGTCATAGAGAGGGGATGTACTTTTTTCACCAACAAATGGAAGTGACCAAGTGAACACATCCATGAAGTTGGGCAACCAGTAGGGATGGGGCGTGCAGTCTGAACCTGGTTAGCGGGGTCCTAAGCCGGTGCCGATTACCACTCTTACTAAATTGTCTGATGTTCATCACATTGTTCTCATACTTCAGAACCGCCGCCTTGTTGTTGTAAACATCCAGATAATTCGGCGCACTGAAAATCGTCATGACGCTAGGGAAGCCGGTAGTACGAGTCTTACGGTACATACGATACCCAGCGTCTTGGGCTTCGTGGGCGCGGATGATGGACAGAAGATTGTTCTTCTCAAGGAAAGCGCATGCGGCCGGGTATGAAAAGAAGTACGAGCATCCGCGGACATGATTGTGGATGAAGAAGTCGTTTGTCTTCTCCTGCCCGAATTCCTCCAGTGGGTCGGCCCACAGAATATCACACATCAGTCCGTGAGTGGGCGGCTCCCGGAACCTATCAATCTAAGAAACAGTCAGTGGCTGTTCGTTCCATTGTTATGCTTGTTCAATACTCACACTCTTCAAGTCTTCCAGAGTATGTAGCTCAGGGCTCAACCCGCCATGTATACATAAAAATTGTTTGTTCATGACTGCGGCGAGGGGTAATGCGCAGAAGGATTCCATGCAAGCTTCGTAGACCTGCTCCGAATACTTATGCTTGCACTCTAACTTGAACGTAAAGTAGTCGGTTAAATGCCGACACTCGTGGTTCCCACGGAGCAACCAGAGGGTGTTTGGATACCAGATTTTCAAAGACCACAGATACAGAACGCACTGAAGAATGTCAGTACTATCTCTCTCGAACAGCGAGAATGCGCCTTGCCTCAATGCTGAAGTATCCTCGATCAACGTAGTCTCCTAAGAACAAGTATCGCGTCTCAGCAGGGTCCCCGCCTACTTCGAACAGCTTCATGAGGTCGTAATATTGCCCGTGAACGTCGCCGCACACCGTAATAGGCGCGTCCATCTCCAACAGATTCGGCTCTGACTTTAGAATCTCGGTACCTTTTCGTATGATCCATAGAGCTTGGTCCTCAGTCAGACGACCCTCGCGGTAAAAATGCTGCTTCAGGAACTGCAGATTGGGCTTTGTGCGATCTTGCGGCGACAAGAATTGGTCCTGAGTCGGCGGGTGGAAGGCAGGCGCTTGAACATCTGACAGCCAAGGCGGGGTCAGCTGAAATTCGCGTGCGAAGATGGACATTGAAGCTCAAAGCATGTTTGCTGTATTCTGTTGGGAAGAGTGGAACAACCATACCCTTGCAGACGCGCTCTAAGGTGCTCACTTGGGTGCCATCTTCCATCGTATGCAGGGTGAAGTCAATCTCAGGCAGGGGCTTCTTCTCTTTGACAGCGCGGATGGCATTGTCCAGGTATTTGGTCTGGTCAAACGGCTGCTGGCTGTTGTCCATGCTAGGCAGACTTGGCGAGGGCAGCGACGCAGGATTGTGGGTATGGGTGGCAGAGAAGAGCGGGAGGCAACGAGGGGGGAGTGGGGAGGGTAGCGGAGACCCTGTAGTGGCGACGGGTGAAACGAGTGCCGAGGCTGTCTGGAGTGGTGCGGATAGCTCAGAACTATGGTAAGCTAGAACTGGATGTGAATAGAGTCGCTGTCGTCGGCGTCGCGTGCCTAGTGGTGTGCTGGCAAACTGGAGCTGGATAGGGCTGAGAAAATCCCAAGGTGTCGACCTGGAGGGGACGCCGCTTATGTAATGCGAAATACCTGAGGGTTCCCAATGGGGAAGTTGGTCAGAGAACAACGTCACTGCACATGAACGGTGGAACAGTTCAACGCAACACTTTCATCTGTGTTGAGATTTTGATCACACTTTGTGAGCATGGAAAACAGGATATCCGGGGTATATATTCAATTCTTAAGTGTACTACTGTACTCGCAACTTTTGCGAGTCTTACTGCTGTGGTGGGACAAATAATGGCATGGAAGCTCAATATAATACCGAAGACTGGGTATGGATGAAATTAAAGAAAAGAAGAGAGACTGGAGAAGGTGTCCACGCTAATCCAGATACAAAATAGCAAAATGGCCCAAAATGCCATGCCAAAACCGGGTATGTACAGATACTCCAATCCTCAGCATCAAGCCGTAGATATCATGCTTAAAGATGCTGGCCAAAAACTCCAGGTAAATGCTTGCATGGCGACAGTGGTCGACATGTGATACATTGTGAGATTTCGCACTTAGATCATCTCGGAGCCGTGTCGGCGGTGGAGGTGTACTCGGCGGCCACGTGCAGTACGACGAGTGATGGCGCCATTCGAACAAGACATTCCAGCAGCAAGAGCTTGCGGAACAGCACATCCACGATTGCAGAGACCAAACTGGTTGCTACCGATGCAGACTACACCACCATCGTTGGTGCATGCGACACAGTTTCCGGAAGCTGCTGGGGCAGCCGGAGCCGCACCAGTTGGAGATGGGGCGGCAGTGGGTTCAGCCAGGCTAGCGGTCGTCGTAACAACAAGAGTAGTGAAAGATGTCTGTGGGCCTCCAGCGGCTGAAGAAGCACCAGGGGCAAATATACCTCCAGGATTTGAGGTAGCAGGAAGAGAAGCGAGAACGCTAGTTGCAACAGGCCCGGTAGGGGCAGCTGAAGAAGCGCCACCACCTCCGGTAGCCTTAGCAGGAGACCCCATTGTACCGGCGCCAGCACCCATCTTGAACATCGAAGAACAGCCTCCATTGTCGACGATAGAACTACCCAGCGCGGCCCCGACCCCAGTAACAACCGAGTCACCAGGCTGGGGATAAACAAAGTCCTGTGTTTCAACGGTTCCGCAGGTGGAATTGGGCAGGTTGATAACGAACATGTCCGGCAGCTTGGCAAAGAAGGCTGATGAGGCCTCCTGAGACGCAGCTTCAACTCCGCCCGAAACCATAATGGGAGCGCAGTTCTGATAGTATTCGCGATTGCCCACTTTATTCAGCCAGCTCCAGCTGAACGTGTATTGGCCGTTTGGAGTATCCTTTGGCATCGTTACGGGAAAGGTGTTAGCACCAGTGCCCAGGGGGGTTTCTGGTGTCAAGTTGCCTTCAACGTTCGATGGGCATCCACCAATAACGCTATGGATAACCTTCCACTGAGACTGCTTCGTAGGCTCCTTATCTGTGGTGATCGAAAACTGGCATGATCCACCACCATGAACTGCTGAGCCCATGAACCGAACTGTCTGTGTCTCGCCGGCTTTCCAGTTGTTCATTTGTACGATTTTATACCCGGTTGGGAACTTGCATGGGAAGTCGGCGCCGTTTGGGTCTAATGGAGCGTTTTGCACGGATCCATTGTTGAAAGGGACCGGGTTGAGGAGGACCATATGAGCATTCGCGGCAGTTGCCAAGAGCGCGATGCGCAAAGTCGGAAGGAAGAACTTCATCGTGGTTATGTATATGATAGAGAATAGATATAGCTTCTGCTAAGAAATCGCGAAGACCAGCTACGCGATGCAAGGAGTTGTGCTTGATTGGAAGTTGTGGTGTTGTGAAGAACCTGAAGAGGTTATTAGAATATGTAGTTGCGTGAATAATGAGAAAGTTAGAGGGTGCCCTCTTCATTGTGTGTGTATTGACGCGGGGTGAAGTGAAGTCATCGTTGAGAGTGAACAATCTCGGAATCACAATGCAAAGCATAGGAACAGGCTCAACAATGTCACTTACCAGTGAAATAGTGAATGGTTTAACAGCTGGTGCAAAATGTAGTCGGAATCAAGACTAGTCGAGGCTCTTTCAGAGTATGCTCAAAGTTCAACAGAAGGAATGTGAGGGAAAGTCTCCCAGAAAAAAAAGTCTCTGCCACAGGCAAGAGTCCAGAAAAGAAAACTTTGAAGAACGGGAAACGTCTGCGGCAAGCCAGCGATGGATGGAAACACAAGGAGGGTACCGGTCATATTTAAGTTGGACTCCGCCTGAGTGTGGCGAGCAATAAGATCTCAGGCCTTCGCCGCCCAAGGTGCGTGGCACGGAAACCCACATGATGCTAAGGTGGATAATCGTGAAGTTACATGGGATGATAGGAAGATGAAGGCTGCATCATGCGGCGATTTTGGAGTTCAAACAGGCTATTCCAGACGCGGCTTAGGTATGAAAGGGACGATGCTAGAGGAGCAGAATTAGTGGAGAAGAATAACGCAGGCACGCGGCTTTGTGAGGCTCGGCAGGTACGTTACCCGCATCATTGGCTGAGCAGGAAGGGGAGTGGAATTGTTCATGAAACACTGAGGGTGAACGACTCATCATGGCCGCCAAAGGGGCGACGTCAGGTTTGACACCAGGTCAACCACTTCACCGACACTGGGAACCTGCAGGGGCAAAGATTGGGTGATTGGGATTGGCTGCGGCGATTCACCAAGCGAGATCCTATCGATAACTTTAATTTTCCAGGACAGCGGGGCTAGCCGAAGCGGGTTTCGGCGTCTGGCCACGGATCGCCACTCGTCAAGCTGAAACACCACTCCCTGTCTCACAGCACCTGCAGGCCCCCATTCGTGCCAGGGCGAAGCGCCCGTGCCCCTCCACAAATTCTCCTTGCCTACCGCCTATCCATCATCCCCCAGCTTCGCAACAGTCTGGAAACGACGACTCACTGAATTCTTTTTGCCGCTGAGATTTGTGTGTCAGGACAGGTGAGGTGTCATCATGTCCAGGTATCCCGTGGTCATTACCGCCCTCGGCTTCTCACAGACTGCTTACGACCGCCGAGGTGTGAATCGTCCCGTACTGTGCCGTGAAGGAAGTTGGCGCCGAGCCAAGATGCGCATTTAGGAGCGGCAAGTGAAAGCAATCTTCAAGCTCGGAGTCTATTTTTTTGGCAGAATTTGACTTTGCTTTCGTCTTCAGAAACCCAAGAATACTTTTGCCGGCTTTGGTTGTTCAACCTTTTTGAGCTAAGTTGTTCATGCACATTCTAGATATCGAAGAAGCGTGATTGAGGAGAATGGCTGAGAAGTCTTATGCGCTGAGGAATAGCCTCAAGAGCTTCAAGGGCCGGCTAGGCAACAAAGCAGACAAGGACAGCCACCTACCAGGATTCGAGATTTACTTTCCTCGCAATATCTGGCTCTTGAAGATCGCCCTTTCTCATGCATACCGCTGCTAGTGTCTTGGTTGGTCGGTTTGAGCCAACATTGACGCCAGTAGGACGGGGCAAACTGTTTCAAACAAATGAACAGGAAGCTCAGAAAATCTTTTACGGAGCTAGAAAAGCCAGTCACCATCTTCAGGTAGCATACATTATGTGGTCAAAGAGGCTACCTTTCCCAATGGCAATTCAGTGCATTTTCGAAGAAAGCTTTGTTCGCTTTGCACACACCAGGCTGTACCCTTGGTCAAAGATTCACTTGTTTACCGAATAGCATGTGTCATGAATGGTACATCTCACAATGGCCAGCATCTTTTATCTTGACCCTCAACTTCTTTTAACAATCCCTTTTGTATCATCTCCAGCACATGAGGTACTGGATCCGCCCTAACCAGGACTCCTTCTCCAACCCAACGTGCGCCCACCCCTTAGCCCCAAAATTACTTCCATACCCATAGCGCAACCTGAGTCCTTCCACATGTCCTTACAACTCCTTCATCCCCATCTTAGCAGTATTCCTCACGTCCTGGACCACAACACTCGCAACAAATAGGGCAATGATAAAGGCTATAGATGTCGGTAGCTTTGGTAAATATTGTCCTAGATGTCGAAGATAAACAACCATTTTTACCACAGCATAAGTGCAGAGAATCCCTTCAGCGACGGCCAACATTATCGTTGACGGAACAGACGTTCTGACGGCCCGATTCTGAATCTAGAGAAAGGTACCGCAGCATCCAAACCTGGCCAAATTACGAACAAGCTGAAATAAGTCTCCTAAAGCGGTCCTTGGTGACAAGCTTTTTGATATCGCCAATCTCCCTTTTTGAAGTCCGTAATGTCGAGCCAGTAGCTAGAAGGACTTTGGAGGCAACCTAGGACCACGATAGTTGAGAGGACTTCCGTGTCCAGACGTTTCAAGGTCCAGGGCGTTAATACAATAGAGAAGGTCAAAGCAGATTGAATCTGTGAATCTGACTAAAGACTAGTCAGGTAATCGCCACGTAAGTGCGAGATAGGCTTGTTCAGACTCGAGAGTGTAGGGGGTTGGTGTCTGGGTTTTGTTGAATTCAAGTGCAGAATACTGTTCTACAATACGGAAGTGATTATGATCGCCATGCTTTCCCGTTGAAATTCGATAACTCGAGATATAGCTTCGTCGTAACTCAGTAGTGATGCGGTATCATTAGTGCTAGCTTCCTCTAAAGGACTGGATAGGCGACTACGCTCGTCTTTTACTTGCTGTAAGTTAGCTGTAGTGCTAACTCCAAGTCGTAATCGGCTTCATCCTGCTCAACCTGTTGGGCGAGTAATTGATCAAGGTCTTCTTGAACAACGGAGGCTTCTTACAAATCCCCCACCGCCTTCTTTTCTGTCCTTCTCTCTGTAATTCTTCTTTTCCTCCTCACTCTATGGCAGTGAAGTGGTGCTCTTTACCTAAATTCCTATATTCTAATACGAGCTCAGCGCTAGAAAAGTGGAGAGGGCGAGGAGACAGCAGTCTTTTTTGAAGTACCCATGCACTAAAAGGCAAGGGAAATGCTTCTTCATCATACTCGAGATAATGTTATTCCAATGCTTTAACGCCGTGAGAGCGACAATCCGGGCGGAGTTCGTCCGTGCTGGGTCATGCTTAGTTCTGTATTATTAACGGGTTCGATTTCTTCCGAAAAGCTGTCTTAGGAATTCCAGGGGGGAGAAGTGGACACAAAGGTCATATAGGCATTTGAATTTTATATACCGGAAAGCTCTACCATGGGTTGCCCAATCAACTTTGCGTTTGGTATCCTACAATTACTATATAAATCATATAGCTCCTCGAACCCTCAGCTCACAATACATGACTTCTCTCATAACTCATGCCCCCTACAAGGCTACGAATACACATCTTCCTATTTTGAAGATTCAATTTCCCAGTCCGCCAAGTCATCATGGATAATGCATGGCATGTAGATGTCGCACGGGAAATGCCTCCAGCCCTATAAAACCAAGGAAAAGTCACGTGAATGAATATCTCCTGGCTGCTCGCCATGGCTCAACCTCCCCAGCCTACTAGCAACGACCCTCTGCACTGTGACTTAGGGGATAAGTATATCAATATCGATGGCCGGTTCGATCAGGCTGAAAGAAGGGAAATCGATGCACAACGTGCGCAATGCCATCCAGCCACACGCCATGCTGCCAATAAGAAAAGACAATGTCCGCAAGCTAAACAAGGAGAGTTTGGGGGTCAAGACTGTCCTTCAAATGGTCTCCGCCCCCAACACACTTCGCAGTGCTCAAGCCCGGCAGGTTGACTAATCAGCTTTTTGGAACAAAAAGGCTCATTTGCGATAAGTTGACTCGTCAACCGTTGGGATCTGGGTAAACTCCGTTGCCTTGCGAAATGTACTTTCAACCATTTTCTCTAGCTATGGTATCGTCGATTTTGGCTCTGGGAGAAGCTGGCGTTTTCCGTTTACCGATTACGAGAACGACTATTGGATGGGATTTTAGATTTTCCTACGAGTCTGCTCACAAATATGTACGGCTATTATGGTGGAGTCTAAAGAAGTGGAATCTGATTTCATCATCTAGGATCGCCAAGCCGTTCTCACACCTAATCATCGAGTACAACACTCGCCAGTCTCACACGGCATTAAGAACAAGCGATATCCAGGTGATAGAAATAGTGCATCTGGATTATGGGATATCTTTAATGCCGAGAAGAGCTATCGCGGCGACAATGACATCGTCTTCTGGAGCATCTACACCACGCCCGTCAGCATCGGCAACCCATCACTCAAACTCAATGCCGTTGTCGACACTAGCTGGGGGCCTCTTTTCATCCCCTCCGCCAACTGCACCTACGATGATTACGAGAAAGACCATTGTCTTGTTCATCCACTTTACAACTCGTCGTTGTCATCAACCTACCGCGAAAATCTTACCGCTACCAAGCTTGCGTACTGGAGCTACTCAGGAGTATATACAAAAGGCAGTATTTCCCTAGATAGCCTGCATGTAGGAGACCTGGAAATAAAAGAGCAAGAGTTTGAAGAAGCAACGTGGTGGCGTGCAGGATATCTGACGCGCGACGATCTTTTTGATGCTGTGCTTGGTCTTGCACTCCATCGCACATTCGATGAATGGGGCAATTTTAGTGCGCCAAGTCCATTCCAGAACATGGTTGATCAAGAGCTCTTAGACGAGGATCTGTTCACGCTACAGCTCCCACGGACCGATCACGAGAGAGGAGAGATCACTCTGGGCGGCCTACCCGAGAACGTAACCTGCAACAAGTTCATAGACGTACCATTAGACCACAGCAAAGATAGCTCTGGTGACCGTTTCTGGGATTTCTACCCTTCGAACGGATGGAAAATCTCCGTTCAGAATATCTCTATGTGCTACGACTGCCCTTACACCACGCGACCAATTCTTACCGAAGAGCACATCGCGATCATTTCATCTTCTCACCCCTACATTTCTCTCCCAAGCGAAGTTGCGAAAAAGGCCAATGAATATATCGGCCTGAAAGAGATGATGGACTGGATTGACTGCGAGGATCGATCGAGCTTGTTAGACTTGATGTTCACGTTTGGGCCAAATGGCGAAAGTATTACGTTAACGCCTTGGGACTATTTGATCGAGGTGTATGATGATTTATATGAACAGTTGAAGTGCGTTTCTGCGTTTCAGAATTTAGAGGGTTATGGGGAGCAAGGGTTTATTATTTTGGGAGCGCCGTTTTTGAATGGGGTGTATAGTGTGTGGGATGCTGAGAGGGAGTATATTTCGTTTGGGAATCGGCCGATGTGAATGGATGGGTTATATTCACGAGACGCTAAGGAGAATAGGATATGCAGATGTGAGCCCATTTAAATATAACTTTGTTTCGATAGGGCCAGAGAATTATATATAAGCAATAATTGTTAGTTACGCCATCTATAACTGTCACAGTTATCTAACCCGAGTCCCCTATGGGCTTGGCATCACGTATATAGGGTCTTCAGCCTTCATATCTCTGCCTCTGACCCTAAGGTTTACTCTCCCTTTGTACACCTATCCTGCATTCTCTCTCTGTGCCTCATGCTTCCTGTTCGATGCCTCTCGCAATAACCCAATATAAAGGAATAGACGCAGATAAATAGATCGAAATGAAAGAAAGTAATAGAAAGGTATTTGCCATGCCAAAATCATCTACTAGGTTATCTATTTGTACGTACTCATCTTCAAATACCTTAACAGAAACAAACGTAATTCTACTGCTTTAACTTGAGGCTTAGTAGGTCTTTGGAGCTTTTTCTACTATCTTTACTTTCCTAGATACAATTACTCACTTTCGGCACCTCTCTGGCATCCGCGATGACTCATCGCCTTTGTTACCACATGCTCATTGACCTTCTTGGGCTTGAAAACGATCTGGTGTGGCTAGTGAGGGCATTAATCGAAACGTTGATTATGGGACCCCTAGCATAGATTCATCCCAGACGTCGGTCCCCGCGATAGTTTTATTTTCAGAATATTGAGGTAGATGAGGCAGCGAGATTCCTAGCGCTATCCATTAAGGTGCAGTATTCTCTAGAAGTATCAGTAAGCATTTATAGCGGTGCCTCATATGGTCACTTCTGTATTGGGTCAGCGCTATAGATGTTGAGCGTTCCATTCATTATTGCTCAAGCTTTCCAAAAAAAAAATAAGGGGGTTTTTTGGATTAGAGAACTTTGAAGCTTAGAGGTAGGCCATTGGAGAAGATCTTGGTAATCATCTACCAGAAATTAGTCATTCGCAGCTAGTTGAAGTTCCAAGAATATCAAACATTTAGGTGTCTTTCAACTAGTGCCTCCAATTTTCGACTTATAATCGTATAATGTCACGGTCGCCTTTCAGCGTCATTCCCGGTAGCAGCAGCACCCCATTTTGCCAGTTTCCTCACGGGATGGCGGTCATTTTCAGTTGGATAGCACGCAGCAGTGGTAACAAGGCTATTCGTAGGACCAAGTAGCTAGCCCGGTGTGCATTTCCGGAAACCCGAAAGCAGCCAAGCTGAGAAAACAGTTATGCCGAACACGACTGAGCAAAGGAAACTGAGCACGGAATACCCAAATCAACACCAACGACCCATGGAAAGCAATAAACCCACCCGTGTGGGCTTATCTCGCGTTTAATGCGCGATTTCGAAGCCCTGTCCGTCGCTGTCGTACCATGTGATGCAATGGAAGAAAATAGCCTAAGATACGAGCCACCCCAGCGTGACGGAAGAAATGAACTGAGTTATATTGATATGGAAGAGATAGCCAATAGGTCGACCCTTGTTCCGAACCAGCCTCTGGATCGCTCACTCGTTGGGCTTGCCGACGAGATGCCAGTCTTGTCCAATTTCGTAGCTGAACCATTACAGTGAGATGGTGGTAGAGCGCAGCACAGAGAGCAGAGATGAGACGTTACGGAAAATACCCCAAATTATGCGGAAGACCTCGTTTCCCAGAAAAGGCGCATTTGTAATAGAATTCGCGGCTTAACTCGTCCGGGGGGAGAATAGGCACCACGATGGAACTAAATACCCACTAGACTGGTCGCATAGGCTTCCAAGCCCATCTTCCAGAATCGGCGGGGATTTATCTGATGTAAGTGGCTACCGCTGTATTTTGAAATGATATTCTTATAGCAAGACACGTCTGCGAGGGTGATTAGCATGCAACTAGTAGTCATTAAAATTGGTCATTGTATAAGGTAAGTCGCATACCTATGAGGTGGAGTAAGTTACTTAACGGGAAAGCCAACTGAATTGGTAGTACCGCAAAGGGATTGCTTGAAACTCCTTCGCCCACTCTTCTTCTTCTCCATCATTTTCACCATCCTTTCTAGCCTCTAGAACAGAAGTCAGCTCGTCTTTAGACAATAAACACGGCCCCTTCGAATGCTCACAGGGAGTTCTTAACGTCGCTATGGCACCTCTAACCATCATCAATGGTATCCCACATTACTCACAGAAACTTTCTAGCTTCATTTTAAGGAGGCTAATTCCCTAGCAACTTTATACTAGTTTTATATGCCAACACTTGCCTGGAACCCATCTAATACTCACCAGGCGCTCACACACTACTCACCAATGCTCACTAGCACTCACCCACCATCGCTCTCGCTTATCATTGCCCTCATCCACCATTACTGCTCACCTCAGTGCTCTCCACCAAGATTACTCCTAAGCAGGTAGGCAGAACCAATTGCTAGCGCATTAAACTACTTTTCTGTGCTTTGCTTACCCCCTATTAGTGACGCTGACAGGGACGAAATTCGTGTAGCTTTAACTCAAGATTAGGTAGTTATACTAAGGCAAAGTACAGGTAAGGGTAAGTGTTAGGGCAAAGGTAAGAAACGGCATATTAATATATATTTCTATTAAATAATCCAGAGATCAATCTACCCTTATCTAGCGCAATAAATATGCTGGATTAAAAACCTTTTAAAAAAAAAAAAAGTTCCGGCCTCAAGCTTTTGCGTTGTTGATTCAAGATCGATAGGAATACGTGCACCACGAGTTAATCTAGATATATTGAATACCAAGCTCTATGATAAACAGCATGGCATCTCGAAAAGTACTCGGTATGATGTTCCATGAATTGTAGTCTTATAGTTCTCGAAGGTTGCGATTGCGTAGTGCATGTTTGCTTCTTTCCCCAACAATGACTTAGAACTACATACTCCGCGTCCCCATTGTCCGGCTCAAAAGGCCGAACCGTAGTTACTCTACCTTCTTTCCTCCAGATTTCTAAACTCTCTTTGGCAATTGAGGTCCCGGGGTACTTTTTCACGGGTTATAGTGGTCAAACAGGTCTCTAAAAGCGACTAGACCCAAATCAGACTTTGAGGGGAGAGCCGACGACTGTTAATTGAAGGCGGAGGTAGTACCGCTTTCTACACTGAAGAATTATTAGAAACAACTTTGAACAGCAAGTTGCGTACAACATGCAATAGTGGCATTTTCAACATATATAAGTAGGTCCAAAAGTGAAGAACTTAATTTTTAGCTTTCGGTCGGTCATCATTGAAATGGACCTCCAAAGTGAAACTGTCCTTTACGCGGTACTCTTTTGTGTTGCAGCATTGAGTGCATATGCGTCCTACATCTACTTCGAAGACCCGGTCCTAATTTACGATTTATACAAGCCATTGAGAGGAGCTTAGCAAGAAGCGCAACCAGGGTCAGAAGCAGAGTGGATGAGATATATCAAATTCGAGGTGATGGAAGTTAGTGCCTTGATGAAGGTAGCCGGGTATTTTCACCTCGATCTTCCCTAGCTAGAGCCTAAAGTAAGTAGGCTTTGGATTCTCGCTTGCCTCATGATTCCGATTGGGAGACAGTGACTCTTCGATTCTAAACTCATTGTGGTAACGATGAAGACAATACGTCGTGATGGCAGTGAGATTGATATAGGTTTTCTTCAGAGGGCTACCCCCCACCTCAGCCGTATTAACAGCGTTCAGTCGGGGCACAATCATAGCCATATCCCAGGTACAGCATATAACCAATATTCGCACAGCATAATTATAGCTGAGACGAGCTATTAGGCCTCCTGCTGGAATTCTAGAGGACTTCATCAGGACTCAAATTTCCATCTCAAATCACCGTGCGGTCATCACTTCTCAAAGTTGCATTATTTGATACGCCTGATTCCAGACAGGCAAAGAGTGATTCGTTTTGTGCTTGAGGGCATCGATTACGCCAATTCAACCTCAATAATCTTCTCCGGACCCCCCTCACAATCCTAAGTCTTTCTGATCTTCAACCCAACACTAGCAAGCAGCGTTCTCCAGTCGCTCTCAGTTATCTCTTGCGCAGCGTGACATATGAGCATCATCATATCCACACTTGTTGAGAACTAGTTGGCATTAGTGTCTGGGATGACAATTTCGCTAAGAAGGATCTTGCTATATCCATTTTTCATGAGTGTAATTATGTTTGACAATATCTTGCGGCATGAATCATCCGGCCAATCGTGCAAGATCATATGCAAGTAATATATTTTGGCATGCTCGACAGGTTGTGACGTGAAGAAGTCATGCGTCTGGGCTTGGATATCCTTCGGAAAGTCCGGGGCAATGGCTGAGATCGTTGCGGGGAGGTCCTGAAGTACCAGTTTCCAGGGTAAATTTGGGAAAGCGGCGTGGAAGTCAATGATATCGTGGCCGAAACTACCGCCGACGTCTACTATCAATATCTGCTCAGGGTCCGTGGGATAGTCGGAGATCTGAGGCACGTCAACGGACCGGAACCGTCTCTTCCCGAGCGTCTTGAACTCCATGTGTGCTTTGAAGTTTTCCAAATCTTGCTCTTTTCCAGGTTGACTGATCTAGTCGAAATAGTGCAGGTCAGTTCCTATACCGTATTTAAACGGCGACTTGTCTTTGTTAGTGGGATTCTTACAGCCTGAATTCCGTAGGTATTCGGGGAGTTTGGCATGGACATAGTTCATGTGATCGTAGCTTTTGTGCGGTCAGTGTCATGCTCACAATCGCCATTTCCGATGTGGGATAAATTACCAATTCTTCGTCATCCCTGCAGGAATTCGAGAAGCGAGTGTAGCGGTGATAGCATTTGCAATGTACTCGTTCGGCCCTGTTTCCTTCACGAAGCCTGCAGAGCACAAGCGTTTCAAGAGACGTGCTGTATAAAATCAACAGGTGCGTTTTCTGCTTCGTGGGTGAACCCGATCTCACATAAAAGCACTGGGTCACAGCCTGTCATCTCCGCCAGTTTCTTCGAACTCTTGGGCGAGGCATCATCAGACATCATTGTCTCGAAGAGATTGAGGTCGAAGCCAATCTGTGTCGTGGCCCACCTTGACGGCTATCATGAAGTCAGGTCTTCATTGAGGTCGTGAAGCTTGTAGTCATAATTTGAGTTGCAAGGACTTACTTCGAGCTAGTTCATTTTTGCAATGACTTCAAATGGAGACTGCAGAGCTACTACAAGATTCTGTGCAGACTCTAAGAGGGCTTTTCGTGCCTCCTCATTTCCTGCGCCATTCATCAGGCTTTCACCCTTGGTGTTAACATCCTTCAGCAAAGGGATAATGTCTGGACTCGGGGCAGTCCTAATAGAGATCGGAAACATGCATAGAAGAGTAGAGGTTGATGCAGTGGAGAGATTACGAAGGAAGCGGGACTTATATTCAACACTTCTGCCCTCTCATGGAGAAGCCCTACGAGCGGTGTCATCATTGGGTGCCTAAAACCATACTAATTGTCACCTGCCTAGCTTGATTGGGCATCTCTGATGTGCCCAAATACTCCTGGACTAGGTCAGAAAGGCACAATATCTCTGCCCCGCACAGGTTTGGCTGGGTTCTCTGATGCAAGTTGGGGTATTGGTCGAATCGGAATCGCGGTCCACGAAGCTTTTGCGGGGCGTCAATAGGACTGAGGTAAGCATTCTTCAGGTGCAAGTTAGGCCCAGTATGTGGTCAGCAAAGTCCTCTCTTGCCAGACCAGATTAAAGAGAGACCAAGGTAGGTTATCAAGTTTAGCACTCCACTGTTCCGGAAACCTGGAAATTGGGACCTAGAGTTATACTTCATCGAAGTTCAAATTTGAATGCTGTTGCACTTTGCAAGATCCACAGACCCCCACATCCGTTAACCCACATAGGAAGGGATTGGCCTGGAACAAACGCACTTAAATCCGTCCCCCGTTCGACTCCCTCCCTACGAATGTTATGAAGAATAAGGCAGTTTGTTAAAATGATGTCCCGCTCTTCTCTTCTCATTCACTTTGCAATAATCACTCCCCTCAAAGAAAAACGCGCCACTGTCCTCGGAACCTTCAACATCTACTGGCACATAATCCCGTCTTAAACCTGACTCACATCTGTAAGTGCTTTGAAGGACGACTAAGTCTAGTTCACTAATAAAAACCCCTCCTAAGCGCTACCATCCTTCAAAATGTCCACCCCTCAATCACAATCCCAACTTCACCCGCACCCCCAAAACAGCTCACCCTCTTCGTAACTTTCCACATCCACCCACACTTAATCCCCACCTTCCTCTCCGCTCACCGACCCGTCTGGGCAGCCTGCACCCCGGAACCCGAATGTCTCCTCTTCGACGTCTTTCAAGACCCCTCCCGACCCGGTCGTTTCCGGTTCGTGGAGGTCTGGAGCCGGGATCGGGAGTGGTTTGAAAGGGAACAATTGACGAAACCCTAATATGGGACATTGTGGGATAAGAGTAGGCTGACGTGGAGGAGGGAGATGAAAATAGAGTACTTTGAGCGCGAGGGGGAAGGGTGTGCGTTTAGGAGGGAGTATTTGGAAGGAGGGAAGGAAATGGATTAGGTGTGGGTGAAGGATAGGAGAGAAGGGTAATGTGGAGCAGAAAATGCCTGAAGCCCGAGAGGCATTTGGATTGGGAAATTGAGCTACTACAAGCACCTATGAGGGGTACCTTTGGCCAGACCTGCTACATCTGCCCCTATATCAGATAAACTCCTACCCAAGTATAGTGCTAGGGATCGTACTTGAGCCGGTAGATCTTTGCCTTCTCGCACTCCACACTCATTATTTCCTCCCCTTCTTCTTCCCCTCCCCACTACCCTCCTTCCCTTCCCTCGCAAAACCCCCAAGCACCAGCGCCTCTCTCGCCGTCGTGTTGATAATCCTAAACCGATCCGGGCCTAGCAAGACACCGCCATACCACCTCGTCACAATGACCATGACATCCCAAACATCCATCAACTGCATTAGATGCAGAATTCTCCCCCCAGCTGCCGTTTCCCCGTCGTCGTCGCAGTCTTGGTAGCTCGTATCGTTCAAACCACGAATCCTCCACGCAGTGATATTGTGCGTTGCTCGCGCTGCTTTCTTATCAGTCGCAAGGAGGTGTGCGACATATGATTTGGCTTGGGCTGGGGAGTAGACTGGAGCTACACGCGCGAGGAAGATAGATTTCTTTTCCGTGATCGGCGGTGCTATTATCCAAGGTGGTTCAGGGCCAAGGTTCACACTCGAAATGTCTTGTCGCATGGAAGCATCAGGTATTGATTCATCTGTCTCTTTGCCTTCGCCTCCTATGTGATCTTGGATATGCAGTGTTCCCTTCTCTTCAGCTTTCTCTAAAGCATCCCGAACTTCTTCCAACAGGTCAAAGATACACGCCTCTCCAGGCCTATACACCTGCGTAAGCACGTCTCTCACGATGTCCACAATCTGCTTTCCAACACCTTTCTGCACATCCTCGCCGACAGTCTGCGTCCCGAGTATTAAGGGTGGCGTGTCTGGATAATCTAGCGGGAACTTTAAGCGTAGAACTATGGAAGGGAGGGAGGGGAGGCGCAGGCTACAGATGCTCGCATCTTCGGAGATGGACGAGAGGGTGTCTAGGTCGAAGATTGAGTTTATGGAGGTTATTTCGTCGTTGATGGCATCGTTGAGAGAGAAAGTCATGATTGGAGAGGAGATGGTTGCGGGTGAGGTGGATGGTGGGGCTTGGCGGGGCTATTCCTCTCTTGCTTTTCCGGAGCCAGGTTTATTTCAACTTAAGACACACTACTTTTGACAGAAATGCCTATTGAACCTTGTCTTAACTTGTAGCTCTAAAGCGCGCCAAAGGTACCATATTTCCTCAGATGCTTTAGAGACAATTTGGAGTGTAGTTGATTTCGCAGATCTAACAGCAGCTTTCTTAAATTGTTCTTCATGTATCAATCTTTATTAGCAAAGATTGAGCAAGAGAGGTAGCAAAATCACATTGCCGTGCCTACAGGTGTCATTACACCCCTCTCTTAGCCTCCTTTAAACCTAATCACGCTTGCTTTTATGTCCTTCGCTCACACAGCACTCTCCTAGAAACCCTTAGGAAATTACTGATCGAGCGGCAAAGCGAGTCTTTGAGTAGAACTCGTTTCTCCCTGCAGAGTAACATGCGGGTCGAATTCCTCATTCCCTTGCACCCACAGCCTATCCAGACTTGCAATTGCCTCCTTCCTCTCTTCTTCATGTGGCCACTGAACTTCTCTCATCCGTTCATCCCCCAAGCCTCTTCTGACCAATGGCAGATTCTGCAACTCAGCATCCACAAACCCGTCCATCATAAGGCAAACCAATCGTTCATGGCGTCTAACGTGCAGACGCCTCCTAAGGCCTTCGATGAGGACAAGATCAAGCGCAGAATCCATATACTGACCCATGGGGTCCCAACCCTCGCGGTGGAGGATGCCCCATGTCTCCTCGGGGATATCTGAGTCGAGCTCGTCCTCAAGCCACGTAGCAGTGCTTGTGTCGAGGGATTGCATTGGATATGTTACCACCATCATCTCTCCTAGTTCGTCATAGGTAAGGCATAGGTTACGGACGAGTACATCCCGGAGCGTCGTAAGTGACCTCTGTGTCAATAGAAGAGCCGAGAGTTCGCACAGACCCAGTCCTTTAATCGGTGATTCAGACAGCATATCCAATTTTATTAAGAATTGGTGGAAAATCAGGATATCGTTGTCTGACCATATTTCTGTATCGCGGAGGAAGGCTTCACGAAGTGCTTGTGTTTTCGACTCCATCAGGACCCAGAATTTCATCACCACTTTCTTGGCTTCTTGAGGCAGCCTAAGCCCACCCAATGCCAGTTCTGCCAGGATATCGTCTACAACCTTGTCTCGGTGCAACACCAGTCTGACCCAGCGGAAAGACGGAATGTCCCTCGCAAGATGCGGTCTCTCATCCATTGGCTTGAGAATTGGATCTGAGATGCATAGGTGCGGAAACAGAGTCCAAGAGAACACGTATGCGGATTCGGGGGCATGGTATTCAGCATAGTCGTGTACAAGCGAGGTGCTGTATTTGTTCAGGCGATAATGGAATTCCTTGTCAATAGCGTAGAGGTCCATGAACGATTGGGGTGATAGCCGCATTGCGAATTGGAAGAACAAATTTGGATGGCGAAGAATGGCTTTGAAAACGTTAAAGGGCGGCCGTAGGAGTTGTGGACCGGTAGGTGAGATGGGAAAAGATTGAACCATTCCATACCGGTGGCGATAGCGGCGAACAATTTGGGGGGTGGTAAAACTCGCGATAGAGGTAAGATGTACAATATTCTGAGCTGAACTCTCTGGCTCGAGCTCTTCTACGGTGCGCTTATTTTTGCCTTTACTGAGTCCAGCGCTGGCGATCGACTCATCGTGGAAAGGTTGCTGCTGGGTGAGGCACCACGATTGCTCGGTTGGAATGCTATTTGTGGGTGTCGGCAGCCCATTTGGAATGTGTGTGACCGATGTTTGTGGAAGGTGAGATGCATCGCCCATGTAGCTTTCTTCGGCGTGTCGTGAACTTCCCATTTTTTGTCGGAAAGCGGGAAGCAATTACAAGTTGGAGAACGAGGGCGAAGGTTTTGAGATGCAACCAAGGTTTGAGGTTAGCCATGCTAGTTTATTGATATTATAGAAAGAAGACGAAACAATAACAAGGGAATTGGCACTTGCGAAGCCAGTAGCGGGCCGAGTGTTTTCCCGTCCACAACCAGTGGAGGGCTTCCAAGCTACAATGCGTGCACTTGTATTGACCCAGGCAGTGAAAAAATTGAACTGTCAGTGAAGTGATTGAGTGTGACGGTGGTTTTCATCACCAAGTGCCTGTTGAAGGCGGAAATGCATCTAATCTAACCAAGGATATGCCAATACCGCCTACCTTACCAGTGGATGAGCACCCATTCAACGCCGGTCGTGAATGACATGCATGGCAATACAGATCAGAAAAGCATACTCTCTATCCTCTACTAATGAGGTTCAGGAATTCCTCTCGAGTTTTTGCGGTTGACCGCATGCGACCGAGCATGCAGCTGGTGACTGTGCTTGCCCCAGTCTTCTGAACTCCTCTCATCACCATGCAAAGATGGCTTGACTCTACCACCACGGCGACGCCTTGGGGCTGCAGCATCTCAGACAGCGCGAGTGCGACTTGCTTCGTTAGTCGTTCCTGGACTTGGAGTCTGCGGGAGAACATCTCCGCGATTCTGGCGAGCTTGGACAATCCAATCACTCGGCGATTGGGGATATACCCAATGTGCATCTGGTGGACGAGTCAGCTCTGTGACGAATCGGGTTTTTGTACAATACGTACCTTGCCCGTGAATGGTACCAGATGGTGCTCGCATAGCGAAAATATTTCGATGTCCTTAACAATAACCAGCTCGTCATGGTCCTCGTGGAAGACGGCCCCGTTCACGATGTCACGCAGGTTTTCCTCATACCCCTTTGTGAAGAACAACAGCGCCTTCGCATAGCGCTCTGGAGTATCAAGCAGCCCTTCTCGGTCAGGGTCTTCGCCAACACACTCGAGGATTGTCCTGACAGCTCCTGCCAACTTCGTGAGTCGCTCTTCCTTTTGTTGTTCGGTCGCTTCCTTCCTCTTCCGAGTGCCTCGGCCTTGATATGGTTAGTATTAAGAGCGCCTATTGGCTCCAGCTCTACTTACTAGGCCAGCTGAGTCCGTCAAAGTCTATGGTGGGGTGTTGGGTATATGGGCTATGTGCACGGCTCGTGGCAAGCGGCGTAGGTGCGGCACTGTCCTCCTTCCAAGTCTCCTCGTCAATATCATTGCAAATAGGCTTATGCTTGCAATTGAGGGCCAGACTGTCCATATTCGAGCTTGACGGCTTGAATTGCCCATTCGGCCCGTCGAAGTTGACGGCCTGGCGGCCACGGCTTGAGGATTCGATGGCAGCGTACAAAGTATCCCTCTCTTTCCTGTCTCGAGCTTCAGTGGAGGTACTAAGAGGTGATGGGGCATTGGTGAGGTGGGAGGGGATTGCGGGCTTCGGCTTGAGGGGTGGTGAATCCATGGTGGGAAAGTTTGCTTGAAAGGAAATTTTGGGAGGTCTGTCGGTTAGTTTGTTCAATGACAGCTAGGAATTTGGCGCGGGCACAAGGGCCTTCGGACAATAGCAGACCCAACGCATGGTGGAGGGGTTAAAGTGTTCGGAGGTGATGACTGGGATGAAATAACTTTCTCCCGCATACAAACCCGTCTAGCGGCGATGAGCCTTCCCGCCGCCACCGAGTTGACGTCGGTGAAGGGCTTGGAAGCGCCGGGGCCACCTTCTCGTCACGGGACAGGCCGGGCTTCTTCGGTCTCGGCTTCCTTTCTAAGCACACACTGCAACTCCTCATCGCACCACCACCCATCACGACCGCCTTTATCCCCGTCGTAGTGTGCCCTCTGTCGACTAAGGTACGTCTTAAGGACTGGTCGCTTTTTCTTTGACGCTCAGATTCATCGTCCTGCAGCACGGATAGCGACGGTGGCAGGGTCGCTGTCGTGAAGAAGGGGTTTGTTGCGTTGTTCAAGCCCCGCCGGCGTTGTCGCAAGTCACAGCAGGGTGCAGTCGCCCATCACAGCAGCATCGCGACACCCTTTATCTGGATCGAGCACTTTGAGCGTGAAGATGTCTCGACAATACACCGTGGAGGCGGAAACGTGCGGAAGGAGAGTTGGAGGGATCTTGTTGAAAGGGTCGCGCACAGCCGCCTTCATTTCGATGTCTCCATGACATGTCCGCCAGATCGACAACGGTCATACCTAGGTATTGCGCCTGATGGACATGTCATCGATAGAATTCTGTCCATCACTCTCCAGAATGGTCGAGACTGTGGGAATCTCACTATCCCCTTCTTTCATGGTCGGATTCACCGGCGTTGGCAATGGGAGCCAGGCACCCACAGGTCTACTGGTTGGGCTGCAGAGGCCAGCAAGACTTGAGTAGAGGCTATGGGCATGCTTCGGCTTCTCCAACTAACCCGCTCTCACTTTCGCGCCCGCTTTGGCAAAGCATTGCTTTTGTCAATATTGTATGGCGTTTGGGAATGATGGCAGTCCGCCAGAAAACGTTGATTTATACCACGCCTCTGGTACTCCAAGCACAGCGAGGACAGACACGGGCGCTCATGCTTCTATTCTGATTCTCTCTGCGACCCTTCGGGAGCCGCTGCACACCTGGGTGCTTACTATGACGCTCGAAGCCCCGCTCAATTATCCGCCCAAGAGCCTCGACGAACTTCGTCCTTAGCGACGGCACACCACAGCAATCCACGGAGCACTGCCTTTACTGTTCTGCGACGACCTTCGCCAAGATATAAGCGCATCTGGTAGGACACTGTCGCACCGTCGTCGCGCCCCACCTCACCATCACTTCGTCATGCAGGTGAACGCCTTCCAGCGCTGTGGATCGTTGACACCGTCTATTGAGCCATTAGATTGGCCTTTATCGCAGCGCCTATAGTCTTGAATGTTTGCCTGTGCATTTAGATAGCTTGAGTAAAGCCAGTGCCTCGGTTTCCGTGCCCGGCGAGAGAGGGAGAAGGGAGACCTCGAAATACGGAGGTTGCATTCAGGAGTGCGCAGGATCTGAAGAGACTGGCTGTGTTTCTATGGGAGCCTCATGAAGTCGATCTCATGCATCGCAGTCGATCTGCAGCTGGGCAGGTTATCCGTCCTCCGCGGTCACGGGACTGGACGGATCGGGAGCGAGCAGGCAAAAAGCTGCGGGCTCGAAAGCATCTCGCTGCGGCGGCACACGAACAGCAACGTCAACTAACTCCAGCGTCGCGAAGAAGAAGAGGCGCATCTGTGAATCTTTCCTGAAGACGTCACAGCACGGGCTCTATCATTTTCCTCGCTTTGTCAACAGTCTCTTTACCAGGATAAGGGTTGTAGTTCGCTCGCGGTTCTGTCGCTCGGCTAGGCCGTGACACTCAGACCCGCGAACCTTGATGCCATCTCTCACTTCCCTCTGATGTTACTCCTGTCTCTATGGCTGGGTTGCGACGGACCCAGGATATAGATCAGTGGAGACCAGAGGAACCGTCCATCAGAGACAGAGACAGGGAGCGCCCACGGGAGCAGCACGCCGACACCAGAGCCCCGTCACCAACGCCACGCAGGGCGAGGGACGACCCCAAACGAGGTCACCACGACCTCGACACTCGTTCATCCGCAAAACACTCGAGGGCACGATCGCGCGAGCGAAGCTCAAGCAGAGACAGGGCGCGTCATCACAGCCGTGGGGACTCAAGGGAGAATCGTTACCGGCCGTTGAGAGGGAGGGCGCCCAGCTCAGACAGGGTTTCGCACTCGCATCGGCATCACCACTCCCACCACCACGACATCTCCCCATCCTCCAAACGCCGCCGCAGCCGCAGCCCATCCCCGCATCGCGATTCCACCAAGCGCGTCAAGCGGAGGAGAAGTCGCAGCACCGAACGATCGAAATCGCGGCCTCGCCGCCCAGACTCCTCCCACCGGCCCACCGATAGGGCATATTCGCCTCGTCCTCCCCGCTCAGACCGCGACCGACCTGTGCAACGCCATACTCCCGACTCGTACATACCAGCATCGACATCTCGGCGCCGTTCGCGGTCTGCTGATTCTCATTATAGGCCTGCTACGCACCGGGTGAGGAAGCGATCCACCACGCCTGACCGGAGGTCAAGGCGAGACGATTCACCGAAAAGGCACCATAAGCACCGTCATTCACCTTCTACTGAGGATCGAGGCAGAGCGCAGAGGCAAACATCCTCAAGAGACCAGGAGCGGAGCCGCAGCCGCCCATCTAGACACGCTCGTTCGCGTTCCCCGCGGCGCAGGCGGTCACACACTCCTGTTAGGAGACGATCACCCAGGCGAGAAAAAGGTCACTCTCCACGTGATACCAATCACCGCCGCTCAGCCTCACGATCGCCTTCGCATCGATCCAGACACTCTGGGAAGGCTGACAAAGAGGACGATATTGTCAAGCCTGCAAGAGCAAACAAGTCACCTTCCAGGAGAGGATCCCCAATTCCGCAATCTGGTTACGCCTCGGACACCCAGAAGTCCGAAGGGGGCACCACGATGAGAGGAGGGGCTTACCATCACCAGAGTCGGCCTCCCCGCCCTGGATTGGATACACATTCAAACTTTTCTCAATCCCCGCCTTATATGACGCCAAATCAATATTCTCCCCAAGGCCAATCGCCATATCAGAATACGCGTGGCGGATGGACTGGCCAGCAGTCTTATCCTGCACAAGGGTACAGTAACCACCGGTCCTATTTCTCCTGACGTTCGCTCACAACATACAGGTCGCCAATGCAGGGCTATTCGCCTAACCAGTCTCCCTACCCCAGCCAGAATTACTCCCCAACTGGCCCTCAGGGTCAGTTCTACCCTAATCAGTCATATCCACCACAACACCAGATGCAGCCAGGCTTTCAAAGTTCTCCTTATCGAGGAGGCCATGGTGGAGGCTTACGTGGGAATCACTATAACGGGGCAGACAGACGGATGTCAGGCCCTGGGCCAACTCCAAGCTATACACCTACTCAAGGTGGCCGGGGTCGCGGCGCCGCTCCAACACAGTACTCAAATCTCTCATGGACTCCGAACACAGGCACTAGAGGTGGTCGGCCAGCCACCGAGGCTCCCCGCCATTCGACAACTCCTACAACTCAATCAGGAGCTGACCCGGCACCACCTTCTGCTGACGAGGAAGACAACCCTTTCCGGCCTTCAAAGGACCTCCGGGTTGAAGATGAAGGGCCAAAAGAAGAGAAGAAAATGCCGCCACCTAATAAGCCTGCAGTAACACCAAGTCAGAAAACAGGTTTCAGTTTTTCCCTGAAAACGAAGGCCCCTGTTCCTTCTACTAGCGTCCCGAAGCCTGATACACCCTCAAAGCGACGAACAGAATCTCCCTCGAAAGACGTTGCGTCTGACCCCAAGTCAAGACCAACATCAACACGTGAATCCTCCTCCAAATACCCTCTCGAGTCTCGGACTGACCGCGAACGCGAACGAGAACGAGATCGGGAGCGAGACCGAGATAGGGAGCGAGACCGGGACCGGGACCGGGAGAGAGATAGGGATAGGGATAGGGAGAGGGACAGAGACAGAGACAGAGAGAGGGAGAGGGATAGATATCGCGAGCCCGATTATCGCGACAAATACCGAGAGTCTGATAGACTCAGAGAGAGGGAGCGTGACCGTGAGCGGGACCGAGATCCTCGCTATGACAAGTACGATAAGTACGATACCTACTATGATAGGAAGCCTGGCTACCGAGCTCCGGACCCTCGCGATATCCGCGAGCCGCCAGATCTAAGAGACTCAAGAGGCTACCGAGAAAGGCGTGAGCCTCGAGAATACCCAGAGCCCCGAGACACACGAGATTTTTACGAGAGAGATCGTAGAGACGCATGGTCGGGCCGACGCTCTGAGCCTCGACCTGAACATCGACCTGAACCCCGACCAGAGCGCAGGGAGCCGCCACCACCAGAACCAGTGAAGACCAAGACCGTGAAGAGAAAGCGTGCGAAACCTTTACCAACTCTCTCACCCGACTTTGCAGCTTCCGACTCTGTATACTATCGGAAACCAGGAAATGAGTCTGTTGTCGGGTCTGGTACTTTTGGCAAGGTTTTCAAAGGGGTACATGTGTACACGAAGGAAATGGTTGCCCTCAAAAAGATCAGGATGGAGGGCGAGCGCGATGGCTTCCCAGTTACCGCTATTCGAGAGATCAAGCTCCTGCAATCCCTCAGCCACGACAACATCGTCAAGCTGCAAGAAGTCATGGTGGAGAAGAATGATTGTTTCATGGTGTTCGAATATCTTTCCCACGATTTAACGGGTTTACTGAATCATCCGACGTTCAAACTGGATCACTCGCAAAAGAAAGACCTTGCCAAGCAGCTGTTCGAGGGTCTCGATTACCTCCATCGCCGAGGTGTATTGCACCGAGATATCAAAGCTGCTAACATCCTTGTCAGCAACACCGGTCAACTCAAGCTTGCCGATTTTGGACTCGCCCGATTTTACGCAAAGCGCGGCAAGCTTGACTACACCAACAGAGTCATTACCATCTGGTACAGATCCCCTGAGCTTCTTTTAGGAGAAACTCAATACGGCCCTGCAGTCGACATCTGGTCCGCCGCATGTGTCCTTGTAGAAATTTTCACCAGACACGCAATCTTCCCGGGCGACGGCGGCGAAATCAACCAACTTGACAAAATCTACAATGTACTCGGTACGCCCACGGTCCAGGACTGGCCTGCTATCGTCGAAATGCAATGGTTCGAGCTCCTGCGCCCCACGGAAAAGAAACTCAGCTCCTTTGCTGAGAAATACAAAGACCGTGTCACACCCGCTGCATTCGACCTGCTAAGCGCGATGTTCCAGTTTGATCCAACGACTAGACCTAGCGCGTCGGATGTACTGGAGCATCCCTATTTTACGACGGAGGCACCGAGTTCGAGGCGTGCGGAGGAGCTGAAGGAGCTGGAGGGTGATTGGCATGAGTTTGAGAGTAAAGCATTGAGAAAGGAGAAGGAAAAGCAAGATAAGGAAGCAAGGCGCGCGGCACGGGAGGGCGAGAAACGAAGGGCCGAATCGGTCGCTGAGCCGGAACGAGAGGTGAAGAGAGCCCGAAGTGGGGAAAGTGCGCAAAGTCAGGGTCAGGCGGTTGGGGCATAATTGAGTTGAAAGGACGAGGCATTGGGTTTTGCTTTTTGCGATAATTGAAGGGGTGGTTTGAGGGGTTGCTATCTTAGATGAGAAGGTTACGAGCAGCATGTTTTCTCTTTTTTTTTTTTTTGGGCCGGGGGGAAGGCGAGGGCGACCTGCTCCCTCGATTATGCAAATAATTTTTTCTGGTAGAGTCTAGAGCAGGTGTTGAGTTGATGAGAGTATAGTTCTCAAAAATACGATACTTTCTGGTATATGAATTCAATGAAGGGATGGGATTGCATCTATCTCTTTCTGTCTCTGTTTCTTTGTATATATTAGCATTACTGCGAAGCTACATAGAAGGGCTTAGTGGATGGAGTATAGCAGAGAGATTATATGTAGCAGCGCAAGCGAAGGTCGAGAACAAGCTCCTCAACCGTGGAACGGAACTACAGAAATAGATATTCGCAATCGCAACGGTCAACTCGGTTCCGTGAGCTGTCAAAGTCTCTGATCCACATGATTCGCATATAGACTGGGCAGATGTAAATAATAATCGGACTGAAGCACCCTTGCATCTGGAGTGTACCTCTTGAAATACACGTGCCCTGCCCCGTGCTGTGCTGTCGTGCAGCACCGGAGATTTCAATGCTGTCAAATCTCTCCAAGATTCCTCTTTCGGCTGCATCAGAATGTCCGGAGATACTCGCGAGTGACCTTTGTACGATGCAGGGGGCTGTGCTGTCCACGACTGCACGCAGATGTAACACACTGACCACGATGGATGCCATGAAGAGGGTGCCACCGTGCACAAGGCTGCTTTCTGTGAACCCGCATCGGTGCTTGGCAGAAGCGAAATTGTGTCATTGGAGCTGTTATTGGGGGGTTTATGAGGTTGAGTGAGATGTGAGATGGGGCCTTCGGACTTCGAAAGCTTGAACGTTTTGCTTATTCGAGATCCGCGCCGGGAAAAAAGTAAGCAGGATGAGGTGACGCTGTCAATGGAATGCTCGCCACTATAAGTAACTTCCTTGAATGGTATCTACCGAGCTCTTCGATAATGTTGGTGTTGGTAGTGGTTGAGGTCGGTCGGCACGAACCGGAAGCCCGAGTTCTAGCACTGAGTGAGGGTTCTGGTGCGAGGTTTGACAACGGAGAAGGGTTTGAAGCTACGGACATTGGATATTGGTCATTCAACGGAGTCACTCACACGCAGGTTAGGTGGTTAGTTCGCCGGAGCCAGATGCAAATGGCCGATCGGTAGAATCGACGACACCTGATTGGTCGGGAGCAAGACATGGAAGATCTGGACGGAGCGGATGTCTCTGAGGTCTCCGGGCGGACGTTGGGGGGGGGGGCAGTACGCCTGAAGTTGCTCGTTCAGTCCCTCGCAGGAGAGCGATGCGGGCGGGAGCGAGCGCTGCTGCATAGGATCCACGATGGATGATGATGTGGTAGTGGTGGATTGCCGTTTGCCGCTTTGATTGTGCTGTAAATTGCAGAGAAAAACTTTACAGTTTTATGCTGTCCTAATTAGGGAAGTGAGAGCAAGGCGGCACACGGATGGGGTTGCGGCGAAAGAGGCTGCATGAGTGCCCTGGCCCTCGCTCATCTATTGCAGAGTGCAGCGTGATGGTCAGTGGAGCGCTTGCTTTTGTTCGGTTGACGAGGGCTCTCGTCGGCAGCGCACGGTGGGCTATTCCTGGTACGACCCATATTCGTTGTGCAGATGGACTGATTGCGTGCCTTGATGGCTTTCCGTTTGGCTGGTTGGCTGCATAATGGGCAGGAGGATGTGAGGGAGAATGCCTGATGGCAGCGGAGAGGGACGGAGGGAGACGGCCAGTTGGAATGCTCCTGATAGCCCTCTCCTCACCCATACCCAGCAAATGAAGAAACGAACAGAATAGAACACAAGCTGAAAACCGGCCAGAACGGTAGCGTTCCAGCCGCTGGGGGCCAAGGGTCTTCTAGGTTCCGCTGCGTGCGTGTGCTCTTGACGCGGTACGGACACGATAATGCGGTGTGGTTCGCAACCCGCTCCAACGGTCTCTAATCCGGATGTGGCGTGCCCAAGTGCCATTTTTCTCCACACTTACCAGGAGAAGACGGAAGAAAGTGGGCTCGCAAGGGCGGGAGAAATTTGAGTGGCTGCTGCCCCTGACGACCGGCGGGTGCAGCGCTCAAAAGGGTAATCAATGTGCCTGGTGAAGGGGTGCTCTGGAGAGCAGAAATGCACATTCCGGGGCGAAATCTCTGCCTCAGCCATGATGGATGACTTCTGGATGACTTCTGGATGACCTCTGGTGTGCTAACTAAAGCACCGCAGCCGAGACAGCAGGACTCGTATGCAGGTATGTGCTTTTGCTGCGGTCCACGAAGCACGCTGAGCGAAGAGAGCCCTTCAAGCCCTCGCACGGCTCTCGTGCCGACAACGCTGAAACACTTCCCGCTGGCCAATCCCGTGGCGACCTCTCACACCACTGATGACCACATTTCAGCGCTTGCCTTGCGATGTCGCCTCCTGAGGGTCGCCTGTGAGCGGCCGGTGTGCGCTAAACTGCTGCTGTTCATCGTCGCTCTCGTCTCTGCCCCCAGGCTCTCCGTCCCGCCGCCAGCGTATAGGAGACGAGAGACGGCTAGCGGCCTTGCGGTAGCAGCTGTCGAGCAACGCCAGAGCGGACTCTGAGTTGCCTGTCTGGTGTACTTGAAACCCCCAGGTCTGCCCGGGCTCGCGCACAGACTGCAGTTCGTCCGCAATATAGCTGATAAAAGATCGTGGATCCCGGATATATTGCACTCCCTTTGCGACCCCTCCACCACCACGGCTGTAGTCAGACTCTTACTTTACCTCTGCTCCTCCTGGGACAGACCAAGTCGACTACCGCCGTGTTGAGTCTGACGAGGTTTCACTCCGTCGGCCTCGACCGTGTGCTCCCTCAGCCACCACCCTCTCTTACCATTGGTGCGTGGAATTCTGTACGCCTTCGGTTTCATGCCTGCACGGGCACGCCAGCACTGCACATATCTCACATAACTACTCTCGACGTCCCGATCCTCGTGTGCACGGCAGACCGACCTGACATGTTTTCTCCCTCACAGCAGACTCAAACCATGGTAGACGTCGCCGTGTCGACCCAGCTCCAGCAATGGTCCTTCGAAAAATCCTCGCTCGTCCGCCCAGAGCGCAGTGACAGCTCGGCGTCGTCCCCGGACCTGTACAACCACCACGACAGCGAGACCCTGCGGATAGATGCTCCTGCCGTGGACCACGATACCACCGCCCTGGACCCAAAGGAGACGATTTTCCAGGAACGATATCTCTCGTCCGAGGAGGACCTCTCGCCTATGGACTTCTCAGATTCAGACTTCGACGACACAGCCAGCATCCACGGCCTCGAGAAAAAGTGCTTCTCAGCAAGGAAGATGTCTATTTCGAGATTCGAGAAGGGAAAGAGTTGTGACATGGCGATTACAGTGTCGTATGTTTCGGCAGGTCGACCAAAGGTGATTGAACTGACGCCAGCCCCTGGTTCGCCAATCCGTGAGGCGCCGCAACGGTCAGCCTCACTACCGCTCAACCAGCTGCCAATCGCAGCCATCAATAAACTGCAGAAGGCTGACGCAGCCTCTCGACTCTCTCTAAACACAACGAGCTCAGTGAGGACTCAGTCGCGGTCGCAGTCGCGATCACGGTCGCCATCGCCTGCGGTTAGTGTACGAAGGCCGTCGCTAGGACGTTTACCGTTCTCGAATAGCAGCAGCAAACTAAATATCTCGGATTCTTCCTCTTTCGGTGACAGCTCGACAAGAAGTAACTCTCCCTTGACGAGCGATCATTCCACCCGTCCAGCAAGTGCAGCAGCACTCTCTCACCCAGCCCCTCGATCATCGCTCTACGTAGTCTCGAATGCCAGAAACTCGCCACTCTCTCCGTTCCCTCCTCTCACCCCACAATCGCCGGGACCGCACTCTTTTCTGAGCTCAGATCCATACGAAACCACGACAACTTCTGCAGCTTCTCCTATTATCAAATCTGGACCACACAAGCGCCTGCGAAGCATATCACAAAAGCTATCACTGGCGAAGATTGCAATCACACCATCGAAGAAGTGGGATTCGCGCATAAATGGCAAGCCTGTTGCCATGCCTCCCACGCCCGGAACACCATTCACTCCCATGACCCCAATGACCGCTCCACCCACATCCTTCTCATCACCAAAGAATAGGCTACGGCGAAACTCGCGGATATCTCGTCCATCCTCTGGGCGAGGACCATCTCCCGAAATTCCTCCTCTTCCTACTACACTCTATAGCGAGTCCCGATCTTCCAAGAACATCCAGAAACTGGTGCCACGCGGCGCCAACGAGCGCGAACCCACACTTGAGCTCCCGCCATTCCCCGCCGAAGACTCCAGTGGCGAAATGACCATGTCAAGCATCAAAGCGCGACGGATACGCAAGCGGAAAAGCCTAATGGACTTTACCAAAGACTTGATGTGAAGTACTGGGATAGTGTGAAGATGGCATGAATTTCGGTAATCTGTTTCGTTTCAAAAAAGCTTTGGTCTTTTATGCAAAGATCTGAATTCGGCCTGATCGTCCCATTTCCCCATTTCCCCATTTCCCCAGTCTGTTTATTCTTTGGTGCTATTGGTGAGAGGCTGTTGCGCCACAGCTATATTAAGAGTTTCTTATTATTATTTCGGTGTTTGAGCATGATTGAATCCAAGGCCTGGATGGCAAGGATTTTTACTTTACAAATACGTACGCGGCATCTTAGCGTGCACTGGCGTAACTCATGGCGTATACATGGCGAAAGCATCGGCGTTCCTTTTTATTTTTTAACTTCAGGTGGTCTGGCTATGTTGCTATTCTTTTCAGATACGATACCCGCTTGGATCAAGTATATTTTGTCTGCTGGGGTAAGAGAGAAGAGTGGTTGTCACACACTCATGACATCTGTCGCTATCCTATCTATCTGAGGGGAGTTTTCTTCTTCATCCTTTGCGTCCTTGAATTCGCCCATGGCTATTTTTACGATGTCATGATTGATTGTTATATCAGACTATTCCTAGTATTATTCAAAAACTGTTTGTCGAGGAATAGACGCATGTTCAGCTCGATTCGACATACATTTCGCCGGTGGATTGTTAGTGGTGAGTTGTTCGGTTGTTTCTGTGAGTGGATTAGATTGGATGGATGTGTTAGTAGTTTGAGAGTTATGATAGATGCGGGAGCATATTCATCTATTCTTTACTTCCAACTGGTTGCACCATGGCACCTCCGCCCTCTCGACGTCTTACATGTACTATTCTGACGAACTGGGATATGGTGATTGAAAATGAGCAGTGCGATGAAGACAAGACACGTCTACTGAGACACGACGTCAAGATGCAGCGCAGTGCAGTTCTCCAGGAACCCTAATCCTAGAGGATTACGATTCCCATGCTCATTCCTTCCTGATAGTGGAGTAAGGCAGCCTCCACCTCCTACCTTCATCCAGAATCCAGAATCCACCCACTCTGCGGGATTCTCGGGTCCAAAAACCCCATCCCACACTCCCTGTCATGCGGCGGCCAGAAATCTGAAACGCGCACCGTACTCCTTTCTAACCCCACCCCAGCGCAGTGTTCGTTCCCGCTCGCTCCTCCAAGTTTTCGGTATAACCGACCGACATTGCGGCCTGCTGATCCCGTGGCCTGGTCTAGCATCTGCTGGTCTGACGGCCGCCCGATTTCGGGCCCTTGGTATCTATAATGAAAGGAATGGGCTAATACGCATGTCACGCTGGCCTTCATGCTGCAGCACAATGAACGATACCGCGCCCAAGTCTCTTCAGACTGGATCTCCGAATGGTTGTTCTAAGAATTATCCCTGTCTTATAAACATCCGTGGATTATGCCCGTAGACAAATGTTCTAGCGCAGTTAATGCAAGCCTGGCCATGGTCGTTGGTCTCCCGCCAAGACCTACCCGTCCCATGACTGACAGCAAACTAGCGGGATGCGGGATACGGGTTCGTGGTTGTTTCATGTTGACTGACGTTGGCGTTGGGCGGGGAGAGTTATGCCTTGCGACTCAGAATGACCCGAATACCAGATGTCGGCTCAGTTCCTAACGACAAAGACTACGCAATCGCTGGTCATGGTGTCGGATTGATGAAGATGAGTCGTAGTTATCTCTCGCACATATCAGCTCAGCTAGCCCAGGTGGCGAGAGCTTTACTCGTTGTTCCCGCCATGCCGCGCAAACCACCCATTTGATGAATGCCGAGGTGGTTAGTCAGCCATCACGTGGAACCCTTCGCGAGACGTTTGGATGTGGGATGCAGGTGCAAGCGATCGCACGTGCGCGGGAAAACTTTCCATGGAACTGACTTTATGTCCCCACTTTTTCCCACTCGGCAATGGCTTCCTCACCCCGCAATGAATGCCGATGGTTGCTCGCTGTTCAGATTCACCGAGGTCTGGATTCGTAAAATTACGTTCTCAGGTTGGTATGTGGAATGGATGGATATCGGTAGGTGAGGGAGTCTTCTTTGCCGTTATTGACTTGGAGGCTTTCTGCTCTTTTTGCAGACATTGTTCATTATGTTTACTTTGGGAGTTTAGGAGGGGAGAGAGAGTTTCAAAGCCGATCGTCCCGAGCAAAATTCCGGAACGCAAGAGTTGCTTGCTTTGCCTGCTTTGCCGCAGCGATAGATAGCTAGTTAGATATCAGGGAATTACACTCTCTTCTCTCTTCTCCTCTCTCCCACCTTCCCCCCTCCAGTTCCCCCCAATCCTTTCTTCCCTCTTCATCTAATCAACCCTCTTTGAAATAATGCCCGACCGCGACTTCCCCATCCCGCGTAAGTTATGGCAACATGCAGACCCAAAGTCCACTGCTATGTGGAAATTCATGCAATCTGTGAATCGGAAACGGGGTCTTGATATGCAAGTAAGCTATCCCCGTCCTGTCATTTCCCAGTGTCGAATTGGTGTTCTTCAAGTGTCTTCTGTTCTGTGTGTTGTGAGACTGGACCGCACATATCCCGGAGGTACTTCCGGTGTGGCCGGAAGTTTCAGATCGGAGTTCAAATCACATTGATGATGAAGGGTTTGGGGTTTTATTGGCGCGGGGCGGATAGGATTGGAGATTGGGTGGTTGGCTTTGGTGGACGAGTCGTGAAGATTAGGCATAGTCGGACGACCTAGCGGGGCAAGATAGGTGTAAAGGGGTGGAAGTAGAACGGGAAATGGGGGAAAGGGAAAGGAGAGAAGGGTGTTTGCGCAGATTGGAGTTATGATGCTGATCAGTGTGTTCAACAGACTTTCCGAGATCTGTATGCTTGGAGTGTGGGGGAACGGAGGACGGAGTTTTGGGAGGATCTGTGGGAAGAGGCGGGGCTGATTCACGAAGGGAGTTTTGATGAGGTATGTATGACTTTTTTTCTGAACATATTGATGTGGAGTTCGATTTTATGGCAAGTGTTGTTGGACTGCAGAGGATTCTTTCATACTGCACTAACTCGTGCGGAGGCTTTCTTACCTTTTTATCGTCTCGCTCATGCTGTGTTCCCTCATTCTCATATATGCTCGATGATATTTCTATTCTCTACACTCGTAGTTCGTTCTTCATTTCCAGCCAATTCCGTACCTAGCCCGTCCGTTTTCAGAACGCCTACATCCACAGCCTAACCCCTCAAGGTCGTCGACACCACTGCACCCATGAATAGCATCCCGCACTGGTTCCACGGCACGCGCCTCAACTTCGCCGAAAACATCCTCTACACCTCCTCTCCCACCTCCTCCTCCGTCCGTACCACTGCCAACAAAGAACCCAATAAAATCGCCCTCACCTCCATCCGCGAAGCTAACACCTCCATCCGCCACCTAACCTGGTCCTCCCTCCGACTGCGTGTCGGCCTTCTTTCCAACGCCTTCCGTGCTCGCGGCGTAAAGAAAGGCGACCGCGTCGCCGTCGTAGCAAGCACCTCATTTGACACATTCATTTGTTTCATGGCAATTACGAGTCTAGGCGGGTTATTTAGTAGTAGTAGTACGGATATGGGGACGAAAGGAATTTTGGAACGGTTGGTGCAGATTCGACCGGTCTATGTGTTTATCGATGATTGGACTGTGTATAACGGTAAGACCGTGGACCTCCGACCGAAGATTAGGGAGATTGTGAAGGGGTTGAGGGGGGTGAGGGAGTTTAGGGGAGTAGTTATGCAGCCGAGGTTTGAGGGGCAGCCGGCGGATTTGGAGGGCATGGAGAGGTGTATGACGGTGGAGGGGTTTTTGAAGGCGGGGGGTGGGGATAAGAGGTTGAGGTTTGAGCGAGTGGGGTTTCGGGACCCGTTTTTGATTGTTTATTCAAGTGGGACGACAGGCGTACCGAAGTGTATTGTGCATTCCGTCGGTGGGGTTTTGGTTAGTGTTTTGAAGGAGGGGAGGCTGCATAGGGAGTTGGGGCCGGATACGGTGCAGCTTCAATATACGACTGTAAGCCCCTTCCTTACCCTTTCTCTCTATCTCGAAACCTTTAGTCGAAGATATGGAAGCTAACGGATCTGGTTGTACGTGGTTACAGACAGGTTGGATAATGTACCTCGTAAGCATCCAAGCTCTCCTATATGGTAGCCGATCCATCCTTTACGATGGCTCCCCCTTCCAACCAGACCTTACCACCTTTCTCCGCATCCTCTCGGAACAACGCGTCACCGATCTCGGCACCTCCCCCCGGTACCTCCAAGAACTCCATAAACACTCCATCGCACCGCGGGACACTGTCGACCTTTCCGCCCTCCGTGCAGTGACCTCTACGGGCATGGTCCTATCCGACTCCCTCTTCGAATGGTTCTATGACACTGCCTTCCCACCTTCTGTCCACCTCTCCAACATCTCCGGCGGCACCGATCTCGCCGCCTGCTTTGGCATGGAGAATCCCCTTGAGCCGGTGTATGTAGGCGGGTGTCAAGGTCCGTCTCTCGGCACAAAAGTCGAAGTCTACGACAGTACTATCGAATCCGGACCTGGACACGCGGTGCCGGATGGCGTACCCGGGGAGCTGGTCGCAACCGCCTCGTTTCCCAATCAACCGGTGTTCTTCTGGGGCGATGAGAATGGGGAGAAATATGCGAATGCGTACTATACCCGTTTCCCACATGTCTGGACGCATGGCGATTTCATCCAGGTACATCCTGTGACGAAGCAGATTTTGTTTCTGGGGCGAGCAGATGGAGTGTTGAATCCCTCAGGTGTGAGATTTGGGAGTTCGGATATTTATAGTGTGATCGAGACACATTTCGCAGAGGTTGCGGATAGTATGTGTGTTGGGCAAAGGAGGCAGCATGATGCCGACGAAAGCGTGCTTTTGTTTTTGAAGATGGCAGAAGGAGGGCGATTTACAGATTCCTTGGTTGAGAAAGTGAAGAGAAAGATTGGAGAGGAGAGAAGTAAGAGACATATTCCAAAGTACGTGTTTCAGACATGGGACATACCGGTAAGATAATCATGCTCTGCCTGCTTCTGAAATGTGCGGAATGACTCATGTTGAGTAGACGACTGTGAACTTGAAAAAAGTCGAATTGCCGGTAAAGCAAATCGTCTCGGGGCGAATCATCAAGCCATCGGGCACGTTAGCCAACCCCGAGAGTCTGCAATTCTACTATCAGTTTGCCAACGTGGAGGAGGTCGTTGAGCGTATGGAGAGTGAGAAAACGCAGAACATGAAAAGCAAGCTATGAAATGCTAAGGCCGGGATGCAAGCAGGTGGCAATCTACGATCGAACTGAAGGAATAGAACATCTAAATAATCTTAAAAAGATCTTTCTTAAATTAGAAAAGGCTGTCGTTGGTTATGCCTTCGATACCCGTTGGCTAAGAACAAGGGAAACAATGGCGCCGATTGGGCCTTACACGCCTGTGTAGAAACGCCAAACTTTCCATGTACCGTCCTCTCCATCTTGTGCCAAACTCCCACATTCTCTCAATAGGTGAGGCTGATCAGGAATAATCGAACTAGAGCCTCGATTTGGCCGAACAAATGCTCCAGGTCCGGATGACGAAGGGCTTTGAGACTGAGCAGGAACGTTTGGTTGAATTGTAGCCAGTGTAGATGTCCCGTATTGGGTCGGCGTGAGACCATGTTCAGGCGGTGAAGGTTGTTGAGATACCGGGACGTTTGATTGAGGTGTGACCGGCGCAGATGTTTCGGGTTGGTTTAGCTTAAGCTGATCCATAATCAGAGTAGGTTGCGAGTTTACAGTCAAGTAGGTCGTTGCGCTTGGCAATGAGTCTGAATTGGCAGCAACATTATCCTCAAGAGCTATCATTGCATGTGGCAATTCATTTGTCGCTGCAGTATCACTATCAAGCGCATTGACCCAGAACAAATCAGGCCAATCAGCACGAGGAAACAAGACGGTAGGTTTTAGTCTGAAACCTCTCCGTTGTTCACGTTCTTCTTCAGTGGCTCGACAAGCGTGCGCGCCGGACGGAAGATGTGGAGCTGATTGTCCTCTGCTGCGGCGAGCATGACCCACGGGTCATTCTTGTTCCAGCTGAAATCGCAGATGCGGTTCGTAAAGCCGCCATGCATGAAGAGCCTAAATCAATAAGTAAGCGAGATGGAAATTTTGGATGTGGAACGCACAATTCAGGAGGGCCATCTTCAGCCTCATCTGGCGTCTGCTCGTCCCCAATTTTGCTGAGATCCCACATGTTGATGCGCCGGTCGTAGCTCGAACTAGCCAAAATGGCATCTTCCTGGGGGTGCCATTCGAGCCCAATGACCGAATCAGTGTGATTCTCAAGAGTGTGTATCCGTTTTTCACTGTTGCGGAGATCCCATAGGGCGATGTTTTTGTCTGCGGAACCCGTTGCCATGATCACATCCCACTTAGGATGGAAAGCCAAGCAATTTACAGCGTCTTCATGAGCTGCAGTCTTGAACAGGGCCTTCTTATGTGATGGCATCCGGGTGTCAATCACGGCCCAGGTCAGATCATCGGATACAGAGCCTATCATGTACGGGTATTCGGGATGCCATTGGACGTCATTGACAGTGGAAGTGTGCACATTCCATGTTCGCTCGGGAGCGAGGCTCTTGTTTGCTTTGGTGTAGCCGCCCTTCATGTCCCAGGACCTGACGGTGGCGTCTTCGTTTCCGGTGACGAGGTGGCCTTCGAGGAGCGGACTCCAGTCTAGGCCGAAGCCCTCTTGTTCGTGCCCGACGAGCTCCACTTCGAACTTGATGGAGCCATCGGGCTTTGGGGTCGACTGATGCTTGGTGCGATCGAAGATCAAGACTCTACCGTCGACACACAGCGAAGCGATGATGTCGGGATTAGAGGGCATGTAGCGCGCCTTGTTCACCTCACCGGGGTGGTTGATCTTCTGGACAATGTTGAAGGTGAATGGCTTCTTGGAGTTGCCATGGCCACCAACTTCTCCGGTGTGGGCATTCACGTCTGACAGATCGGGGACACGGAAGTCTGGGATCTCAACGCTTGCGATCTGGAGATAGTTTTGGGCAGCGCCGGAGGTGTGTGTGCCGAGAATCATGCGATGCGTGCTCATGTGGGTGTCTTCTACCCTGTGCGTCGTTAGCGCGGCGAAAAGAGAAAGAGGGAGCGCGGGGAGGTAGTTACGGTTTCTTGTCGGGCAACCACTGGGTAGTGAGCGTGGGCCAGTCGAGGGCGCTTCCGTACATCAAGTCGTAGAGGAAGACGGAGTTCTTCTTCCATATCTTGTACTCCTCGTTGATGAGTTTCTGCTCGGTCGCTTCCTGCTCCTGCTCCTCGGGGTGATCGACTGCATCTGGAGACCAGCGTGGTTAGCTTGAGCCGTGTTTCTTGGGCCAAGGGAAGCGTACCACTCATTGTTTCGTCCATGGTAGGACGGCGGAGGATGAGTGTGAGTGGCGTGTGGTGTGTAGTGTGTTGGTGTGTTGGTGTGTGAGTGAATTCGTGTCCTGTAGTTGAAGTGGAGCGGGAGCTTTGGGTGCTGGTTTTGAAGCGAGACGCGCTCTCCAGAGTTCGCGTCATTCACGTGACTATACCCTAGCAGTCTTGGCGTTCTTGGCGTTTACGACCAACATCAAGAGCAGAGCCGAGTCTGTCATGAACTCTTCGAAGACCTCTGCGTCGAGAATCTGCCCCCCTTTCCCCTTCCCCTCTCCGTCCCCTCTCTCCCCTAATTATTGCTCTCCCTCTCGCTCTTCCTCTATTTCTCTCTCTCTGCCTTTTCACCTCTCCGCCCCCTTCCGCCTCCGGCTGTACTAGTTGAACGACCTTCACTGTGAATCATCTAGATACTTCAGTCTACCAGCCACCGCAATGGGTGTCCCTAAATTCTTCCGATGGATGTCGGAGCGCTACCCTGCCATCTCTCAGCTTATTGCTGAAAACCGCATCCCAGAGTTTGACTGCCTCTATGTGAGACCATCAGTTGGCAACTTCCAGCAAGGTGACTAACAACTACCTACAGCTCGATATGAACGGTATTATTCATAACTGCACCCACAACGACTCCGACTCTCCCACCTTCCGCATGACCGAAGACAAGATGTTCATCGCAATCTTCAACTACATTGAGCATTTGTTTGGCAAGATCAAGCCCAAGCAGCTCTTCTTCATGGCCATCGACGGTGTCGCGCCCCGCGCCAAGATGAATCAGCAGCGTGCGCGACGCTTTCGGACTGCTCTCGACACTGAAAAGGCTCGAGAGAAGGCTATAAAAGAAGGCGTGGAGATGCCGAAGGAGGATGCCTTCGACAGCAACTGCATCACCCCGGGCACCGAGTTCATGGCCAAGCTCACCCAGCAACTAAAATACTTTATAAACAAGAAGGTGTCGGAGGACTTGGACTGGCAGAACGTTGAAGTTGTTCTTTCTGGTCACGAAGTCCCCGGCGAGGGCGAACACAAGATCATGGAGTACATTCGACAGGCCAAGTCCCAGCCGGAGTACGATCCGAATCGCCGCCACTGTTTATACGGCTTGGATGCTGACCTCATCATGCTTGGGCTGCTTAGTCATGACCCTCACTTCTGCTTGCTTCGTGAGGAGGTCACCTTTGGCCGACAGAGTCAGAAAAAGTCTAAGGAGTTGGAGCACCAAAATTTCTACCTCATGCATCTCTGTATTGTGCGCGAGTACCTAGAATTAGAGTTTCAGGAACTGGAAGAGCCCGGTGCTCTCAGCTTTCCATTCGATATGGAGCGCGTCATCGATGATTTCATCCTCATGGCCTTCTTCGTCGGCAACGATTTTCTTCCCAATCTCCCTCATTTACACATCAACGAAGGCGCTTTGGCTCTCATGTTCAACGTTTACAAGACCGTCTTACCCAAGGCGAAAGGGTATATTAATGAAGAGGGCGTCATTAATATGGAGAGGCTGGCACTTCTCCTTGAAGAGCTTGCCCACGTTGAGTACCGTCACTTTGAATCAGAAAACGCCGACGCTGCTTGGTTCAAAGGCAAGCGACTTCAAAAAGAGGACGTAATGGAGAGGACGAAGAAGAGGGGAACCGTTATTATGTCTACCCAGCAACGAGACATCTTTTTGAAGATGAAGAGCTTTGTTAGCAAGTATCTTGCCACGAAGGACACAACTCCTTACGACCTCCCCACCTCACTTAAAGCGGCAGATCGGAAATTCGTCCAAGATTTTGCCGACAATCTTCATCTGGAATGGAAGAGCGTTCAAACCGACGATGGTGAGCGACATCTCCAACTATCGTTCCCTCCAAAAATGCCCGAAGATGATGACGACAGCGAGGAAAGCGAGGATGACGAAGCACAGAAGGCAATCCTTCGAGTGCTGCAGAAGTATGAAAACGCTAAGGTCGTCGACATCTCGCCCGAGGAGGCTCAGGCAGCTATGGATAAGAAATATGAAGAGAAATTCCAGGCATGGAAGAATCAGTACTATACTACCAAATTTGAATGGGGAAGGGACAATGAGGAGGAGCTCAGGAAGCTCACTGAAAACTATGTCCAGGGATTGCAGTGGGTTCTTTACTACTACTACCGTGGTGTGGCTTCGTGGCCGTGGTTCTACGGCTACCATTATTCTCCAATGATTTCTGGTTCGTAGTCTCATTTTGAAACATTGATTGATATATACTAATAGCTATTTAGATGTCAAGCTAGGTTTGAACGCTGACATTAACTTCAAACTCGGGCAACCCTTCAAACCTTACCAACAACTCATGGGCGTACTTCCTGATCGAAGCAAGAAAATTGTACCCACCGCATATCACGACTTAATGACCAACCCAGATTCTCCAATCATTGATTTCTATCCCCGAGATTTCGAGCTGGATATGAATGGAAAGAAGATGGAGTGGGAGGCAGTAGTCAAGATTCCCTTTATTGATGAAAAGAGGCTACTTCCCGCAATGGCCACAAAAGAGCATCTTCTCGCTGAAGACGAGAAGGCTCGTAATTCGTTTGGTGTTTCTCTTAAATTCACTTACTCTTCAGATTTGGACTATATCTACCCATCATCTTTACCAGGAATATTCCCCGACCTCCCGCACTGTAAATGTATCGAGAATATTTTCGAGCTTCCAACCATGGAAGGCTTAGAGGTATACGTCGGTCTAGTGGATGGAGTGCAGCTCGGTGCTTCGGCTCTAGCTGGTTTCCCAAGTCTGAAGACGCTTCCATTCCATGGAAACTTGGATTTCGCTGGCGTTAGTGTATTCCAGCAAGAAAGCCGGAATGAGAGTATGATCATCACATTGTTGGATACCGAACCTCGGGTATCTCTTGCTCAAGCACAGGAAAAGCTGGGTAAAGCGGTTCACGTTGGATACCCATTTTTGCAAGAAGCAAAAGTCGTCAGGGTGTCTGATGAGCTGTTTGACTACACTCTCCCCGCCGGAGGGCCCCCTGTGCCTATGGCGATCCCCCATGGGCCTAGAGAGATAGAAAATTGGAAGAAGATGGCGGATCGAATCGAAAACACCTACAGCAAGCGCCTTGGTATGATCATCGGTCAGGTTGAAACTCTTGTGCACGTAGAAATGCTCAAGGGTCTCAAGAAGACCGATGACGGCGCAACTATTAAAGAATATGCCGAGATTCCTGGCGTACAAGCCGAGTACGCTAGTCAAGCCATCGTGGACGAAGTAATCAGCGCAGACCCGCGCTTCCTGGAGAAAGCTGCTCTTCCCATCGAAGAAGAGTTTCCAGAGGGATCGCGAGCATTCTATCTTGGGGATTATGCCTACGGTCGACCCCTCCAAGTCGTTTCTCATGTAGACAATAAGGCGACTATCATGGTTTCTAGAATGAAGCGACCTGAACTAGATTTTGGACGGGATATTGTCCGAAAAGCCGACCAGATGACACCCTATTACCCGTCATATGTTGTCGCTCGGCAGCTCAGCATGCCCCCGCTTGCACTGTCGAAGATCACAGCTTCTTTCAAGGTGAAATCGAGTGGTCTGATGCTAAACTTAGGACTCAATCTCAAGTTTGAGGCCAAGAAGCAGAAAGTCTTGGGTTATTCAAGGAAACCCGAAAGTGGTTGGGAATACAGCAAAAAGACCATTGAGCTGCTTGCGCAGTACATGCTCAAGTTCCCTGAATTCTTTGCCGGTATAATTAACAACCCAAAGGGGGACAATTGGAGCGATACAGATTTCTATCCAGAAGACGTCGCCAAGCAGAAGATGAAGGAGATTGCGGCATTCTTGAAACAAGTTGAGTCGAAGAGTTTTGAGAGGGTACCTTTGGATGCCGAACAGCTTGACTCAGATGCCGTGAGAATGATCGAACAAGCGGCCGACGACAACTTCGCCGTGACACAGGACGTCGAGAACAAGAAGATTGGAAGGGTTCCGCGAAGTGCGCTTCTGAAGCCCTCAGATGCAGAACAGCGTCTTGGTCATCAGAAATTTAGTCTCGGTGACAGGATCGTTTACGTTCAAGATTCAGGCCGTGTCCCCATTGGATCTAGTGGCACCGTCGTCGGTAAAACGCGCACGGCCAGAACGACATTGTTGGATGTTGTATTTGACGCGTCCTTTATGAGCGGAACATCACTCGGCGACCGCTGTTCTCCCTTCCGCGGCTCAACCGTCCCAGCAACAGCAGTGCTGAACTTGACGGATAAACAAGTCGTTTCATACTCGTCAGCAGGCGCAGCAAAACGTCCGCAACAAACTTCGCAGCCTTTAACTGTTCAACGTGGTTACGGAGCCCCTGGGGGCCCGCAACTCGTTCCCGCCAACACACCCCCACCTATCCGTGGCTCCTACCGCGGAGCATTTGGACGGGGCGGCGGAACCGCCCTAAGGGGTAATGTGCCCGCAGAAAACGGAAACCAAGGTCAACAGCAGCAACAACAACTACCCATCCACAGCGGCCCGCGCCGCGGCGGCCGCGGTGGCTCCGCGCCGCGCGGTCCATCGAACGGCTTCCAATCCCAAAACCAAAGTCCGAACCCGAACGGCAGCCCACGCGGCAATCCGGGTTGGACTCCTCGTGGTCGCGGCGGCGGTCCAGCTTCCAAACTCAACCCGAATGCCGCTGGTTTCACGGTCGCGGATAGGGCGGATCCCACAGAGGGTGTTGTGGAACGTAATTCGAATTTCAAGGCGCAGAATTATCGGAATGTTCCTCCACCCCCAAGTCTAGATGCTCCGAGGGGTCAGAGGGGGAGGGGAAGAAGCAGGGTGGGATTTAGGGGAAGGGGAGGACAGAGGGGTGGTGGTGGTGGAAATGGAGGCGGAGGTGCGGTGCCGCAATAAAAAAAATGCTTGATATGCATTATTTGAGGCTTCGACATTTTTACAGTTGGTACGGAGATGAATGGACTAGTGTATGAATGCTCGGGTCGGTAGGTGGATGGGTTGGTAGGTGGTATAAATTTTAAGCCTACCTGACAAATGATACATACTAGCGTGTGTAAAAGTGCTCTCATGAGAATGCTGGAATGAGAGATTCCATAGAATCATGATGCTTTTTTGCTTGAGAATATCTTTGGATACTGCTCAGACTAAATGGTCTTAGGTCTTCGCATCTTGAGAGGCTCTAATAGGCGGCACAAGTAAGAGCAGGGGCAGAAAAAGAGCATACCATTACCGTCCTCGAGATTTGATTCCATAAAAGGAGTGACGCAAATGACAATGGGTGAAGAAATGAAAGTGAACTAAGGAGTGACAGCGACTTGAGTCTATGAAAGAGCGAATGAGTGGGAGTGCGACAGTGGATAAATAGGGAATGACGAACGTATCTACTATCAACTAACCTTTGTACTATTGAACGAAAAATTTACCCCTAAAACAAGTAGACGTGATTCTAAAGACGCGCAAAGGTGGTGGATGTAGCAAGGCAGCATTAAAGAGACACTGCATGACGCAACAATATTCTGCGAAAGGCGTTGAAATCACTGCAACTGGGGTCTGAACGATAGATAGTATGGTAGAAAAGAAGCTCGTGAATGTGCGAGCACGCAATGTTCTTTGAAAGTTGAAACTAACATGGCCCGACATCAGTAAGGCCGGCCTATGCCCAAGCAACAGTCGCTAATATGATGCCAACCCAAACACCAAGTCATCTGACTTATTTGTATACCTTAAACCTCCTTGGGCTGTGATGTATGGTTTATTCGTTGCGAGTCCAGGTGGATGATACGTCTGCCTGGACATAACATTACCTGGAAAAATCCCAGCTGCGTCTCAGACGACGGTGGCGATGACTGCATGAAAGGAGGAAACGATGTGAGGGAGTGATAAAGGTGGTTTGCTACGAGCTTGTTGAGCTAATGGAGCTGAGACTTGATTCGGAGGATCCCGGACTCGTGCCACTGGAACGTCGGCGAGCAGAGTTGGTGGCCATGTTCAACTGCCGCTTGGTGTGCTCGTGCATTATCCTTCATCAATGTTAGTGACTTTTGTAGGTGAATGGCGTGGATAAACGAGCCGATTATAAGATGACATCGCCCGATTAGGGTTGTCCGTATCATACTGAGTGTTGAAATTGTGCTGAGCCGTCATTGGTTCCGAAAATCTCCCAGATACGTAAACGCTGGATGTCCGATGAGACATCGCGAACGAATTACGAGTATATATATATATGTGTGTATGTGTGTGATGCGATGGTGGGAAGGTGAAGTCTACGTGATTGATCGATGGGCAATATGAGACTCGGAGAAACAGGCTGATGCGATTGAGGATGACAGGTAACGTAGTTGAGGGAGAGATTGTTAAATAGTATTATAGCAAAGTAACGCCACGTCTAGCATGCAGGAAGCTGGTGAGCGATCGGCAAGACATGATAGAGCCGACCCACAAGGTTCGGAGCTCTGCGGTCGGAATCCAGCCATGATTCCCTAGTAATTCCTGTCGCAGTGAGCAGGGTTTGGAAATCGTAGCCATGTGACAGGCTGCGAGAGTAGAACATGAGTGGGGCGAAGGGAGCTAGATGAAGTTTGTTGGACTCCCGAAAATCTGTGATGCCATGGAGACCGCCGTCGAGGCGTTTTCTCGCCAAAGGGTCCAAAACCCTGCCCAAGTCGCGCTGAAGCAGGCGAGACGGCCTAATGAAGCCACTGACATCGGAGAGATCAACCCTCCTAGGGCGTCATTGGCCACTTGCATGAGGATGTAGATAGCTCTGCATACAACACATTGGAATTGCTTACCGGCGTGCTCGCGTGCTTTTCTGCGTGACGGTAAATACAAATTGGATTATTGGCTATGAACATGACTCTATTGAAGCCTGATACCCCTGACTCCTGACCTGACTGTATGTATGATGCAATAGCTGGAGTTGCTAAGGTGGCGAAGAGCTCGACGTTAGGATGGGGAGCCTTAGCAGCATAGGTCGTAGAGTGCAATAACTCCGGCACGGATTGAACCGAAAAATGGCACAATGGGAGTTTGCAAAACGAGCTGTTGATGGTGAGAACTGGGAGCTGCCTTTGGTGGTGAAGTCATCGCCAAGGCTATGTTTTCCGCTTTCGGTAATCAGCAGTGCAAATCCCTGCACGAGCCGTTGAGCCATCCCGTCTCACCATGCAGGGTACAGGCACGTCAAAGACACTTGCTTCTTCTACACTTTTCGTCTCGTTTGCCTCCACAATGTCAATTTCGATATTAGTCGTCAGAACAACTAGATATGCATCCTTTTCGGCCTCAACTATTGCTTAGTCGAAGGAGGCTCATGTGTGGTTCAAGTCAGCAATTTAGCGTTAGACGGTCAATTACTCGAACGTACTGACCGCCCGAAGTGTGTCATATGCAGATCACAATGGAGAACTTCACACACCCTCACACTTCTACCGGCTTTCTAGCGGATTATGAGCCTCTATGTTGCTGCGAGAGCAGCATATATGGCCATTTTCTAGCGACGGCATTGCATGCCAAGCACTTTTGGTGGAGTAAACGTTGCGTTGAAGTGCTTGCGTGCCTTCTCTTCTCGGCATCGTTATCGTGTTCATCTTCATAGGACAGTGCACGACACCGTTTGCACTATGGAGATGCAGACTCGAACGCTCTAGAACCCCATTTAGCTTAGATCTACCTATTGAGACAGTGGCATTTATTTGAGGCCGAGGACTCAATATTAGCATTACCCTGATACCGCAGTTCGCCAGACAACTACATCTCGATGTCTCCTTTATTTTGTTAATGACTATGAGATTTGTCTCCCATGCTTCGATGCGGAAGGCCTTTCATGTCTGGGTAGCATCCACAGAACCAGGAATCCATCACGTCGGTAACCACAAGGAGCTTCTGTGGCGATCAGCAGTCCACAATGACGAGATATTTGCCACCATTCGCGACGTCACCCGCTTGGTCTCCGCTTTTCTACCGCCAAGCACATACGTACTCGCTGCCTGCTCCAACCACAAGCTCGAGTTGTTATGCAAGGACAACTAATCCCGTCCGTCTTCGTGTCCCACTTCGGCTGTTTTATCCGGACAATGGAGTCGTTGTTCGCGGGCCCGGAACGTGGCCGTAAGGATGTGATCGTCAAGCCTTAAACGAGATGTCGAGGGCGAGGGCGAGGAGATATGGGCATAAGGGGGTGAGTTCGCTCTCCATTTTTTTTCGAAACAATGCAGGAGCAATCACTGCCGTATTCGGAAGTAAGCAGGTAACCATTTGTAGCTCTAGACATTGGCATACCCCCAACCTAGCTTCGCTGAAAGACGACTCAATGCATGATTGAGAGCTCATCACATCTATTTCTCCAGCTACCTCTCAGTTTTCCTCTTAACAGAGTGTTTTTTGGTCTCTTCTATCTCCTGTTACATTATTCTGACAACGGCCGCGAACATCGTACAAGCGTTTTCTGCCACTCATATTAGAACACGCTACCAAAACAACGCTAGACTCCTACAGCTGGCACACCAGTATGTCCCACTGGCTTGGGAATTCTGAAACTGGTAAAAACGTTTGCGGCTCGTTATGGTGGCGGTTCCAACAGTGAGGACAGCGAGCAACTTGCCTCCTAAAAACGCGTACGTCATTGACCATCGGGTCTCTGAACCCTAACGCTGACCAATCTCAACCGGGAGCCAGCTTTTGCCGCTGTTAAAGCCGTAATGCGCAGATAGATTTCAATAACAGATATCCTAGACATACGTGCTAGCTCCTAAAATGCAACTGCGTTGACAGAGCTTGGACACGCAAATGCGGCTATGCAGAGTAGACTTTTAATCGCTTACGAACTCATCATATTGAAGCCAATCACGTAAATTTCCCGAGGTTAAAAGGGGGCGGGGTGCCTACAATCCGGATTGACATTATTGTACTAGGATTAGCAGTGCCCTCACTATGAAATATCTCTTGCTAAGGTTCATGCCTGTTCTCTACAATATGAGGCGACTGATTCGAATCAAACCTAACTGAGACGCTGTCATTCTCTCCTTGAACTGGCTCTTCAGAAAACTGATCGCCATGGTAGACTATAATTCCTTGTCCGCTTTCAAGACGTTTATGGTCGTTAGATAAGTGATAACTCCGAACCAGAAACAGCGATGTCCGGGTGTTCACTGCCGGATCCAATGGTTCAAGCTCATTCGGTCTCCGGGATACATCCACTTTCTGCGAAATGGTCTCAGTTGGTCAAATTTGCGTGTTCATATTCACTCTGAAAACCAGCGCTTCCAACAGTCCGTAGTACGTAACCGTAGTACGTAACCGTAGTACGTGAACGTAACTGTCACGTGAGCGGTAAGTACGTTCTTGCTTTTTGAGCCGTAAGTTACGGCTCACATCTCTGCCCCTACGTACCGTAGTACGTCTCAAAAAGTCGATATTTCTTAGCAATATAGATCCTGATTGGACATGTCTGGGGGCACGTCAGCAGCGTGTTTAAGGTCGCGTTTTTAAGTAACAATCAGGTAAAAACCCTAAGGTTTGTGGGACGTTAGGGGATGGAGATGTGGGATCTTATGCAAATAGTTAACTTTTTGCCCAGTTTATCGTCCTAAGTCCATACTTGCCTATACTCTTGCCCATCATGAGCCAACAGATGTCCCAGTTCCTCCATCGTGGCAGGCGTACAGCCTCATCCCAGGGATCCCCCCGAGCCATGGTTGCAACTCCTACCCTACGCTATTCAAAATGGCCGTCGATTTCCTCGCTATCCCCTCCACCAGCTGCGAATGTGAGAGAGCCTTTAGTGGGGGCAGCCGCACGGTCACAATCCACAGGAACAGTCTAGGGGTTGATACGATTGAGGCTCTGCAGCTTTAAAAGAACTGGCTACGTTATTGCGCAGTGGAGAGTGAATTGACGGCTCTGGCAGACTATATTAGGAGGAAAACTCTAGCAGTTACGGCGTAACTTCTCGCGAGAAGTACAGCTGTAGGAGGATTGTAAGCTGTTACAGTTACGCTACGTAAGAGACTATTAATTCACTCATAACGTACGTACGTACTAACAAACTGAGAAGTTACGGTCTAAAAAAAGCTCAATCGTAGCGTATTACGTACTGTTGGAAGCGCTGCTGAAAACATCTCTGCATGATGGCCACTACTTATCCTAACAGACCTTCTACAGTTTGGCTTGGGAGGAATAGTTGCTGCTATGGTCCATTGCTCTCGAGCAATTATCCAGCGCGAAGCTTCTGCTGACAGCTCTCTTGATCAGAAGATATGTGCCTGTTGTCAAGGCGACTTCCAAGATTCCATTACGCCAGTCAAATTTGATAGTTGCCCACAGCTGATGCGAGAGGATGGAACCTGCTTGCACGTGGAAGATATACAAACTGTTTGATGTGGTCAAAGCAGTCTATCCTTGATGGTAAGTGTACGCTATCCCTGGCCTAATTTAGGCTCTCAACTTACATTAAGAGGAGATATTGTGGACCCTTCCAAATTCGAATCATGTCTATTTCGCACCGGATAGGCTTGACAATACGTTCCCAAGTGAAATGGCCACAACGGCGCTGACAGAATCTGATAAGAAGAAGAGCATAGATCTAGAGTCAGACTTCTCAACAAGCAAGTTTGTGGCTTTTCTAAGTTTCAACTGGGCTTGGATGATTATCTATTTAGGTTAGTAACCTTCTTGTGTAGGTTTAACACGTCCTAAATAGGCATAGCCCTTCTATTTTGACATTGAAACTTGACTTGCTTGTTGACAAGTCTGTCTGAAGCACCAAGACAATTTTATTCCTCTAGGCAACCAAGTTCGTTCTAGCTATGCCATTCTGTGGGAAGTTAGTAGACCCTAAAACAAATGCAAAAGGATATAAATAAGGCTTCATATTAACCAAGTCCTCGTTCTTGATTGTGTCCCTTGGCTATATATCAATATTTGTCCTAGAGAATTGTGTGTACACTCACTGGGAGTCCTCAGTGTCATTTAAGATGTCACTTGGCGTTTGGCTGTTACGCCATTGAGGTGGTCGCTATTGGGGATTACGAAACGGCTTTGGAATTGCGTAGATATCCAGCTTGTCTAGCAAGGCATGATGTGTGGTTTCATTGGGGGCTGTGGTGATCAGAGCCGTGTTGGAGCTACCAGAGGAGAGTTATAGAATATGGAATGCGGAAATCAGGGTAAGGGCATGTACAGTGAGGTACAGGTAACCTCCCCACTAACGTCACAACCCGACATAGTTCATTCAATCTCACCACGTATGTACAATCTCTCTCGTCTACTCTGCCATCTCCTTGAATGAGACCAATTGGTCACGACTGATATTTGACCTGCTCGCAAGAGCTGCCCATCAAAACAAAGCAACAGACCACTTCTGGAAAGCGGGGTTAGGTTGTTAGCGGAGCACGCACGTACCATGTATATTAGTCTATTGAGACACGGCTGATGAAACAATTTATATAAATTATTATCGCATACAATTATCCGCCTATATATATCCTTCTGCTGTGCTAGCTAGAAGGTTAACGTTTTAGTAACGTAATAATTATTATACTACTCTTCTTTTTATAAACTAATAGTCTCTATTAGCAGTACTTAAAAGTAGTAGTTAAAGCTAATTTAAATAAGATAATAATAAATAACTTTTACTTTCTATACTTTGTTATCTAGTAAGTTTGTAGAAGCTTAATTATCTCTTCTAGATTTCTAAACTAAAATTAGTTTAAATTAGCTAGGTATCTAGGCTTTAAGTATTTCTGTCCGTACGCAGCAGCAGCGTCGCGGCCTGGATACGAGCGATCGCGCACGAGCAGGATCACGTATCTATGTCACATGATGCTTGTGCGCGAACCTCTGTGCACAAACATCTAGATATCCCCTTTTTCCTTTATATAGAGGAAAGACAAGAGTAATAGAACTAAAAACATGTTACTCTTACTTTACCTACTTTATACACTATACACACTGTACACTACTCTTACTTTTACTACTTAAGTGCTTATACTATAAGCAGCTAGCTATTAGAGCCTATTTAACACTAATTAGTAGTTAATTTAATTA